TTATTCTTGAGTACACATTCCATTCGTTGGTTGATATCATCTAATATTTCTCAAATAAAGTTTCAGAAAAGAATATTTTATTTTTGGAAGATTTTTTAATAAAGAGAATTACATTATGATGAAAGATGATTAAAAATGATGCTAAAATCAACGAATTCAGCAATTTTAAAACGAAAACATCTTCCAATGAATTTAGTTTGAAATCGAGCAAAGTATTTTAATCATTGGAAATATTAAATTTAATCTATTAGCTTGAAATTAAAACTAAAATAAACGTTTCAAGAGATACTTCATTTTTTAAAATTCATTTTAAAAATTAGGATCGTGAATCTGTGGAGGTACCTAGAACTTTATTATTTTTTCAGTGTATAAATTCACTTTCGTATGTTTAAGTTTTATTCTAATCATCGCTTTTTAAAACAATAAACATTGTTGAGGAGTGAAGGTAGTTAAAATAATAGCGGCGTCAATGGAAAGACCGTCCTTTTGATTCATCGTTTTATTGCGGGCACGTTTCTCTACAGTGTGGTCCGAAAGTCTTGTCATCCCTACGTAATATAATTTACCATTTCATATAGCTGACACGAGCTCCTATTGAAAGAGAAGGTTGGGGTAACAAGACTTTCGGACCACCCAGTATGTTTACCAAAATATGTTCACAGAACGACACTTTTTATTTTATTTTTTTAAAGTTTATTTTACTCTTTTCTAGGAATCTATATTGAAAGCATGACAATACAATAAAAGTAAAAATTCCTTGCTCTCGTGAGAAAAATTCCTTGGTCTCGTGAGAAAACACAGGAATCTGGTGTAGAAATATGAAAATAAAAATAAGATAAAATAGAAATAAAATTTTTTAAAAATCTGGGAACAACATATCTCTGGGCTGTAGGAAAAAAGTTGAAATGCATGTAAAAAAAAAAAAAAAAACGATATGTAAAAAAAGAAAAGAAAAAAAAATCTACAGCTGGTTTTAATTTTCAGTTCACTGTGTTCAAGCGGAAATGACATTAAACGTAGCTTAATACATGTGCAACTCAGTATTCGTGAGTCGAAGAAAGCTTTCTGCCTGAATGCTATTTTCTCTCCTCCTCAAATAAATAAAGTCATAAAGGGAATCTGAACCGGCTTAAAGCTTAATAATTGAAAAACCAAAACAGTTTATGGTATCTGGAGGACATTTATGAGTTATGGGTGATGAAAAGTAGTTCCAAGATACCGTGTCGGTATGTATCCTTCCGACTAAAAAAATGTTAACATTTTCCGACGCTCCAATACGTTCTTTTAGCGAATTTCTACGCCTTTATACTCATTAATATGTATACGTAAATGTACTTGTAAAATCCATAAAGTCCGTAACTGAAATTTGAATCTTGTTGGATTTATTTTTTATTTTTATATACTGGAAACCAAATGGTGATGTATACATCTTTTTAAAATATCAATTTGTTAACACACTTTAAAATCTGTGCAGATGATTATGGCGAGTATCTTAACATACTACTGTAGTGGTGTTGTAAGATATGTTGGCTAGGGTCACCGTGAAATATAATAGCAATCAAGAAGCTGTGTTCTTATAAACAACACTCCACATCAAATATTAACAGAATATATGAGAGAAATAAGTCAAGCTCCATGAACATTAAATAAATATTGTATTAACAATGATATACAAATATCAACAATAAATATAAAAAAGTTACTTCCCTTTTTCTGTAATAAAAGGGTGAATGCAGCTAAGTAATGTTGAGTTACAATATTGAATGTTATTTAACTATAAAGTTCAATTAATGTTCTTAGCTCAATGAAGACTAATTCCACAGTCTCTTTGTGAGTGTGAAAAGATGTAATGTAGTGATATCAATATAGAAGTTAGTAAGATTACTCGAATGAGTAATAACTAAGAATTATAATGTTATAAGTAATATAGCGCCGTGCCGTATATTCAGTACTGGCGTTGGCTAACAGCGAGAGAGTTTATGTAGGTATGCATAGGCTCAAGTGAACTTAGCGCCAAAAATATAGAAAGATACTAAAATACGCGATTGGTCAGAAATGGACCAATCCGTGATTTTAGAAAAAAAATTCAAATAATGTGCGATGGCAAAATTGTCATATAGTAAGTATCATATATTTATGAACCAATGACATTAAAGAAAGCGGAGGTGTGACACATGTAAGTGATCACCACACTACCATATATATATATATATATATATATATATATATATATATATATATATATATATATATATATATGAATGAAGAAATATAGTCTTCAGGTGTGCTATATTTATGGGATAAAGTGCTCAATATCAGAGATAGAGCGTGTGTAAATATAAAAAGTGAACATTGAAGTCAACACTTAGAGGCGACAGGTTGTTTCATGCTGGCATGAAACAGCCTGTTGCCTCTAAGTTTTGACTTCAATATTCACGTTTATATATATATATATATATATATATACAGAAACATATGGGCACGTGGCCGAGTGTTTAGGAAGTAAGGATTCTGACCATGCGAATGTCATCATGGTCGATTTGTCAGGAATGAGACTACCTGGTGTTATCGGACTGAAGGGTTCGATCCTAGGAAAGTGCCTAAAAACCATACCAAATGTTGACCTAAACCTTGTGAGTGAAATTGGGTAGACGGGATCCTTGGGGGCTGTCGATAGCTCTGTTTAGTACGAAGTCACAAGTCATCGTGCCCGAGGGTTTGAGGTTGCTGGCCTTGTACAAATTGTTGATCACGCTAGATAACACGGTTTTCCCAGAAACTGTAACAAAGGTCTGCTCAGTTGCAGTATAAACTACAGGGAGGCTTTGTGGGTTTTGAACAAACACAAACGCGCCTGAGCAAAGGGATTGGCTAACCGCCCTAGTAGACGAGTATCCTCGAATACGAATGGCCAGCTATACTATATACAGAAATATAGTGTGATAAGTTAGCTGTTCAGGAGTTCATAGGTAAACATCCTAATGCATACTAATAAAAGGCCTGGAGAATATATATATATATATATATATATATATATATATATATATATATATATATATATATATATATATATATATATAATGTAGATACAGAAAACGTTGTTTGTTGGACTAGGCCTCCTCCCCCACTTTTTAAAAAAATTTTATCTCGATTTGAATACCCCCCCACCTCATTGTCTGATTTTTTTTTCCTTTTTTTTTTTTTTTTGTTGGTCACGTGGTCATGATTTTATGTTCGTAGACTATATATTCCGTTCTTACGTCACCTCTTTAGCTAGCCTTCCCTGACGATCCGCGTAGGTGAAACCTTGGTAGGTTTGTCTGGCTGTTTAGGTTTATATATATGTTATTTTTTGTAGATACTCGTATTTGAGTAGACGTTCCGTTTAATTATGAAACAAGTAATTATATATATATATATATATATATATATATATATATATATATAGATAGATAGATAGATAGATAGATAGATAGATAAAATATAGATAGATAGTTAGATATAGATATAGATATATTGAATGCATAGCCGGGGGAGGGGGAGGAGAGAAGAGATGGATTTATATCCTTCCCAAGGTTACGTCTTTCAATATTTGAATTTATTTATTATTTAATTCATATCTGATTTGTTTTGGAATAAGGTCGATTTATATTTAAATTTATTCGAATTTAATTTATTAACTAAAAGGAAATTAACTCAATCAATTCCGACTGATAAAGATAAAATTACAAAAAATCCCCCCCCCTCAGCTATCTGTTTAGGGCAAATTTCCGTCGAAAAAAAATTCCAAAAAGCAAGAGCAAGTAAACAATACGAAATAAATTAAAATCAATGCAAATTATATTTAAAAAATGGTAACGAATTGATGCAAACAAGGAGGGGGCTTTATACTTATATTTAACATCAGGAAGAGGCAGCTGAAGTTTCTAGGACACATAATGAGAAAGGAGGGCCTGGAGAATCTGATACTCACGGGTCGAATAGAAGGAAAGAGAGAGACAAGGGAAAACAACGCATGACATACCTAGCGGCCTTAAGCAACTGAATGACAGGACATGGTCTGGTGGAGGAAGCAGAGGGAAGGAACTTGCTGAGAGCTGCAAGGGATAGAAAGAGGTGGAGAGCCATGATCGCCTACGTCCTGAAATGACATGGCACATAAAAAGAAAGATGAAATGGTTTTATTCGATTCGATATGTAAATTTGATTATAATTTATTTTATTTATATTTTTAAAATTGTAGTTACACATTTGAATATATTTATTATCAATCTTTTGTAGGTTATCTAAAGCCATAAAATATTTTTAGATCGTAAGAATCTTTTGGAGATAATAATGATTTACTCATAAAAGTCTTACTTATTAACCCATAGCGGGGGGAGAACAAGTGGATTCATACCTTTCCCAAGGTAACATTAGTGAAAAATAAAGACAACTGGCGCTGTCAGAATTTAACCTCGGCACAACAATTCCACTCTCAGGGTTGATAACCGCCCTACGTTTCAAGGGAGAGAGTCGAAAACCTTGGGGACAACTAACAGACGGCCACAGAGGCTGACAGACATGCTGTTCACGAATGAGTCATGAAGGGCGAGAAAAAAAAGGAAACGAAGTCAATGGCTGGAGGTCAGAAGGCGACGCAGGAAGCCATTTCAGACCATGGTTCTACATTCCACCTTCGTCTGTCACACCTGCAGAAGAGAATACCATGCAAAGATCGAACTGCTTAGCCCCTTTCCAACACTGCACACAACAGGACTGTTTTTCAAACAAACAGGACGTTGCCATTATCTAGCGAGATAAAAGGATATCTAGTTACACGTTACACGCACACGTTTAAACTTAAGTAAATCGAGACGTATTCAGGATGTTGTAATTTTCTTTGACGTCAGTGTATCAGGGTAATTTTGACCCCCTGTGTTTAAAAGTTTATCTGGGCCCAGTGAACTGTGTTTCGGGTTTTTATTAAGTGCTTTTTTTTTCTTCCGTTTCTGCGTTGCATGTCTACGATGCAAACATGGTTCCCTTTTAAACTTTCTGTTGTCCTTATTCGTGATGGAAGTTGATAAGCCCTTGATACCGATTAGTGAATTAACACCAACGTGCTGTTAATGTCGACATCCGACCGTGTCAATTAGATTTTAAATATAATCGTGATATCCTTTAATTGGACATTGATACTAGACGTTTGAGGACGCATGCGCAAACGGATAGCGAAGAAAGAAAACAAACGTGAACGAATAAAACGCATTCACGTAGGGAAGGAGTTAGAGATTATTAAGGTCTGGAGGTAAATAATATCTGTGTTGCATCGAGGATAAAAATAAATCTAGGATCCTTTTTTTTTATAATGATGTTCACACTGTATAAGACCCTAGAGCCACTCAAGGTAGACGGATACAGAGTAAGAGGCACAGTTTACGCAGATATATGGAGGAGATAACAGTTAACCCTAGATTTTAACAGGTTAAGATTGTAGTAATCAGGGAGGCAAGTATCCTCTTGGGAGTCGGTGACACAAAGCAGTGCTTCGTGAGAAGCTGCTGCTCGAGTGGAAATTACATCCCACCAAAGGAATACGAAGGGAATGAAGGTGGTTCGCTACAACGGGCGTGGCATGGCGGGCCTTAGCCGTGAAGGTTAGAACTGGTGGAACTAGGGAATGTAGCTCGTCTGAGCACTTTCCTATAGCAATACAATAACAAGAGATTTGCGACTTTTCGTCTGTGAGAAAAGGGGTTACAGAGCAGAAAATAATTAATCACCCACAAGGGCGCGGAGACGCTTGTAATATTTTGGATGTCGTGGAGTAATGGTTAAAGAGCATATCTAGTCGGCCGTTACTACTCAGAAGTAATATCGATCTCGTTTCTAATTTAGTGACGCATACGTGTGTGCTTCTACCAAAATCTCGGCAAACAACATAACGCACCACAGCGTGGTGTAATGGTTAAGGAGCCAGTTTGGCTGATCATTGCTACGAAAGAGCGAGTTCAATTATTACTGGGTGCCCAACACTTTTGTCCTTGTGTCAAAATCAAAATCTCAGCTTTATGAATAACAGATATTGTTTTTACACCGCCGCCACATACAAATATATTTATATAATTTTTCTCTCCAGAATTTATTCTACGTATCTATAAGTCTACCGTCCGTCCATGCTTAGAATACTGCTGCCATATATGGCGACCCTGCTATTTACCTGGAGTTCCTTGATAAGATCAAAAAATGAATCAGCAATATTATTGGTCCTGATCTGGTAGCTCGGCTTCAGTCACTTACCCATCGCCGTAAGGTTGCCACCCTTTGCCTTTTGTATAAATACTTTTATGGAAATTGTTCGGATGAGTTCTTCGCTATGGTGCTTAGATTCTGTGAATTTAAGCGCAGTCTTAGACTGGCGGGAGGTTTACATTAATTTACAGCTGAGTTGGGCAGATGTAACCGTAAGTTCTAGGTTAGCAGTTTCTTTTCTCACACTTCTCGCGTGTGGAATTCCCTTCCGGCTCCGTGCTTTCCATCCAAATAATCTGCCAAAATTTAAATGTAATGTCAATCGCTATATACTGTCCTGATTACTCTTCTTTTGTTCTTACTCCTTAGCAATGTTTATGTTTCTAACTCTTTCACATCCAGTAATGCTTTGTGCCTCAGTGGCTTTACTGCCTTGCATGGGGTGAACTCGATTGATATATATATATATATATATATATATATATATATATATATATATATTAATAAATATACATATTATTCCTCACCGATAGCACGACTTAGAGTTTCATGCATAACGCAGTCATTAGGTGCTGAGTATAGACTGGCCGTAATGTAATTTAAATTTTTAAAAATATCTGCTTATGGTAATGTTAGCGTATATATTATACTGGGATTACAGTTTTTAATTTAAAAAAAATATGTTTGGAATTTAAAATAAACGGGATTTGTGTGTACATATATATATATATATATATATATATATATATATATATATATATATATGTAAAAATAAATTAAAGATTTATCCTCAGGATTACTCCCACCACTACTCTTTTTTGCTGTTCATTCTTTTCAATACTCTTTCTTTTCCTGGCTTATTCCTTCTTTCTTTCTTTCTTTCTTTTCGTTTAACCCTTTCTTTCTGTCTTTCTTTCTTTTTCCTTTTCGCTTAATCATTCTTTCGTTCTTTCTTTCTTTTCGTTTAATCCTTTCTTTCTTTTCGTTTAGCCCTTTCTTTCTTTCTTTCTTTCTTTTCGCTTCGTTTCGTTTCGTTTCGTTTCTTTCTTTCTTTCTTTTCATTTAACCCTTTCTTTCTTTTCGTTTTATTCTTTCTTTCTTTTTTCTTTCTTTCTTTTCGTTTAACCCTTTCTTTCTTTCTTTCTTTCTTTCTTTCTTTCTTTCTTTCTTTCTTTCTTTCTTTCTTTCTTTCTTTCTTTCCCAAAGACTTTCCCATGATTAGGTATGACTGCAAAGCAGCGGAGGTTTAAATTCAAAGTTTTCCTTCCCAGCAATCCAACAATATATTATTTTGTGTTAAACTGAGCAGAACAGAGAAATCTCATTGAATGCAGTCATGCATGACAAGCTGCAGTGACACTTATTAGCAGGCAGACTAGTTATAAGTTTTAAAGTTCTCCGCTTGACAGGCCTTGTAGCCTAATGGATTAAAGACTTGATTCGTGAATTTAGTGACATGATAAACGCGAGTTCAATCCCTGGGCCGGGTGAGGGTATGTAATTGGGCTCAGTGGAAACGGGACGGGCGATAACAGAGCGGTACAAATTAAGGATTAGGCAAGGTATTCCTAGATATGGGCAGCGGAAAGAGAACATTCTACTTCCATAGATTTAATAAAGAGATCCGTTCCTTGAAGGTTACCTGGGCTGACAATTGATAAAGTCTGGATGGTAATGGTAATATTCGCTGTTTCTTTATACAGAAACAATTTAGAATTCATTGAATGAGCAGCCATTGAAGCTGTCAGTTCAAATTTAAAAAAATATTTCTCTCTTTTTTTTTTTTTTTTTAATCGGTATGAACCCAAGCAAGGCAGTACAGCCACTAGCACTCAATAGCTTACAGGGTGTGGAGGAATTAGGTACAGAAACATTAGTGATTAGAAGAAAGAGAAAAGATCAGTCAGGAGGACATTACTTAGCGATTGACATTGCATTTAAATTTTGGCAGATTAAAATTGGCTGGAAAACATGGAGCCAGAAGAGAATTCCACAAGCGAGAAGTGCGAGATGAGAAACTGTTAGCATAGAATTTACGGATCCATCTAGCTAAGTGTCATGGTAATCTACCCACGCACGTATGGACTCTCCCGGCTATAAATAGGAGCAGGTACTGCCTTTTGGAGTGTGAAGTTTTCAGCAGTCAACTCTGACAGTCGGACCGAACATTCTCGCTGTAACACTCTCGTTTGTATTACTGTTTCTGTTAATATATTAGTTTAACTCAATTCTTCTCTTTGTATCTTTATTTCTGGCCCTAACAAGGCAACAACACTAAGTCAACTATAAATTGATGAGAACTTGCCTTAGTCTAGTATTGAGCTTAAATTAATACTGTTTAGGTACCCTAGCGAAGAGCTCATCTGAACAATTACCATGAAAGTAGTTATAGAAAAGACACAGAAAGGCAACCCGACAGCGGTGGGAAAGCGACTGAAGCCGAGCCGCCAGATCAGGACTAATAATATTGCTGATTCTTCTTTGGATCTTATCAAGGAGCTCCAGGGAAATATTAGGGTCAACAGGCCATATAAGGCAACAATATTCTTAGCATGGGCGGATGGTAGACTTATAGATATGCAAGATAGATTCCAGAGAGAAAAATTGTCTCTTCCGACACAGTGAACCGACTTTTTTTATAGCTGATCTAGCGATGGATTCAAAACCATTTTTCGTGAAAATAGTCCAGTAGTTGCTATTGCTCATTCCAGTATTGATTGGGGGTTTCTTTCTTAACCTTTTCGTTTGGAGTAGTTATGTCATTATTTTCTCTTGGAAATATATGCACGATCTATTTTAATTGTTGTTGTTGTTGTTGTTGAAAATCTTCAAATGATGCGGTTTCTTTTATTTTGTACAGTTCTTTGCATGGGATTCTGTAGCGCCAGTCCACAACGTTTAACGAGTAATGCTCTTTGCCAAGAATCTCAGACTTTATTCGCTCACAGCGTTTTTTTTCACTGTTGATCTTAGGAAGCAGTCGACAGTTTAGATATTTCTGAACTTGTTTGGCCCATGCGTGACATCCAGATACAAATTTCGATCTGACGAAGTTATTTAAGAACAGAACTCGAGTTTTCAGTTTATATATATATATATATATATATATATATATATATATATATATATACAATGAATCATTCATACAAGTACTTTCGGCGGGTTCTCCGGTCATTATCAGGTATGGAAACTATTTTCTTTTCGGTAAAAGTACTTGCATATTTAAGGAATACCTAATACAGTTTATAATTGTAAAAAAACAAGGACCATAGCATTCATCGAATGGTTAGTGGGTTAATGCATTTTTAAAATTTTGTAAGCGAAGTCAATTCACCAGATTATCACATTAACTTTATTAATTTACTTTTCGTATGAATGATTCAATGTAATATAAATTAAACTGCACCACATACTTTATATATATCGTATTAAGTTGTAAGAGTGCTTGGTACCAAAATTATTTTTCCATAGTTTACTGGTGGCAAATATTTTAGGGATTTTGTCTTAAAGTGCTCGATATCAAAAAGTAAGGGTACAGCGTTAATATAATTAATGTGCAGAAAATTTTCACTTAACTGATGGTGTTATTTTAATCATGCCAACTTCAAAGTTTCGTGAGCACATTTTTGTGATGGATGCCTTCACTCTTCAGTGATATTGGAAGCAGAGAAGCCAATAGCCCTGAAGAGTGAAGGCATTACAACAATGCGCTCACGAAACTTCGAAGTCGGCATGACTGAAATAATACCACTCAGTAGAGTGACAGGTTTCTACACATAACACACACACACACACACACACACACACACACACACATATATATATATATATGAATGACAATAGGAATAAATTTACTATTTACTGACGCGTTTCATCTTCCGAATTTATCAAGTCAAAAATGAAAGAGAAATGTTTTTGTTTTCATAGCTACATTAGATGAGAGGGAGAGAGAGAGAGAGAGAGAGAGAGAGAGAGAGGGAGGTGGAGGGAGAGAGAGAGAGACGCTTTTGTGTAAGCCTCTAGCTGGTTAAATGCTAACTTCCTTTTTTTACTTTTTTTCTATGTTGACAATATAGTAAAATTTAATGTAAGTATGAAAACAAAAACATTTCACTTTCATTTTTGCCTGGATAAAATCGGAAGACGAAACGCGTCGACGAAAAGTAAGATTTTTCCTATTGTCAATCTTATACCAATTTGTCTTATCCACAGAATTGTTCTGGGAATTTTACTATATATATATATATATATATATATATATATATATATATGGGGATAACGATATATAAATTTTAAAACCTTTTTTCCAATTTGTTGTACTTCTTTTCTTTCAATATATATATATATATATATATATATATATATATATATATATATATATATATATATATATATGATGAATAATAAAAAAAACTTATTTCATGTGGGGAATAGACTATTTCGGCAGACGATGAAAGTCGTAGTCTGCCGCAATAGCTTATTCCCCACATGAGGTAAAAATGTTTTTGATTATTCAACGTATTGCTATGTATAAATAAAATACAACGAGATGTAATATATATATATATATATATATATATATATATATATATATATAATAATATATATAAAATAAATATATATTTGTATAAACAAATTTATATATATATAGAATTTCTATCTTAACATATATATATATATATATATATATATATATATATATATATATATATATATTTTACAATTTGTCATACACCTTTTATTTCAATATATATATATATATATATAAAATATATATGAATATAAATAATATAATATCCAATTTATCATACATCTTTTCATTCGATATATATATATATATATATATATATATATATATATATATACACACATATATATATATATATATATATATAAATTGAAAAGTTTCATATATATATATATGAAACTTTTTCAATTTATCATATATCTTTTCTTTCAATATATATATATATATATATATATATATATATATATTCTTTTCGAACACTTTCCGTGACTTCATTTCATTGAATGCAACTGAATTATTTTATCTCCACTTCTTGAGCTTCACTTCTTAGACTGGATGATGAGGAACGCAGAAGGAAATGTATGGCTTCCGTTCGCTAAATTCTGTGGAGACGCGATGGCGATAGCAGTATCAGTTCCTGAAATTGTATGAAGTCGAAATAAAATGCTGATTCAATTTAAATCAAAACATATCTCCGGATTCTTCGGGATGATGTCATGGACAACAGAGCGACTACTAAACAGACAGGATAAGTCGGTAATATGATTTAAGTTCTGACTGGATGTAGTGTTCGACGATAGATTGATAAAATCACCACAAAATGAAATGCATTAACAAAAAAGGAGGTTGGGTTGATTATGAAATAAATGCTTCTTTCAATATGAGAATAATTGTTGTGTACATAAATCAATCAATCATTCAATCTATCTCAGCCAGTTCATATCTATCTATCTATCTATCTATCTATCTATCTATCTATCTATCTATCTCAGCCTGTTAATATCAAACTATCTATCTATCTATGTCTTTTCAATTTTTTCTCTCTCTCTCTCTTTATGTCTTTTCAATCTCTTTTTCTCTCTCTCGCTCTCTATTTTCAGTATCTATCTATCTATGCCTTTTCAGTCTCTCTTTCTCACTCTCTCTATGTCTTTTCAATCTCTCTTTCTCTCTCTCTATCTATGTCTTTTCAATCTCTCTTTCTCTCTCTCTCTCTATATGTCTTTTCAATCTCTCTTTCTCTCTCGTTCTCTATTTTCAGTATCTATCTATCTATCTATCTATCTATGCCTTTTCAGTCTCTCTTTCTCACTCTCTCTATGTCTTTTCAATCTCTCTTTCTCTCTCTCTATGTCTTTTCAATCTCCCTTCCTCTCTCTATCTATCTGTCTTTTCAATCTCTCTTTCTCTCTCGTTCTCTATTTTCAGTATCTATCTATCTATCTATCTATCTTTCTTTCTATCTATCTATCTATCTATCTATCTATCTATCTATCTATGCCTTTTCAATCGATCTTTCACTCTATCTCTATCTATCTATATCTTTCCAATCTCTCTTTCCATATCTCTCTCTCTCTCTCTCTCTCTCTCTCTATCTATCTATCTATCTATCTATGCCTTTTCAAGCTCTCTCTCTCTCTCTCTCTCTCTCTCTCTCTCTCTCTCTACCGCTCAACAAGATCATCCAGTTTGATAAATTTATTGAATTATTATTTGGTATCATATTTATACTCTACGAAAATAAAAGCCTATTATCGAATTCAAATTGAACATTTAACGGATAATATGTATTTCAAATTTGAAATTGTTTTTTGGTGTATAAATATGATACCTGATATCTATAGATTTATCAGATAATCTGACCCTGATGCGCGGTGTTACGCGAAATTCTGGAGTCGGTGAAATGTGTACGATCACCGAAGTTAAGCAAAGTCGAACGGCTCAGAATTGGAAGTTGGAGAGCAGAGTTTCAATTCCAATCGAGTTCATGATATTCAGTTACGCGCAAATACCCTTAGGGAATATATGAATCCACATCTTCTCTCTCCAGCTATGGGTTAATTAGAAGGGCCTGTATCAGTAAATCATCATCATCTCAAAATATTTTCTGGCTATAAAATAAAATTGATAAAAAAATAAATAAATCAGTCGGTCAACTCCAGAGTTTCGCGTAATATCGCTCAACAGGATCATCCAGTTTGATAAATTCAAATTAAAAATTTAACAGATAATATATATATATATATATAGTCAATTTATAAATGTTCAAGTATTGAACTGACTGCTTTATACACACTTACACACATAATACTCACTCACTCCCTAAAAAACAAATAACACACACACACAGTTAACAGAGACACATCCCCTTTCTAGGAAACAATAAAACTGTCAAAATGACCAAGGGAATTCAGAGCAGCATGAATCCATCCAGCTCTTATCTAAACTAACAACTTAAAATAGACTGTTTGACCAACACAAGGACTGACCAAAATTCCTGTTAAAAAAAAATAAATACAAAAACAAATGAAAAATACAGACAAAAGTTCATTTTCTCCATCAAGACATTCATTTCTGTAGTTCACTGCTACTAGCAAGCAGAACATTTTTTCTCCTGATGATGGCCATGTTGGCCGAAACTAGTCGAGTAGTCTAACTGAAATAATAAGAACGAAAGAATATTAATATACAACCCAGTGTGTCTTTAATATTTTTATTGTTCAAAACATATATATATATATATATATATATATATATATATATATATATATATATATATTTAATTTCGATAAACGTGCAATCAATTTACAAATTCATGAATTATTTACACAAAAACAAATGCAAGGTTAATGATTTAATTGGCGAGAAATCCATCGTCGCAAACAATTCAAATAATATACAAAAACCTCCGAACCCGTTATGAATGAAAAGATCCTTGTTTCTATAAATTACTGCCGCATTAGTTCTTATTTTTACTACAAGCTTTCGTCAGTTCCTACAGACATCTTCAGTTCAATAATTACAGTAATTATTTGCGACGATGGATTTCTCGCCAATTAAATCATTAACCTTTGCATTTGTTTTTGTGTGAATAATTCATGAATTTGTAAATTGATTGCACGTTTATCGAAATTAAAATAACTGATCCAAGTGCGACTTTTGGATAATAAGTGCGACATTACTGTAATTATTGAACAATATAGTTCATGCCACTTTGACAGAAAATTTACCAGTAAAAAATTCGTTTATCACCATATTTGTACATGAACGCACAACTGTAAAAAATTTAAAATCAAACTCAGCCTTGCTACTGCACGCTCCAAAAACAATAACTCATTTCCAATAGCATTTTCGGATACAACAATACATATATTTTCGTTGTCCTCTTATTACTGAGAGAAAAAACAAGAACAACATCTATTCCATACCTGAAGATGTCTGTAGGAACAGACGAAAGCTTGTAGTAAAAATAAGAACTAATGCGGCAGTAATTTATAGAAACAAGGATCTTTTCCTTCATAACGGGTTCGGAGGTTTTTGTATATTATTTGAATTGTTTGCGACGATGGATTTCTCGCCAATTAAATCATTAACCTTTGCATTTGTTTTTGTGTGAATAATTCATGAATATATATATATATATATATATATAATCTTAAAATAAATGTCGGACTTTGTCCATTTCATTATGTGTGACATCATATATGACGTCACACATTATGAAATGGACAAAGTCCGACAATTATTTTAAGACATTTTTATGTTTATACATTCTTTTTATAGATACAAATATTCAGGCCGGTAAATGTTGTTGAAAACTGTTTATTATAAACAGGGCATTTACTTAAATATTTGTATCTATAAAAAGAATGTATAAACATAAAAATATCTTAATATATATATATATATATATATATTGATAATATTAGTGGTCAATATATATATATATATATATATATATATATATATATATATATATATATAATTCCAAGAGGATAGAATCCAGGTAGAGCTCAATGTCCAGGACAGAGTAAGAATATAATATAAAAGACTCAATGAGTAATATTCCATGGTTATAATTTATTACATTGGAATCGTAAACATGATCCAGTTCATCAATTCACTAATTCTTGATGCTTTTATATTATATTCTTGCTCTGTCCTGGACATTGAGCCCTACCTGGATTCTGTCTTCTTGGAAAATTATATATATATATATATATATATATATATTTTATTTATTTATTTATTTTTACACGTTATTTATGCAGACAGAAAAAGTAAATGCTCTGTTTATAATAAAGAGTATTAACTGGCCTGAACGTCCGAGAAATTTTCATAGAAAATATGTCCTCCGATAGGAGTCGAACCTGTATCCTACGTCATATAGCCTGATATTTAGCTACAGAGGAGCGTCTGGTTAACAAAGGTCGATTTTACCGCTTTTAAACTAGAATTCTTTATGATTTCCCTCGAACGATCATAAGTGCTCGAAGGGTAACTTTGCAATCACCATCCGCTTTGTTCTACCGTTGGGATCTTTGGGATTGGTCACCCTTAGTTTGGATCCTCGTCTTCGACCTAGCTGTCAAGAGTGGCCTTACCAAGAGTTTAGAACTCCAGACGGTATATTTGTCAGAATCATTGAACAACGCAAGCCATCTCAACCCCGACAAGGCCCAACCTTCAGAGGGTGTAATTCTGAACTGGTTTACAGGCTGAGGTCACTGATGCCCATACACGACACTATCTTGTCTAAATACTCTTAATGCTAACTGGACATGACAAGCTTCTTTTTTTAATCATTTCACCTCAAGCAAGGCAATAAAGCCACTAAGGCGCAGGGTGGGGGTACAGAGTGTTAGAGAATATGAGAAAATACTATTAAGGGGAGAGAGCAATAAAAGAACAAGAATTAAAAAGGAAGACGATAATGATTGACATTGCAAAAGTCGACGGACCAATAGGATCCATAAACTGCAACATCAATTGCAGAAGTGTGTGGATCGCAATGGAGGCTATGTTGCAAAATAAGCCTCATTTGATCGCATTATCTTGGTGAGTCTATGAACTTTTCAGCCGATCCTCTTAGAATTGTCTTCGACATCTTCGACAGACATGTGTCTTTCAATGTCGTGCAATAGAACTTGAATCCGACATGTGTAAAGTAAGCCTTCTTGATAGTGTCATCGTCGTGAAACCAACACACACACACACACACACACACACACACACACACACACACAAGCAAATTAATCACCACAGAGAGCCTTCCCTTCCCTCCATTAGAATGTCTGACGCTCAACTTCTCGAGAGCAACTCTCCGCGGCTTCTCGGCCTCACGTTGACTGCTGACCTGAGATGGAATAAATACATCGAGTCAATTGCCTCGTCCACTGCGAGGAAAGTTGGCTCCCTGAGCCGCGCTAGGAAGTTTTTCTCCCGTGAGTCGATCCTCCAGATATACAAATCCACAATTCGCCCTTCATGGAGTATTGCTGCCATATATGGTCTGGCGCCCCTTCTGTTTGCCTCGGGGTTCTTGATAGGCTCCAGAAGCGGATATGCAATATGGTTGGCCCTGCCCTGGCGTCTCGTCTACAGTCACTTTCTCACAGACGCGCCGTCGCCTCCCTCTGTCTGTTCTATAAATACTTTCATGGAAATTGCTCCGAGGAGCTGCATTCACTGGTTCCCAGACGTCATGAGTTCCAGCGCCCTACGAGGCTGGCATCCCGCTCTCACCCCCTCACTGTCGAAACTCCTAAATGTAGCCGTCTCTTCTACTCTAATAGCTTCATGTCTCGCACCTCTCGCCTGTGGAACTCCCTTCCCTTCTCCTGTTTCCCTGTGAGCTATAATCTCCAGCTATTCAAATGTAATGTCAATCGACATCTCCAGTTGCCTTAATCTATCCACTACACTCATCCTTCCTTCTATCACTCCTATCTGATCTTGCTATTTCCCGTAACCCCTTGCATCCTAGTGGCTTCCCGCCTTGCTTGGGGTGAAACGCTTAATATATATATATATATATATATATATATATATATATATATATTATGAAATGGACAATTATTTTTTAAAGACATTTTTATGTTTATACGTTCTTTTTTTATAGATACAAATATTTAAGTAAATGCTTTGTTTTATAAGAACGTATAAACATAAAAAATGTCTTAATATATATATATATATATATATATATATATAAATAAAGCATTTCAACCCAAGCAAGGCGGGAGTGCCACTAGCACGCAATGTGTTACAGAGAGTGAAAGTAAGAGTAAAGAGGGGGGTGTTTGAGGAAAGGACCGGGATCGGAATCAAGGCATCGGAAGATGTCGATTGACATTACATTTGAATATTTGAAGATTATAGCTATCGGCGAAGGAAGTAGGAGGAAGGGAGTTCTACTGTCGGGAAGTGCGAGAGAAGAAGCTGTTGGAGTAGAAGAGGCATTTGTTTCGACAGTGAAAGGGTGGGACCTAGATGCCAATCTAGTAACACGTTGAAATTTATGCAGTTTGGGTACCAGTGAAAGTAGCACGTCAGAGCAGTTGTCATGAAAATATTTGTTGAAAAGACAGAGGGAAGCCACAGAACGTCTGTGAGAAATTGACTGTAGAGGAGATGCCAGATCAGGGCCTATCACATCGCATATCCGTCTTTGGATTTTGTCTAGGACCTCGATATATAGACACACATACACATACACACATGCACCGAGAGAGAGAGAGAGAGAGAGAGAGAGAGAGAGAGAGAGAGAGAGAGAGAGAGAAAAAATGTTCCTTATATAAAGATAAGAAAATTGATCTGTTTTATAAACGATTAAACATTTAACAATTTCGATTTCATATTATTTTATCGATCTCAATATTTAGACATTTAAATTTATCTTTCCACCGCAGTCTATATCGATCATTTTATAAGCCATAACAGTGACTGAATGACTCCATCTTAAAATCTCTTTTGAGATGAAATTCACTCGATATCGTTTCATTTTAAAAGCTAACAAATAAATAAAAAATAAAAAAAAACTTCCGAAAATGACACAAATAGATAATATTTTCTTTTTATTGAAATCTTCAAAATACAGTCAAGATAATATTAGATTTTCGACGACGCAAGCTTCAAGTTTCGATATTATCACTTCTTCGGACTAATAATTCCTTCAAGTTGCGTCTGGAAGAAAAAGATAAAAAAATATCAATTATTGTATAAAACAGAACATATATAAATCTGGGACCACATATATTTTTTTCCAAAACTTGATTTATATTAAGTTAGAAAGAACGTTCTTTCTCATTTTTGACATGCTGACTTTAAGGCAATTTTTAATGCATGGTTGTCAGCAAAAAGGACAGTCAAAATTACAAATTGGGGATACTGAAATCAAATATATGGGAATCGTTTTAACAGGGGACGGAAAGTGCTACACGAAATTCCGAAGGCGCCTTTGGATAGCGAAAGATGTCTTCCAAATGTTAATCAAAGTATTAAGAAACAGGAAATTATCGTTAGAGCCAAACAAACTGAACTGATATGTAATGTCGGTCCTCCAATATGACAGTCAATGCTGGACGATCTTTTCACAGATGAATGTGAGACTTGAAGCAACAGAAATATGATTCTACAGAAGGATGCTGGGAATATCATGAAACAAAAATGTCAGCAACGACTACGATCTAGAGACAATGCTAACAAAAAGTACAATTATATTTAGAATCAGAAAGAGACTTGAAATTTCCAGGGCAGATAATGAGGAAAGAGGGCTCATAAAATTTGATACCCACATGAGAGATTGATCGTAAGAGAGATAGAGGAAAACAACGCAGAACCTGCCTGGCGAGGTTGAGTAAATTGATGGCAGGGTAGGGGTTGGGAGATATGGCAAAAAAGACAAAATTTATTAAGAGCTACAAAGGACAGGAGATTATGGAGAGCCGTGATCGCCAACGACCTGAAGGGACACGACGCACAGAAGAAGAAGATGCTAAAATAACCATAATTCGTTTTATTTTGCTATGAGAAACAAAAAAGACAAGGGGAATCAAATATAAATGCAAATAAAAAATATAGTCCTGGGTATGACGATAAACTACATCCGGCAGCAAGGCCTCTGATCGGGAGATTGGAGGTTTTGAGGAGCGTTGAACCACCTCTTAATTGCTGCTGTTCAAAGGTTCACCCTTATCAGTGATGGTAGCATATGTTATGAGTAAATAACGACCGAACCACCAATAAATAAATAAAATTGTTATGGTCCAAGGTTAGGACCATGGAAGAACAACACAGAAATAACAAAGAATATATTACACGAAAAATAATACAAGAAGTGGAAGTATGGCTGTCAGACTGGTTTGGAGTGAACTACTATCAGCTCGACTCGATTCAATACCAATATTTAACAGTCTCCCCACGAGGAATGTATGTGGCACAAGGCCGAGTTTAACGTGGGTTTCTCCGAGCCCGTAGGCTCGGCCAAAAATATACCCTTTGAACCCGCCTAGACGGGTTCAGGGCCTTTCTACATCCCCGGACATAACTTTACCCTGCGACAGAAGTCGCACACAGTCAGAGACTGCGGGTGACTCGATTCAATACCAATATTTAACAGTCCCCCCACGAGAAATGCATGTGACACAAGGCTGAGTTTAACGTGGGTTTCTCCGAGCCCGTAGGCTCGGCCAAAAATATATCCTTTGAACCCGCCTAGGCGGGTTCAGGGCCTGTCTACCTCCCCGGACAAAACTTTGCCCCTCGGCAAATCTTCGTCCGGGTTCCTCTCTGACAAAGCAGAGAGTTCGACAGAAGTCACACACAGTGACTGCGGGTATCTCGATTCAATACCGTCCGTCTCTCTTGAGAGACGTAGTATACATAAGCATTAGGAAGAGTTCATTCTGTCGATCTAGGTAAGGACCCATGACAAAAATAAAATAAAAAAAATGTCAAAACAGTAGGAAAGTATAAAAAAATACATTTTTATAGTAAAAATTCCAACAATACATTTTTTTTATAAAAATTACCAAAAATAAATTTTTGTAGTGAAATTACCAGCAATAAATTTTAATAAAAGATTTACTAACAATACGTTTTAATGGCAAGTAATAAATTTTATAGGAAAATTACTAATAATACATTTTATGGTAGAATTACCAACAATACATTTTATAATAAAATGACGTAGAATACATTTTTATAACAAAATGACGAGCAATAAGTTTTATATTAAATTTGAAGACATAGCATACATTGTCTAAAAAACAAATTGCTATGATTAATCTCATTTCTTGTAAGAAGAAATTAGTTTTCACTCCGTTTGATATTGTAAGATTATTTAATAAAAAAAAAACAAAAAAAAACATGCAGCTAAGTTTTCTTCTCCAAGATCCGTGGCATTCGTACGAACTTCTGCAGTGTGGAATTATTCCTCCTTGAAAAGTCTCCTGATATACTAGCTCTCTGCGAGACTAACCTTAACTTGTCAATCCTCTCCCCTGATTTTTCGATTCCCGGCTACCTTCCTCTCATTAAAAAGGACTCTAAAATCCACATTCTGGTCTGGGAGTTTATGTCTGCGATCTGGCTAGGGATCTCTCTCTTGAATCTCCAGACCATTCGTAGATGTGTCTCCGTCTATCTCTCCTCAATCCTGTAAGCTATCTCTTTTTTCACTATCGTTCCCCTTCCTTACAAGACTGTGGTGTGCTCGATAGCATTTCCGGTAATATCGACAAAGCCTTCTCTCTACATCCGTTTGCGCACATATTCGTCTTCGGTGACTTTAACGTCCACCATACCATGTGGCTTAAACATTCTGTAACTGACCTCGCTGGCATACAAACCCTTTCAATCACTCACACAAGTTGTTGACTTTCCTACACGTTTCCCCAGTAACCCTGACAGTAACGCTTCTTTTCTCGATCTCTGTTTTACCTCCATCCCTGACTCTTGTCGCTCTACGCAGATCTACCATCTTGGCAACTCTGATCATGCTGTAGTGTCTCTTAACATCTTCTACTCCCATTCCAGCCAAAGAACCTCCTATTAAGAGAATATCTTTCTGTTATCAACGAGCAGACTGGGACTCGTTCTGTGGTTTCCTTCACGACGTCCCTTGTAATGTGGTTTTTAATCACCCTCTTCAAAATGTGCGCCTGATGTCTCCTCCTAGGGTAAAAGCTGGCATCGATATATAAAGTTAAATCGAACTCATCTCCTTGGTTCACAGCTGCTTACTCATCTGCTATTGCCCATAGGAATTACTTCTTCCGTCTGTACCGAAGAGACATGTCTGATTGCAGCAGACGTGTTTTTGTCTCTGCTCGTAATGAGTGCAAGCGTGTCCTCAATGAAGCAAAGTTACTATTTGCTGATAGAATGAAACAATGTATTGCATCTCGCAAGTTTGGTTCTAAAGATTATTGGCGGCTCTGAAAGAGCGTGCTGAACAACAGCAAATCCACAATACCTCCTCTATTCAATTCATTTTGAGGTCTTAACTTCCTCAGCAGATAAGGCTGAATGCTTTGCTCGGAAATTCTCATCCAATTCAACACTCGACTCATCCGGAGTACCTACACCTGATTTCCTCCCTAGAACCGAGGCTCTATTGAGTGAGATGAGCATAACCCCGTCGATAGTTTTGGACATCATCTCCAAATTAGACTCTCAGAAGGCAAGTGGTGGTGACGGGATACCAGCCGTAGTCTTAAAGAAATGTGCTCCTGAGCTGGCTCCAGTTTCTCTCTAAACTATATAACTATTGCCTCGCTTACTCTTGCTTTCCAGCCTGTTGGAAGTCCTCCTCTGTCGTCCCTGTTTTTAAGAACTCTGGAGACCCTTCTGACTCATCTAACTACCGTCTTTATCAGTCTCCTACCATTCTTCGGCAAATCCTTCGAGGCTTTAATTAATACCGAAGTGGTTAAGCATCTTACCTCCCACAATCTATTTTCTGACGACAATTCCGTTTTGCCCGGTCTACCGCTAATGTGTTTGCGGTCATAACTGAATATATATATATATATATATATATATATATATATATATATATATATATATATATAATCTTGATAATATTGGCGAAGCTCGAGCCGTGGCTTTTGATAGGATTTGGCATGCCGGACTTCTTCATAAGCTTCAGGGATACAGTATTACATGACGATTATTCGATTTAATACAATCATTCCTATCAAACAGTGAAATGAAGGTCGTTCTTACCGGGTTCTCTTCCAGTTCCTTTAATACGAACGCATGAGTTCCCCAAGGCTCTATCCTGGGTTCTACACTGTTTCTGATCTTCATCAACGTTCTTCCTGATGTCATCAGTTCCCAAGTAGGCATCTACGCAGACAACACTATTATTTACTCCTTTCTCAATAGTAAATCAGGCAGCGCTGACAAAGCTAACCTGGCCGCCGGTTTCGAAAAGGACCTCAAATCTGTGGTTGACTGGGGTAGGAAATGATTTGTAAACTTTAATGACTCCAAAACGAAACAGCTCTCATTTACCCACCATAGAGCAACCGCCTTGCCTCCTATCAGCATGGCTAATGCTCAACTCCACGAGAACGTCTCTCTGCGCCTTCTTGGTCTCACGTTTTCCACTGACCTGAGGTGGAACAACTACATTGAATCAATAGCTTCATCTACCGTAAGGAAAGGTGGTTCTCTGTCAAGCCAGAAGGTTTTTCTCGCCTGAGTTCGTCCTTCAATCTCCAAATCTACCATTCGACCTTGCATTGAATACTATTGCCATATATGGTCTGGTGACCCCGATGTTCATCTCAGAGTCCTAGACAAAATCCAGAGACGTATATGCAATGTGATAGGTCCTGACCTGGCATCTCGACTCCAGTCACTTTCTCACAGACGTGATGTGGCTTCCCTCTGTCTTTTCTACAAATATTTTCATGGCAACTGCTCTGGCGAGCTATTTTCACTGGTGCCTCGACTTCATGAATTTAACCGTGCTACTAGGTTGGCATCTCGGTCCCACCCTTTCAGCGTCGAAATAGTTAAGTGTAAACGTCTCTTCCACCCCAACAGCTTCTTATCTCGCACTTCCAGCTAGTGGAACAATCTTCCTTCTACTTACTTTCCTGATAGCTATAATCTTCAAATATTCAAATGTAATGTCAATCGACATCTTCTGATGCCTTTATCCTGATCCTCGTCTTTCTCTATATCCGTTCCTCAAACATCCCTCTTTACACTTGCTCTCACTCTCTGTAACTCCTTGCGTGCTAGTGACACTCTTGCCTTGATTAGGGTGAAATGCTAAAAATAAATAAATAAATAAAAAATAAAAAAAAAATAATGTCATTCTTTTGAATTCATTATAATGTTTAAAAGTTCATATCAGCTTTGATAGTGTCCAAATGCATCTCCGAGTCCCTGTGTGTGACGAATTATCCCCCCCTCCACCATCTCTTCTACAGGCGGGGATGAGGCAAGCCTCTCGCTACTCTAACGCTACTTACATTCCCTGGTCCTGCCAAGTCAAGCCTTCACGGCAAGAACACGCCATGTCACTTGCATAATAGCACCCCGCCACATCCTCTTCTTATTCCATCAGTGAGAAATAAGTTCCATTCGAACAGCTTCTTCCCACGAACTACTGCCCTGTAGAACAATCTTAACATCTTAATAAAATAAGGGAATAGAATCATTTGATGTTGTTGGTCCTAAACTTTTGTATGCCAGTGTATTTGACAAGACATGACACAAAAAAAAGAGTCGCAAATCCATATTAATATCAGTTTTCAAAACAGTAATTGTCTTCTGTAAAGAAAATGTCTTCTGTAAAGAAATTTACTACAAAATGCAGTAAATTTGGTATCGCAATTTTTAGCTCCAATGATTTCTGTGCAAATTTTGAAAAAAATTAAATTTGGTTTAAAATTGCACTTTCTTTACATATATTCTTTTTACTTTACTGAAAATGGATGCTATAATTTTGAGGAAGGTACGATTTCAAGTGTGGACAAGACTTTTGAATTCACTGATCGACTGAACGACCGAATCATTGTGTCAATAAAAGCAACACAAATAGTCGTCCGAACAAATATTAGGACGGGTGGCATATATTTCTTTTCCCAAGTTGCGGTCATTAACAAAAAAAAAGAAAAAGAAAAAGAACATGGGGGTTGATAAAGCTTCGAGCTTGAAAAACACGCATGAGCGCACAGATAATATTAAAATCAAAAATGCAATTTTACCTTGAGTTGAGCATTGGTTCTCTTGAGGAAGTTCGTTTCGTCGGCGTGTTTCTTTTCCTCCACTTTCCGTTGTTCAGCTGCCCGTTTCTCGATTTGGTCGCATTTGGATTTCAGTTCATTCACTTGGCGTTCCAACTCTTTTTTCTCCTGCTCTAAGTCAAAAATCTACAAAACAAAAGACGATGTCCGTAAATGATACTTGAAGGTCACAACGTTACAGATATTTATTAAGTTTAATTTCAATGGCGTCGCCCATAGGGTGTTTAAATCGTTTGGATGAATCAGAATTTGTAGAGACTTGGATCCGATGTTTTGCAGCTCAGGTTAGGGCTAAAAAAAAAAAAAAAAAAAATGAAACCAGACAAAAGAGGGGAAAAAAAAAGAAATAACTGATTCGTTCAGCCACATCCGGAATTTGAACTCGAGCTGCCGATTTCATATTCAGGGCTGGTAAATTAGACCAGCCGCAAATTTCACGTCAAGTTCTTTTTTTATGTGAAATGTCCCTTCAGGGTGTAGGCGATCATGGCTCTCCACAATTTATTATCCTTCGTAGCCTTTAATGAATTTTGTCTTTTAGTTAAACTTTGTTCCGCCACCCATTTGCTCAATCTCGCTAGTTAGGTTATGGGTTGATTTCTTCTCGCATTAATCTGTCTTGTGAGTATCAGATTTTCCAAGCCCTCTTTCCTCATTATGTGCTCTATAAATTTCAACTGTCTCTTTTTTATATTAAGTATAAGTTTCTTTTTGTTTCCGTCTTCCATAAAATTTAATTGCTAATATGTTCAATCCATAGTATTCTCACCATCCTTCCGAAGAATTACATTTCTCTGTTGGCATCTCTGAGATGAGGTGTTATGACTACTTACATTATTTACATTATTCGGACTGTTATCCGCGTCTTCATTGCCATATTCACAACATATCAGCCGTTGTACGCTCCGGCCTTCTTAGAGTGATTGGAATTTCGAACCGAACACTTTATTTCGTCCACCGGGATAAATTGTTCTAGTTCCACGTGCCATGCCTCTTCCGGATGTCTCAGTTATTTCCCTTTCTAGTCACTGGGTCTAACCAATGTCTTTATTCACTGGACTATACGTCCTCAAAGACAGTCTACCCCGGTGGACGAAATAAAGGGTTAGGTTCGAAATTCCAATCACCTGAAGAAGGCCGGAGCGTACACCGGCCGAAACGTTGTGAATATGGCAATGAAGATGAGGATAACAGTGCGAATAATGTAAATAAAGTAATTACAATTCTGCTGACTCATGTGTCTTCTTCCTTTCTGAGAAAATAGTCCAGCATTCACTGCCATAAAGAAAAGCTGATGCTACATAAATGTTTAGTACTCTTTTGTTTGTTTCTAACGAAATATTCTTGTTTTTTTAATACTTTGATGAGCTTTTTAAACGTTTCTAGGGACTCTGGTTTATCTCAAGCCTCAAATAGAACCTATATACCTCTTTCAGGACGTAGGCGACCATGGACCTCCACATCTTCCTGTGCCTTGTTTTGTCTTTTTGTTATTTCCCCCAAACTCTGTTCTACCATACATTTGCTTAGACTCATCAAGTATGTTACACGCTGCTTTCCTCTATCCCTCTATGTGCCATGTGAGGATTAGATTTTCCAAACCATCTTTCCTCATTATATGCCCCAGAAAGTTCAACTGCCCCTTCCTGATGTTAAGTATAAGTTTCCACTTCGTTTCTATTCTCTCCAAAACCTCGATGTTGCTCACATATTCGGCCCATGATATTCTCAGTATCTTTCTTTAGAACCCCATTTCGAGTCTCTTCTTCATCTTTGAGGAGATTGTCCAGCATTCACTGCTATACAGGAGGAAAGATATCATATAATATTTCAGTACTCTTTTATTTGTCTCTAACGACATTTTTCCGTCTCTTAAATACTTTGCTTAGCTTTTGGAATACATCTTTGGTCATTCCAATACGTCTCCAGATCTCAGTGTCGCACTTCTCAGATGTTCGGTCTATGATATCCTCAGTATCCTTCTGTAGAACGACATTTCTGCTGCTTCAAGTCTCTTCTTCATATTTGAGGAGAGTGTTCAGCATTCGCTGCCATATAGGAGGACATATATCACATAATAGTTCAGTACTCTTTTCTTTGTTTCTAACGAAATTTTTCCGTCTCTTAATACTCTGCTTAGCTTTTGGAATGCATCTTTGGTCATCCCAATACGTCTTCAGATCTCAGTGTCGCACATTTCTGTTGCTTCAAGCATCTTCATTATCTTTGAGAAAATTGTCCAGCTGCCATATAGGAGGACATATATCACGTTACATTCAGTATTCTTTAAATCAACTTACTTTTTTTTCCATGTCAGTCTTTCCTTGTTCAGCAGCAAGGGCCTTCCTCATACCAAACGCCACGCTACTTTCGTAGAGTGTCTGGTAAGCGGCTATCGTCATTCGTATTTCATCCCTAACACGTAACAGCAGCAAACCACGTTCTGAACAATTAATTGTTACTTGTCGAATCAGCTCATCTGGAGAGAGAAAGAAAGAATAAAAAAAGATTTTAACCATCACATATTAAATGACTGAATGTGTCCTTTGAAAGAGCTCTTGTGGGAAAAAATTACATGAGCGATAGAAATGAACTTTTCTACATGCTGGCACAAAGACAGGCATATATTAAAATTTATTATTGGTGGAATCAATCTTCAAAACATAAGATACGTAGATGATACTCTATTGATAGCAAACACAGAAACTCAACTATACGAACTCCAACAATGGCTTAAGAAAAGTTTTTAACCAGGAGAAATAAACTACACCCAATTTCAAAATTTAATTACGTAATCCCTACTCAAATAAACAGTATTTGGAACTGGTATAGAGTAGGTTCTCCATTTGCTAGTTTTAGTGCTTGTATCCGATTTTTCATGGATCAAGTTATCAACAATCGTCTGATCCATATTTTGCCACTCCTTTAACAATGTTTCTTTAAGGGTTTGTCACTGACGTGATTTTGGTTGCAGGCTCTCGAAGACTTCGGTCAGGGTGCTCCCAAACGTGTTGTATTGGATTCATATCAGGACTTTAGGCAACCCATGGCAGTGACTTGATTCCTTGCGATTCTTTCAAGGTCTTTGATACTTTACTCACATGACATGGCGCTCCATCTTCTTGATAAAGGTAGACATTCTTTTCAATCTGATTGGTTTCAAATAGTGGGATTAGTCCTTTCTGTAATATTTGACAGTATTTAATTTATGTTTAGTCCTTTCTTCTCGCTTTTCTTTACTGGCTTTTGTAGAAGTGCCCGGTATTTTCCTTTCGGTGTCTGATATCAACATCGTGTTATTTGCATATCTAATGTCCAGGGAGAAAACGCATCCATGTTTTATACCCCTTTCTATTTTTACCTACCTGGCAAATCGGGATTCGAACCAGCGTTTCATGGTCGGAGAGCGAACGTTCTAACCATTCGGCGACTATTGATAGGCCGCTAAATAAAATCAAGCAACCATCGAAAATATGTGCTCACACGGTAACACTGAGAGGACAACCCCCCTCTCTTGCCTGGCGTTGCTGCAATCAACAATCAAGTACTTCTTGCAGGTTGACTACATCTAAGCGCTTGCCGGGAATGCCAGAAACTTGTGCACCCACAACTGACGATAAACTACATCTGGCAGCAAGGCCTCTGGTCGGGAGATTGGATGTTTTGTAGCGAGTGTAATCACCTTTTAACTACCGTTTTTCCCAGGGCCACCATGACCCAGGGTGGTAGCACTTGTTAGAGTGCCAGCTATGTGGAAATAATAAACACCCAAACAAAAATCAACAATAATTTATAGTAAAATTACTAACAACACATTTTTATAAGAAAATGACAATCAATGCAATACTAAAAATATATAAAAATAAATCTTTATAATAAAATTAACAGCAATATAGGTTTTTTTTAAAAAACTACCAAGAATATATTTTGTAGGGGAATTGCCAGTAATATATTTAAATGACCAAGAATACATTTTTCATCTAAGATCTATATATCTAATACAACATACGTTTACTTTGAAAGTATAAAATTATGTAGGAAATATCTGTAGTTGAAGGCATAAAATTGCTTTCAAAAAATTTGAATCTCGCCATTAAATATGCCCTGGTTATGAGCACAAACTATATCCACGTTCCGGGGTATGACGATAAATTACATCTGGCAGCAAGGTCTCTGATCAGGAGGTTTTTGAGGATTTAGCCTTACATTTGTTGTATGTCTGTTCATTTTAAAGTCTACATCTAAACTTACTCGCCCTGTCGGCTGGAGCTTCAGAATACGCTGATTGAACCGCTGCAGAGGGGTAAGAGCCCCCCCCTCCCCAAATAAGGTGTCCTGGGTAAGACGATAAACTACATCCAACAGCAGAGCCTCTGATCAGGAGGTTTTGAGGAGCGTGGAACCACCTCTTAATTGCTGGTGTTCCCAGGTCTATCCTGACCCGGGATAGTAGCATTTGTTAGGATCCCAGCTATGGGCAAATAGTTACCCCCCACTCAAAAAAAAAAATGGGATCAAATCACTATGAAAGAGTAAAAATGGGCTTTAATACTAGCAATACATTTTTGGAAAAAAATTATTACCCGCAAATAAAAATCTTGTCGGCATTAAATGACCCATCGAGGTTGATATGCCGTAAAACAAGACAAATCAAACCAAATCAAACCAAGCCATTAAATAACCCTTAGAGGTTGATAGACCGCTAAACAAAATCAAGCAACTCTCGAAAATATGTGTAAACGCACCGAAACACTGAGAGTACAACTCCCGGCGTACTGGGCAAATACCGGTCTCTCTCGCCTGGCGCTGCTGTAATCGACGATCAAGTTCTTCTTGCAGGTTGACCACATCTAAGCGCGTGGCGGGAGTGCTGGAAACTTGTTGCACCCACAACTGACCATTGTCTGTCCACTCCCTGTAAATCATACAGCAAGCATATTAACAAACGTGAACTGATTCGTGTACTTGTAAAATCGGCAAGGGTATAAGTAATAAAATAATTATATTGAATTAAGAATGAAAGAGAGAGAGAGAGAAAGAGAGAGAGAGAGAGAGAGTAGAAGACAGAACAGAAAATAGAGAGTGATAGGGGGAGGAAGAGAGAGAGAGAGAGAGCAAGCGAGTAAAACTGTATAGGCAGTGTCGGCAAATGAATCAACAGTGCGTGGCGACTGTCAGTTTCACGTCTCAAGAGGGTTTCAAATTATAGGCCACGCCTCCTTTCATGTGCTCTCTCTCTATATATATATATGTCACTGGGGAATTAAATTAGTTAAAGGAAAAAGGAAAGCTACCTTTCCCAGTTCATCGTCAGAAGATTAAATTGTGGCGTAAAACTGATTTACAGTGCTGTGATGATTTCTATATATTCGTTGTCTGTATGTATAAACATCCTATTTTAATAGGAACATTATGGCAGGCCGCATATTACAATAGAAAATCTGTGGCAAACTGTATGCGACAACATAGGTACCCCCAAGAAAACGCTAAAAAATCAGCAAATCGTGATGAAAACATGCCCCAAACTTAATGAAAATATTTTAATCATCAAAATATGTTATTAAGAGGAAGGGTCAAGGTATTTTTAATTATTCAGTTAAAGTTTAACTTCTTTTTAGAACATTCGACATTTTGATTAAAACTTATTTTTCTTTCGTTAGCAGTTGTACTAACTTTTAACGTAACAAAGTTTTGCCCTCCTTTGACGATAACGGACACATTAATTTGAACATTCTTGCAAAAATCAAATAATTGTCGGATTTTCATGAAATCTTTAGGACTTATTAAAATTATTTAAATTTTTTTTTTTTATTAGAAAATCTAGGTAAAAATATTTTTTTTTACATGTGTTTCAGCTCCTTGCTTAATTTTATGAAAACCTGAGAAATTCAACGTGATAATTTTTTTTAGTGACTATATTAGTTAAAAGCAGAATTTTTGAAGTTTAAATTACTGATTTTTTTTTTTTTTTTTTGCAAAATCGGACCCAGTCTTCCCGAAAATCTGTTCTAAATCAAAAATCAAAAAACTCAATAAAACTAAAACATTATTTAATTAATGAAGCTTTTAGACAACTAAATGAATACTTTATATTAAAGGCAATATTGTCTGAAGAAAAACAACTTTTCGACTAAAAATGAAGTTTTACAAGACTTGTTTTCATTTTTTTTTTTTTTTTACAATTTTAAATTGAATAATTTATAAAGTTTTAAATCTTTTAAAATTAATTTTCAATGTGACAATTCTTAGGAAATATTGTTATTAAAACTATATTTACTAAGCATATATTGTAAAGCTTATTACAATCTGATGGCCTCGAATATTTTAAAAAGAATTTCGATTTGTTTTTGTATGTGTGATTACGTGCAGAATTTCTAAAGTATAGATGTACAAACTGATAAATCTATCATTAAAAGGTCACGTATTTTAATGCTGTCCCTCCTTACGGCGAAAAATCCCCAAAACCCTCGAATTTTATTGTCTGCTGCACCATACTTAACTATGAGCACGTTTGGCTGTCAATAAACCGATTAACACATCAGAAAAAACAAGGCCCGTAGTTAAGAAATGTTTGTATGTAACATCTCATGCTAATTAAGTAATATTTGTTTCAAATCAGATTAACTTTAAATTTGCTAATTTTCCTCAAATAACGTTTAAGAAATATATATTTTATTTTTGCGAGATTTTTAAAACAGCGACTTTTGTTTAGAAATATGAAAACAATGTCCGTTTTGATCGATTTTACTGAAAAAAAAAAATCGATTCCGATCAATATAATTTCTGTTGGAAATACACCACAGAATATTTTGCTTACTGAAAATAGTAAATTTTTAAATCCTTTAGCTTTCAATTAAAAGTAAAAGAAAGCTTTTCGATTTTTAAAAATTCATTTAAAACCTTACGTATACCGAATTAGTGGAGGTAACTATACAATAGAAACATTGTGGCAGACCGCATATTACAATAGAAACATTGTGGCAAACTGTCTGCTACATTAGAAACATTATGGGTGGAATGCCAATTATATAATGAGAGTGTTAAATGACTATTTACCTTGGTGGCAAAATTGAATTGAGAACTTCATCAGTTTGTTGAGCTGTCTTAGTGTCTGTAGGAGGCAACTTCTGTTTCGGAGGTGGGCTTGGCACTGGGCCAGATGCTACAGGGGTCGCTGTACTCACCTTTAGAGAACGAGCCTTTAAAAAGGTAAAACAAAATATATCAACAAATGCAACAGGAAACGATTGACTATTAAAAAGAGGCTGGAGATGAAGACATCACAAGAAGGAGTTGTTTTTTTGTTTTTTTTCAAACGAATTTTTTCGCTGTTATTTTTAGAAATATTGCTGACTTTTGAATTTTGTTCTTGTTGGAATGCAGGTCCGAATCTATATTTCTGTTCTTTCCTCAAGTTCACCAGAGGCGGGCGACAAGAGATTGTGGCGGACTTCACCACATTAATTTAACTTTAGATTAGGAAACAGGGCTGACGCAGAAAAGGATAAGCCAAAGACATTGTTATACATAAAATTTGTATTTAAAAAGATGTACAATATCAAACAACGATTAAATGCAATGTCAATCGCTATCTACTGTCCCCCTGATTACTCTCTTCTCTTTCTGCATCATTAAAGTTTCTGTTCTCAATTTTCCACACACTGTAAACACTGCCTTGCTTGGAGCGATTGGTGATTAAAAAAGTAGTTTGAACTCTCTCTCTCTCTCTCTCTCTCTCTCTCTATATATATATATATATATATATATATATATATATATATATATATATATATATATTTTTAGCAGCATATTTTCATTCAAACAGGTTTCGTTAAATAATTTAGACATATTGTCGGAGCTAAATCCTCCTTAATTTCCTAATTGTCCAAATTGTTTGCTATATATATATATATATATATATATATATATATATATATATATATATATATATATATAGAGAGAGAGATTCCTTTTGAAAATGGGAAAAGAGAGACAGATCTCGAGAGCGCCAAAAATAAACACGTGCCCATTTTGAAAAATTGCTATGCGTGAAACAGGTTGTAAATGAGTAACTAAATAAAAAAAAGTTACCACCCATGCCCCTTGCGTCTTAGTGGCTTTATTGTTTTGCGTGGAGTGAAATTATTAAAAAATCTATAAAAAGTAGTAAATTAAAACAAGCTGAGATTATTTTATTCTTGACTAGCAGTAGAGCCCGGCGTTGCCCGGGGATGTAACAGTAAGAGGTAAAGTATCGACCATCATAAAGACTGAAAAATAAAATTGACAAAGATTATTGTTTAAGGTTGACGGACACGCATGTCTTAATTAGTTTTTTTTTTTTAACGAATTGGTCAAACCCAAACTCAAACAAAAACATTGTTTTCAATCGTTATGAGTCTACCGATTGAATAGAATTTTATTATAAACAATTGACTTGTAAATGGAATTTTTAAAGCATTCTGAATGTAAAAATAAAGAAAAAAGTGTGCAAGACAATAAGAAACACTACCTGCCAAAAAAAAAAAGTGAAGTTTTGTTGAAATCGGTTGAAAAATGTAGGAAATCCGATCCCATATATAAACGAACACACACACAACCTGGCTTTTATAAGTATAACTCGATATGAGTTGTCCCCCTTTCATTCCCGCGATAGCGATGCGTCGTAATCGTGTTTTCAAATTGATTTCGTGCAAAAACAATTGTTTTTCCAATTTCTGGCGCTGTCAGAACCACCGCAAGGTAATTTTACGTAGTCTTTGTTGAAATCGGTTGAAAAATGTAGGAAATCCGATCCAATATATAAAAAAAAAAACACACACACACACACACACACACACACACACACAAACCACAAAACCTGGGTTTTATAATAAGTATGATTGTTTATGTCACAACTTTGGATCCAACTGAAGTCAAGGACGATTGACGTTCACTTAGAGAATTTTGTTACTTTGAAATAGATACAATTGGTAGTTGGTCTACTCAGGCTCAGTCTGATTAGACCTACCCTTAGTCACTACTTATATATATATATATATATATATATATATATATATATATATATATATATATATATTAAGCGTTTCCTCCAAGCAAGGCGGGAAGTCACTAGCACGTAAGGGGTTACAGAGAATTAGATCGAGAGCAAAGAGGAGTGATAGAGGAAAGGATGAAGAGAAGGATAGGGGATAGATCAAGGCATCTGGAGACGTCGATTGACATTATATTTGGATAGTTGGAGATTATAGCTCTCAGGGAAACAAGAAAAAGGGAGGGAGTTCCACAGGCGAGAGGTGCGAGATATGAAGCTATTGGTGTAGAAGAGACGGCTACATTTAGTAGTTTCGACAGTGAAAGGGTGAGAGCGGGATGCCAGCCTCGTAGGGCGCTTGCATTCATGAAGTCTGGGAACCAGCGAATGCAGCTCCTCGGAGCAATTACCATGAAAGTATTTGTAAAAAAGACAGAGAGAGGCGACGGCGCATCTGTGAGAGAGCGACTGTAGACGAGATGCCAGAACAGGGCCAATTATATTGCATATCTGGAGCTTATGAAGAACCCCGAGGTAAACAGAAGGGCTCCAGATCATATATGGCAGCAATACTCCATGCAAGGGCGAATTATATATATATATATATATATATATATATATATATATATATATATATATATATATATATATAATATATATAGAGAAGAGAGAAAGCCGCAAATTTTTGGTTATAATGTGGATTTTTTAAATATATATATTATACTTTATTTTCTATATTTTTGCTACACGAGTTTCAGGTCTTGCGACCTTTATCAGGCGAAGAGTCGTTATTTCCACATATTATTTAAAGGAATGAATTTTTCCTTATGTTTTCATTGTCTTTTGTGTGTAGTAGTAATCCAAATTTTCTTGAACTTGTAAATTTTCTTGGACTTGGACAACTGCCCTCAGATTGACACCCAAACACTTTGAAATGTTCCTATTGAAGCTTCCAGCGCGAATGCCAAGCAGTACAGGATGCCGTTTCCAAATTTCTGGTGGCGTGAATTGCATCATAGTGCTCTTTTTCTCACAGACGGTGCCCAACTGATCTTACTATACTGTGCATTCGACAAAATAAAAAACAAAAACAACGCGCATGCGCGAAATTAAAAAAAAGGCGACAATTTATCCATCAGGCGTGTCTAATGCATTAAAAATGATCGTTAGAAAGTCTAAGACTATTCATTTTTATAAGACTTACATATTTAGCTTTGAATTTAAAATGAAATGAAATGGAAAAATAAAAGAATACAGATTGACATTGATTGACCTGACATGCCGCGAAAATAACTGAAATGTGGCCTCAAAGTTCATATGACTGAAGGTTAGTGATAAAAGACTAGTAAGTGTGAAACGATCTCTCTTTAAATTATTCAAGATAGGACTTAAGGGAACAATTTTGCTGAATTCTCTCTCACTTGTGAATCCACTGCATTTCTGCAGTTGTCGTCTGACAATTCTTACCATCGTCTCTATTAACAATTTCAATTTTCAGCATGATTCTTATACAGGAAACTATCTCTTGAGATTACTTCACAAGATTAATATTTGCTACAGTAGCATTTTATTCCATTTGGAGGTGCATGCCGTAACATGGTTGTTGGCAAATTCGTCTTGCAAACTAATTCATTCAATTACTTCCCTGTTAATGTAGCCTTGTGCCAGACTAAGTTTAGGTTTGTAAATAATTACATTATATTTCCTTGCTATCATTAATGAATATAAAACATACTAAAATAGAAAATGTATAGATCGTATTTTAAGATCAGAGAGAGATAGATATAGACTGATATATATATATATATATATATATATATATATATATATATATACAGAGAGAGAGAGAGAGAGAGAGAGAGAGAGAGAGAGAGATTAAAAAGACATGAAAATGAATAGATAGATATGAAATGATCGAAATAGATGGATAGAAAGATATAAATATATTGAAATAAATTAGTCAATTGTTAGAAAATCGATAGAATAATCATCGTATTTTTCTTGCTTCACAATTTTTATTGTCCTAAATATTGTAAAAAATCACAGAAAATCACAAAATGAATTCTTCCGAACAAAAATCACAAAATAAATTCATCTGAACTAAAAAAATGGGGAAACTGTAAACGTTATGACTCTTATAAAGTGGGAAAAGACATACAAAATAGAATACTTAATATTAATTAAAAAATTTAATAATGATCTCTTCTGTCGTTTTTCAAAAACTTTTCTATAGTTACTTCCCTTGAATTACAATAATATGGCATGAATTACCGCCCTTGAAGAAGATAGCATGCATTGGAAATATTTCTCTTTTTTGTCACTGACTGTCAATTCATTAATAACAAAAATTACGAAAACTAATTATAAGCATTTTCAAGGAAGAAATTAATTTTTAAAAATACACAACATTAATCCGAGAATATATGCCAGCAATCCTTCGTTCTTTATGTTTTCATAATCTCAAGAAAGACAATGATTTTTACTCCTTAGATTATTTAAAAAGTTTTTTTAATCATATCACCCCTAGCAAGGTAATAAAACCATTGAGACGAAGAGGTTACTGAGCGTGAAAGAATGTGAAAAAGAATAAATAACTTATTATGGCGGGACAACAACAAAAAACAAGAATTAAGAAGACAAAAGATGATGATTGATACTGAATTTAAATTTTGAAGATGTTACTTGGTGTGAAAGAATATGAGAAAAAAAAATACTATTACGGCGAGAGGACAATAAAAGAACAAGAATTAAGAAGACTGAAGATAACGATTGATGTTGCATCTCAATTTTTGAAGATCAAAGTTGTCTGGAAAGCAAGACACTGAAAAAGAGTTCCACAAGTGCAAGAAAAGAAACTGATAGCATAGAACTTAGTTTACTTGGAAATATTTTGGTGTGTATTAAAACATTTTATCTAAATTTTCATATTTATCAAAATGAAAGAGAAATTAAAATTTTTAATCCTCTTGCTCATCTTCCAAGCCTCAAATTGCAATAGACCTGGTTTTTGTAAATTAAAATAAGATCAAATAAAAAAAGCTTCACCTAGCATATTTGATTTGTGTTTTAAAGCTGAATTAGTGAAAAATGAAATTTTAAAAAGTATTTAACTTTACAGTTGAAGACTTATATAAAACAAAATTCCTCCAGAATAAGGAGAAGAAAATGAATTCATGAGTCACATAACGGCCGATGATTGATGTCAGTTCGTAGAATAACAAACACCAGTTGCTATTTAGCATGTGTAGAAGCATGATGTATCTGCCCACACCTGCTAGTATGTAGATTGTGGAGAAGATGGACATCACAAGTTCAGAGTAGAACATACACCATTGGCCTGCCTGTTTTCCATAAGACCTTCTCACTTTTCACCTCTTTCCCTCTGCTTGCTGTATTCATAAGTTAGAACTTCATAGTGCGAGACAAATTAGTGACAAGTATTTATTTAGTTGTATATAATTTCTTGTATGACAACGGTATATTAAAAACTCTGAGTATATGTTTTTCTTTACTTTCTTTCAGCTATTCTGTGCTGTCTGTATTTTAAGGTCTTGGTATATCACAAATATACTAATGCCCGTAATGGGGAAATGCAAACTGGAACTATTCTCTCTTTCCTAGCACTCCCATTAAAAATTATTCAAGAAGATGACAGTAAAATTGAAAGATAGTGAAAAGCTAGAAAAAATATCTAGACCAAAAAAGAAATGCAGAGTATTAAAACGACAGTAGTGCCCATTGATATAGGAGCACTTGGAATAGTTTTGCAGAGACTTTAAAAAAGTTTGAAAGAATTGAAAATTTGAGAGAAAAATGAGATCATTCAGATGATGGCATTGCAAAAATCAGTTGGAATACTGAGGAAAGTGCTGAAGTATTGAAAAGAATTGTTGTCACTTGATCTCTAGTGAAAGAATGGCTGACATGAAAATTGAATGAGTGCAAATAATAATAATAGTAATAATAATAATAATGATAGTGTGGGATTTCTTGGTTCAGGCAGATCATATCAGTGAAACATGAAGATCTGACCTTATTGTTATAGATAAGAAAAAAGAAAATTATTGATTTTGCTGTTCCATATGATACAAGAATGTACTCCAAAGATACTGTAAAGATTGTAAAATATCAGGACTTGATACTATTGAATATGACTTTTGAAGTAGTTCCTGTAATAATGAGGGAACTTGGAACACAACTTAAACTTGAAAGAATACTTCGGGAAAATTTGATTCAAGACCAAGATTGCAGACTTTCCAAAAGTTACCATCATTGAGTCTGTAAGAATTCTCTAAAAGGTTGTGAAGAATCTTGTCCCTACCATGCCTCAAGAACAGGAGTTCCATTGATGATATCAATGTGACACAAACATTATTATTAATAATAATATGTTTATTCCCAGCAATGCACATAGCTATAGTGTCCATAACATTTATAACAGCATGAAGTATACTGACCTTTATTTAGACAAAAATGAAACTAATAAACAATTTGAAGATGGTAATGGTAGTGCCATTTGATAAAGCCATAATATACTTGTCACATTCTGTATTTAGATCCAAACAATTGATTTATCACAGCAAGACTTTTGAAATTAAAAGAATCAGACAAATAAGACTGTAAGCAGTCTTTCTCATATATGCTTTTTTTTTAAAATTTTATAGATGTGTGTAATGAGTGTCCAGATAATTTAGCTGGAAAATAGAAGAAGTGTTTGGGTTTTCTTACATTGAATTTTTGTTAACTGCTAAGAGATAACTGTTACTATTATGGCCTGCAAAAGGAAAAGGAGCTGAGATTTTTGTTGATGCACTTGTTGATGGCCTGTCCGTGTTAACTGCTTGTCCAAGGAGTTGATTCTCATTTGTTTAGAATGAGTGTATTAATGATTATAATTCTTATAATTATTTTATTATAATTATTTTTGACACTATAAATAATTTTGATTTATTCATTTTTCATGGGTAAAAAACAGTGACAGTATAATTAATTTTTTATTTATGCATTTCTTTATAGACACAACAATATATGCAATCCATTGCCAAAGATGCTGAAAAATTGTCAGCTCAGTCTATTGCACCAGAAGACACGAGAGTTAGTCATCTTAAAAAGAAAATTTCGTATACACAAATCTATGCCAAGCGACTCGTTTACCCTAAGGCAAAAAGCAAAGTGGCTAGAGATTGAAAGACTCACTAAGAAATGAAACCATATGTTGACTTCTGTAAACTGTGTATCATCGCAGTTACTAAATGTACAAACTTTTTTTATATTAGACACAAGTCCATTTCTTCAAAGATATCATCTTGCATAAAAGATGTTACAAAAAGGCCATATTTTAATTTGTTATGGATGATGTAATCTAATTTGATATTGTTTAATTATGAGTATTAGGATAATGTAGCAGTTTTCAAGAAAAAGGTGTGGAGTACCTTAAGAAATACATTACCAGCAGCAGCCGAGATGGTATAAAAACACGGAACTCTTAATTAATTCTCTTTTTTCTATTTTTTCTCCTTTTGAAGTGTGTGTTATCAACTTTACACACCGAAGCAAAAAAAAAAAAAAAAAACGAAACAAAAAAAACAAAAAGGGTTGTGGAGACTTCACATGCAAACAACCCTACACAAGCAAGTCACACTTAAATACATTAACAATTTTTGTTGTGTAATCCATTTATTTCAAGGTAAAGAACTTTTAAACTTTCCTTTTGTTATTTTTGTTAAATGTTATCTTGTATTGCAGATCAATCAGTCTCTGTTATTTTGCACATTTATTTATTTATAATAATAATGTCCCTACAGATGTAGCATGGCGAGTCTTAGGTGTAAAGATCTGAACTGGTGGGACTAAAGAAAAATTATGGGAAGTTTATTTACTATATTAATTGTGGCAATGGCAAATTACCAATTCTAGATGCTGATATAGATTGCAGGTGAAACACAGTAGTAGAATGTGGGGCTACAGATTAAAGAAATTAGGTTAATTTCATGAGTAGTGGAAGCTCATTAATGCTGTTGCTTGGGTGATCAAACTATTCTTTAGAATGGTTAGTCTTGAATGTTAAACCACCAAACCTAAGTGACAAACTACGACTCAAATATTTTCTCATATCGATATACCAAGTCAGGGGAGACAATTATAACAGTGGTTGTTATTTGGCCCCAAACTGGCTTTAAAAAAAAAATCATTTCACCTCAAACAAGGCAATAAAGCCACTAAGACACAAGGAGAGTACTGAGTGTAATATAAGAAAAGGGAAAACATTATTAAGGAGAGAGAACAATAAAAAAAACAGGAATTAAGAAGACAAAAGATAATGATTGACATTGGAGTTAAATTTTTGAAAATCAAAGTTGTGTTATGATTCATGATGATGATATTTCATTATAAAAAAAGAATGAAAATCTTAAATTCCATCATACAAAAAATAGCTTTTCCATTGTCGCCAGTGACAGTCTGAAACAAGGGTCATGGCTGTTCCACACAGAGAGAGAGAGAGAGAGAGAGAGAGAGAGAGAGAGAGAGAGATATGAAAATCCAGCAGTTGATGGTTTCAAAAGCCACCCTCAACTACGAAATTTTCAGAACAACTATAATCAAATAAGACAAGATCTTACAAGAAAAATAAAATAAAAGACAATAATCCTGAAGAACATTTAACATATACAACAAAAACAATATTGTAATAACATCACAAAAATATACATTCTTAACATTAATTTCAATACATGTCGCAAAGTCTTATTTGTTGTATTTTATTGTTGTACATTCTATTCATTTCCATTTTCAGTATAAAGAAAGGAATCCTCTGTCAAATACTAATATATATGTAATATGGAGTAATTTACATTAATAACACAGTCAACCCTGTAACAGTTGACTGGTAAGCAAGCGGCTATTTATAAAATTACTGAAGATGATAAATCACACTAATTTCCAGTGTGTCTTCAAGTTGAAACAAATTTCATGATGTTGATATATCTCTTTTGCTAAGTTTAACTAAGTCTGACAAAAGGTCATGAGTGTAGAGAGCATCGAGTAAGAACCAAAGTCGCTCATGAAGGAATTGGTTTGAAGGAGTCATTGAATATGTTTAATAACAATATTAAGAAAGAATTTTCTTTATTTTTTCTTATATTCTTTCACACTCAGTAACCCCTAGTATCTTAGTGGCTTTATTGCCTTGCTTGTAATGAAATGATTAAGAAATAAAAGAAGAGTTACAGTCTGAAATAATAATTTAAGCAAAACATTGACTTTTTTATTTGACAGTCAATGGGAAAGGAATTTTAAAAATTATATTTTCCATGAAATTATTTTTTAAGGAAAGTAATTGACCAGATACTAAGATTAAAATCAAGCCCTCCCACCCAAATAAAATAAAATAAAAAGAAGCTTAATTTCATTAAACTCTATTTATTTAAATTATTTATTTAAATTTATTTAAAACAGTGTTAGAAATGTTCAGTTTATCTCAAAACAAATAAGGGTACCACACTGTTTTCAGAATTTTTTAAAACAAATAAAAAATAAAAGAAAAGAATCTATTTCAAAAGTCTAGAACTCACGCGCGTTGTTTTTTTCTCTGTATTCCGGCTGACCAAAATCGCGCAATCATATTTAACCAAAGAAGTATTTGGAGGAATCATTATGAAATTTTGTTTTAAATCACTGATAAATGAATAGCTCGTAATTTCTTGAAGCGTTACTTTGTAACTATGACAACGTATTAGCTCTCTGCACTAAAAATATAATTTCTATAAAATTATTAAAACGTATACATTCTGATAAAATGAATAATTACTTAGATTTTTTTTTAGTTTTAAAGATTATAAGAACAGTTCTGATGATATTATTTTTTCAAAAAGTAAAATGTTTTAAAATTATAAACTTGTAGATTTACTGCGGAATTGTTAAGATGGCGTATTTTTGACCACATGTTAGTTCCGAGTTTGATTTATGAAATTTTAGGTAAGTTTTTTTCAATGTATTCATGATTTTATAGAGTTTTTATGTTAAAGTATTATGCTTTATACGGTAGATTTACTAAGTATAATCGACATTTACTGTTGTTGCCGTTTTTTTCCCCCAAAACAATGTCTTCTCGACTGTTTCTTCGTCTGTCTGTTTATATGTGTTAATTATTTTGTTTTTTTTTCTTCTGATTTTGAAACTTTTGATAATATGACTGAATCTTTTATTTAGAGATCGTTGAAAAAGAAACCCCGAAATTGTTGAACTCTAATTAAAATGGAAAGCCTAAAATTTGTCTGTCTTTAAAAAAAAAAAAAAAACAGCATTTAAATGAGCGAAGCGATTCTCATAAGAACAGAAAATAATTTCTATTCTCTAGTCTAGAGGATCGGTTTTAATGTTGATTCTATTATTTAAATTCGAACGTAAGTTACATTTGGTCTTGACTAACATTTTTACCGCGCACACGTTGAATAAAAATAAATGGGATAAGAAGCAAAAGCCGAAAATGTTTAAAAAATAGTGATGTCATCTCATCAGAATATTTTTGACAAGAGGCTTCATTGAACACTCGGATCACCATAAATCGAACTGTTAGTTACTAATTTTAAAAAGTGTAAGTACCGCTAATAATTGTAATTTAGGTTGAATTATTATAATTAATTCAACCTAAATTGAATAAAAAGCAGATCGAGCACAATAATAGGCGAAGTTACTGTTTGTTTTTTATTTTTTGTTATTTTCTTTGAAGAATTTATCCTTCACCACCGTAATTATCAGCGCTGTAAGTATATTTATCTATTCAGTTTACTTTAATTGACTAAAGTTTAGTCAATTGTTTTATTAAAGTCGTTGTCTTTCTCCAGGACCGGCTGCCTGGTAAACCTAAAACACAGTAAGTCACCCCCCCCCTAGGACTACGTGCCCGGTAAATGGTCGTGATAATGATTACAATCTCTTTCATGACAATATTTTGATAAGTACACACATCGAGCCTAAAATTGAACTTAGTTATTATTCTTATTGTGTTTTCTTTGCATTCCATTTCATTTATTCTTGTATGTATCAATTTCATTTTTTATTTGAGTCGTGTTTGCAGCTACATCACATTGAAACACCGGTTTTCGTTAAGCCCGGTCAATACCTAAATAGGTGACCGATTAAGAATAATACCCCGTGCTTTAAGCTTGGGTGTGCGGATGGTGTAATTGATTATGGCTCAGTTTGGGTTCGTTATTCAGTTACATGAAAAAATACTCTTGGGAAAGGTTTGAATACCTCTTCTCTCCTAGGACATTCACTTTTTTTCCTGGAAAAAAAAAAAATTACAGCATAGAATGGTGAAAAAAGGTTCCAAAATTAAAAGCAAAAAACATATTTTTTATTATCTTATTAATTTTTTTTCGAAATTTTGGTTATTTTTTTTTTTTTTTTTGTTAGCAGTCAACTGTCAACCAATATTTACAATTATTGTTTTAGTACCTTTTTTCTGGTGAAAGCACGTTGTTTTTGAAATTCTTGCAAAAATCAAATAATTGTCGGATTTTAATGAAACTTTCAGGACTTATTCACAAATGAATAAATTTTTTTTTAGAAAATCTTGGTAAAATTTTTTTTTTTTTTTTAATACATATGTTATCCGCCGCTTACTTAATTTCATGAAATTTCGAGAAATTAAATTTTCATCCTCAAATTTAATTTATTAGTTAAAAAAAAAAAGAGCAGGTTTTCTTGGAGAATGTAAATCATCAATTTTTTTTTCTTTCTTCGTACTGCTACTCATTTCCCGAAAATCTGCTCCGAATCATAAAATAATTCAATAAAACTGACGTCATTTAATTAGAAAAGCTTTTTTAATTACTTTTTTTATAAATAAGATTTATTAAGGACACTATTGCCATGAGAAAATAAATTTTTATTGATGAATTTTTTCAAGAATTGTTTTCATTTTTTAAAAATTTTAATTAGAATAAATTTATTACAATAATTTTTTAAAAAATCATAAAATTTTATATTAGTTTAATTAATTTTGTTAGGTGATATTGTTAATAAGTGAAAACTATATTTACTAATCAAAAATTGTAAAGTTTAATACAAATCATTTTGCACCAAGATTTTTAAAATAATTTTTAATTTTTTTATGTATATAAAATATTATGTAACATGCCCATTTTTTGAAAGTATTATCAGAAAATAAGAGCAATGACTATAGTAAATTTAAAGTTAACATTCCTAAAATTAGATTATGGAGAATATTTTCCAACATTTTTAAGATTACTAAGTACTTAAAAATTATATAAAAAAAAAGGCATGCACGTCATTTTCTTAAATTATGTTTTACAGATAAAGTCTCCGTCAAACAATAATCATTATGACACCACCTGTCATCGCCTCATCATTTACATAAAACATGACTTTGTCAGTTAAAAACACAGCTACTGTTTGGTTTTAAAAATACATTTCTGTGTTATTTTAAATGTAAAGTAAATAATTTTTTTATTTTTTTTCAAATAAGATTAATTATACTTTAAATCAGCTAATATTCCTCATAAAGTTTCAGAAAAGTATATTTTATTTTTGGAAGATTTTTTTAATACAGAGAATTATGCTGCAATGAAAGACGGCTAAAAAATGGTTGCTAATCAGCTATTTAAAGAAAAAAATCAACTCCAATCAATATAGTTTCTGTTTGAAATACACCAGAGTATTTTGCTTACTGGAAATAGTAAATTTAATCCTTTAGCTTTCAATTAAAGCTAAAATTAAAGCTTCAAGAAAGCTTTTTTATTTATAAAAATTCATTTTACACCTTAGATATCACAAATTAGTGAAGGTGCCTAGGTTAACTAGTAAGACTTGTATCACTAAACTATTATTATCACAAAAAAAAATTCTTACAATTTAAAAATATTTTCTGGCTTCAGTTGTTGACATTAATAGCTATCTGCTGATGTGTTAAAATTTTGGAATAATGCAATAATAAAAATGTATCTCTCTGATAGATATTGTGATCTGTTAATATAAAATGTCTATACACAACCAAAGATGTGATACTCACAACATCATGGTGACTTATTTTTATCCAAACATAAAATCCCACAACAGTTATTCTTAGGTTTTCTTTGAATTCATTCTTGGCGTCCATAATTATCAGCACTGTACATGTGTTTATCAATTTTATTTAGTTAACTCTTTTATTCAAGTTGTTGTCTTCCTCTAGGACTGTCTGCTTAGTAAGTCACATTTTTAATGCCTTTGTGCAGGTGATAATGGTTTTCCACAGCTTCCTTTACTTTATTATTTGTGAATTACTGTTACTCCTTGGGAAAGATAGTGAAGTGATTTCTTGTTGCCATTTCCACAGTTTTGAATTTTGCATTGTTCTCCAACTGTCACCAAAGGCTAGAGAGCCAAGTCAATTATGTTATTTAACCCATAGAGGGGGAAGAAATGGTTCATGTCTTTCCCAAGGTCATTTGTGTGGAAATGAACATAACAGACTCAGATGGGATTTGAACTTGCTTTGCCTATTCCATTTTCTGTGCCAATAACTTAGGCTACTCATACCTGTTGTGTTCCTTCAGGATGTAGGGCATCATAGCTCTCGACAGCTTTCTGTCCTTTGTAGCTTTAAGCAACATTTGTCCCCTTACTATACAGTGTAACCCGGATATAAGAGAGATTTTCTCAGGTCCCAAATTAGTCTGTGTTAATGTATATAAAATAGACCAAACCTGGATATAAGAGAAACCCGGATATAAGAGACTTCTTCTCCGGTCCGACAACTCTCTTATATCCGGGTTACACTGTATCTCCAAGTTCTCTCTCTGTCTTCCATTTACACAAACATGTTAGGTAAGTTACTCTGTTTCCTTCTGTTCTTCAATATGCCCTATGAGTGTTAAATTTGCCAAGCTCTCATTCCTCATTATGTGTCCTAGAAACTGTCTCTTCCTATTTTTTTTTTTTTTTTTTTTTTTTTACTGGTGTTCACCTAATACAAGATAGATTCTGGGGAGAAAATAGCCTCTTGTTTTACAGACAAATTTGATCATCAAAAATTTAAATGCAATGTCAGTTATCAATAAAATACAATAAAGAAGACTTTGCGACACCTGTTGAAATTAATGATAAGAATGTGTATTTTTGTGATGTTATTACAGTACTGGTTTTTGCATATGTTAACTGTTCTCAGGGTTATTGTCTTTTTTTTTTTTTCTTTTAAGATTTTGTCTGACTTAATAATCATTCTTAAAGTTTTGTGTTTGAGGGAGGCTTTTAAAACCATCAACTGCTGGGTTTTTATGGAGCAAACAAAATGTGTCTTCTTCAGCCTGTGTCAATTTCACTACTTTTTCTCTCTTGTTGTGGAACAGTCACATCCTTTGTTTCAGGCTGTCACTGGTGACAATGGAAAAGCTATTTTTAGAATGATGAAATTTCAAATTTTTATTTATTTTTTTTTTATAATGAAATATCATCATGAATCATAACACAAGTTTGATTTTCAAAAATTTAAGTCCCATGTCAATCGTTGCTTTTGTCTTAATTCCTGTTCTTTTGGAGTCTGTCTATATTTCTGAGATGAGGTATTATGTACATTATTTACATTATTCAGACTATTGTCCTCATCTTTGTCGCCATATTTATCACAATGTTTCGGCTGTTGTACGCTCCGGCCTTTTTGGTAAAACATGCAATGATAGCAAAATTGCAATATGAGCACAGGTAAAAAATGTTTGCTGAAGACATTAGGTTTATAATACCCAGAAATTCATACCCTTTATCCACTATGCCATATGTCCTCAAGGACACATAGTACAGTGAATAAAAGTGTTGGTTAGATCCAGTGACAGGACCCAATTGTGAGTTCAATACCCGGTTAAGGCAGTGGAGAACTTTCATAGGGAAATTAGCAGGAGATAACTGATATCCATCAAACGTGGAACTAGAACAGTCTACCCCAGTGAGTGTAATAAAGGGTTCAGTTTGAATTTCCAACCACCTGAAGAAGGCTGGAGTGTACAATGGCCGAAACGTTGTGATAAATATGGCGACAAAGATGAGGACAATAGTCCGAATAATGTAAACAATGTCCTGTTCTTTTATTGTTCTCTCTCCTTAAAGTTTTTTTTTTCCCCCCTTATTCTTTTGCACTCAGTAACCCTTTTCTTCTTAGCAGGTTTCTTCTGAAGTTTTTTTCTAACAATATATATTATCTTGAGAAAATTACAAGCCTAATTTTGAAATGTACAAATTGTTAGCTGAGATAAATGTAGTAATTTTCTCTTCTCTTATTTTCAGGTGTTGATTTGGCAATTTCAAAAGTTCAGTCATGAAAAATTTGAAGCTGCTGTACAGAAAACAGATTGAGAATTTGAGTTCTCTGTTAGAAGATTGTGTCTGTACAGCTGTTGACTGTGACACAGGCTATGTGTTCGTTGCTGTGAGCAAAGGGGAGATAATACAGATTGATCCATCAACAAAAACGGTAAATTCAGCTGAATTACAGCAGTAAACTTTACTATAAATGACATCAGTATTTTATGAATTTTATAAAGAAAACTTAAAAATGTTTATCCTATACATTATTCAGACTATTATTTTATTTATCTCAGCTTATTTCTCTTGCCTATTTTATTCAAATTGTAATAAGATGTAATAATCTTAAGTTGCCTGAATTTCTTAGAAGAAGCATTGTCAATTATTATTAACTAGCTTAAAAGCCAAACTCTGGAGGGCTAATTGGGCCTCTATCTTCAAACTAAAGGTACTTCTGGTCCATCTTAAAAAAACAGCAATGATAATTTTGAAGAAATAACTTTAGATTTGTTAATTCAGTCCAACTTCAAATCCTCATTTTAACTCTGAGCTATAAGTTCAATTTGGGTAAAAATTCCAATTCAGGTCGAAAATTGAATTCTTAAATCACAAACTCTGTGAACTTCAAAACCTCTCACTTTAATTATGATTCCTAGGCATTTTGAAGAAATAAAATTGATTTCCTCAATTCACAAAGTTTTGGCGATATTTTAAACTGAATTTAAAGCAAAAATTCTTAAATTCACAAAGTTTTTGTGTTACTTTAAACTCAATATGAATGAAAAACTTTTAAAATCACTAAATTTTTTCAGTTCTTTTAAAATTTGAATTTTTAACTATTCCTACCTCCTTTGGGTCACAAATCCGAATGCTGGATATTCAAACACCAGATGAAGGGCAGATACTGGATCATTCTGATCTCAAAAATGTATAATATGTCTATATAGAGCAATTGTGGTCTGAATAAGAGGAATTTCAGACTCTTGGATCAACAGACAGAATTTGCCATTTGTTTATTTAGATTTTTTACTTGTATTTCTTTCATCTTATTTCTCTTATTGACACCTGGTATGTTTGGGTAATATAATATTATTGGCACAAAAAGAGCAATCATTAAGCCAAGTTCAAATTCTAGACTTGTCATTTTTATTTGTTTTCATTCTAATGCCTTTTGGAAAGGCATGAATCCATCTCTCCCTTACCCCAGCGATAAATAAAATAACAAGTGAGACTTTACTCTCTTGCTGTAGGTGGCGGCCAGTTTAAGAGAAAGGACTACTCTGAAGGCAATAGGAAATCTTTCCATAGTCTTTCCCAAGAAGTCATGACAATTCATAAATGATAAAGATGAGGAAACTGTGGAGAGCCATGATCACCTTTGTCCTGAAGAGACATGGCATTTAAAAGAAAAATATTATAGTCTTGTGTGAATTTCTTAGAAGAAGCATAGTTAATCATTATTAGTTTTCAACTGGTATTTCTCATATATGATGAAAAAAAAATACTAGTCAAAAATAAATAATTGACAAGGCTTTGTCTAAGGCAGTGATTCCCAACGTGGGATGCATGCTCCATTGGTGGGGCATGGTAATATTTTGGTGGACCATATGTAGGCTGTGCACCTTTCTGCTTACTCTACCAACAGAATAAGGGGGCAATTCAAGAATGAATTACTAACAATGTATTGTTTTCTAGTAAAGCCTAGATTTCATTTTGCATTATTATTTCATGATTAAAATGATCAAAGTATATTACAGAATAAACTTTCATTCAAATATTTTATATTTCTGCCTTTCAGTTCTCTATATGTTTTGAAACTATATATATTTAACTGTCTTTTTGTTTTTAATTTTTCTCTTTCATGGACGCCATGGTCTTTGGAGGTTTGTTTAGATACCGAGTTAATGGCCTTTTTAGCTTCCTTCACATAAATTGCAGTAAAATTTTGAATATGTAAAAATTAAATATTACAGTGGGGGGCACCAGAATTTTAGAAGTGCCAAAGTGGGGCATGGCCCCAAATCGGGGGGGGGGGAACCATTGAAGGTATTTTGGATAATTTAAGATTGTGATATTTATTGTTAGGTGGTCAATAAAAATGTAAGGTGAAAAAAAAAAAAATTAATATTTCGTTAAAGATGTTTCAGATGAGTTGATACTACTGTAAAATTGTTTTGGTATTTTAATATTGCATAACATTAGACGTCAATTCTTATGTTGCATTGAAAATTGAAGAGGAACTTTTGGTGAAAGTTGTTCAGTAAATGTTATTTCATAGTTATTTTATTGATTCTTTTCTGTTCACAGCTCGTGGAGTCTGTTTCTCTTCCTGATGAAGGCTATTTGCCTCCCGACAAGAGTGTCATTAATTTGCAGTATCAACCAGAACAGCAAGCCTTGTGCATCATTACAGATCATGGCAGCGTCCTTCTGTGGTATGTTATGGAGCAGTCGGTAAGTTTTACAGATTTTTAAAAATTTATATTCTTTTCAAAAATCATCGGGGAATAAAGTTTTATGTTAGGTAGTAAAGTTATATTCTTTTAAAAATCCTCAGGAAATAAGGTTTTATAATGTATTCTGTAATACTGTGTAAAAGGATATACAACTATTAACTGTGACATCATTTGCTGCGAATAAAGAGGAAATAATTTAATTATTCAGCCCATATATAATTTATTTAAGCATTTAATAGGCTTTTTAAAACTGAGATTATTTCTTATTTCTAAAGGGTGTTTCATTAAGATGGATTATATATAAGGGTGTTTCATTAAGACGGATCCAAGTCAGCAGTAAATAAATCAGTGTTATTGGTGAAAATTTATTTATTTCTTCATTGGATCACGTTATTTAAGTCATGGCAATTATGTATGAAAAATAATATTTGCCCAAATGTCTGCCAAATCTGAAAGAAAAAGAAAAAAAATCATTAGACGCTTAAACTTAATTCATATTTAAAATCAGTTCAAGTTATTGCAACACCCTTTATAAACTTTATATTTAGTTGGTTGAACATGTTTAAGCAGATATCCCTATTTTTTTTTTAAACAGTTAAATTTAATATCTGCCAGGCTTGAAATCAACATTTTTATTAACTATGCTAGACCTTAAGAGATTTTAATTGTTAAATCTTTGTAGTGGTAAATATTGAAAAATATGAATAAATGATATTGCAATTAAATTCATCTCTCTCTCTCTCTCTCTCTCTCTCTCTCTCTCTATATATATATATATATATATATATATATATATATATATATATAGCCATTGAAAATTAAGTGTTGTAAGCTTTCATTTTAAATGAAAGTAAATTGATTTCTCTTTCAAATTACTTGGCTGTGAGATATGATTTTGAAAGTCTTCTAAACAATATTACGCATCCGCTTTCTCGAAAATCGATTATCCATGTAAAACTTATAGGTCTTAGATTTCAGATCCAGTTGGTACACACAAAACTAACGTGATAATGGATGATTTTTCTTGTAGCTGTACGTGCTAAGGGGAGATAACTGAAGCTATCGTTTGGTCAAGGGCGATAACTCATCTTAACAATCCATATTGTCAGTGAAAATTATTTTTTATGTGGCATTGCCTCGCTTTCGGACAATGAGACTTAGTTTCTAATTTCATCATGGTTGATTTTTTTAGGGAAGTGACTTTTTGATGTTATCGTGATGAGGGGGGCGCTCTTAGCATGTGGCACTTTTGGAATGTACCTGAAAACTATACCATTGTTTGACTGAAGCCTTGTGAGTAAAATTGGGTTGAGGATATGTTCATAGGCTGTCAATGGTTGTGAAAACACAAATTTTACAAGTCATTGTTACCGAGTGTGTGAGTGTACTGTCCTTGTTCAAACTGTTGATCATGCCAGATGATGTAATCCAGTAACTAAGGTCCGCTAAGCATAGTAGCAGTATAAATCACAGGTGGCCTCTCTGGGTGTTGAACAAACACAAATGTACCTGAGCAGGCATCTGTAATAGGAATTGGTTAGCTGCCCTAGCAAGAAACAAGTAGCTGGCCATGGAAAACTAGAGAAATCCCCCAGTATTTCTTCTAAAATATATGGCAGCCTTTTAATTTAATATTTAATCAAGAAGGTTAATGATATCTGAATTTTTTAGCTAAATTTTAATTCAGTTATATTTAATAAAGGAAAAAAAGAACTAAACATTAATTATAAGAAATTGAACATATGGTTGTCAGCAAAAGGGACAGCCCAACATGCAAATTACAAATTGGGAATATGAAGGAACTCCTACAGAAGATGGCAATGGAAAAAGGAAGAAAGGACTAAACATCAATTATAAGGAGACAGAATGTATGGTTGTCAGCAAAAGGGACAGCCCAACATGCAAATTACAAATTGGGAATATGAAGGAACTCCTACAGAAGGTGGCAATGGAAAAAGAAAGAAAGGACTGAATGGTTGTTAGCAAAAGGGACAGCCCAACATGCAGATTACAAATTGGAAATATAAAAATCAAGCAAGAATGAAAATTTAACTGTTTAGTAAGTGTTTTAACAGGATGGAAAGAGTGACACTGAAAGCATTATCATGAAAATTTCATTGGAAACAAGAAAAGACTACTGAACTGTTACATGATATCTGTCCTCCAATATGGCAATGAATGCTATGCAATCTCCTGATGAAGAGACTTGAAGCAACAGAAATATTGTTCTGCAGAAGGATGCTGAGAATAACATGGACTGAACATGTGAGCAATGATGAAGTTTTAGAGAAAAAAGTAACAAAACAGACATTTATACTTAACATCAGAAAGAGAGTTGAAATTTCTAGGGCATGTAATGAGAAAAGAGGGCTTAGAAAATTTGATACTCACAGGACATTATGATTATTATTTTTATTTAGGTAATTTTCCATCCTCCCAGATTATTAAGATTGTTAATTTCTCACTAGTTGACATTTTCAATGATATTTCCAACCGCCCCCTTTTATTTAGATCCTCTGTTTATTTCATTTTGAGATGCTCCATGTCTAATATTAGGTACCTAAGAGTTGACTAGACCAAATGTAAAGAGGCAAAAACAAAATATTGAAAAGCCGCTTAGGGATGAAAAGGTGTAAAAACTGTGATACTTTAAAAGATAGAGCAAAAGAAAGATAAAAGAGAGGATGCAGTAGAAAAATCATTGTATATTTACTATTTACATATGAAACTACTCGATGTTCCTATAAAGTTTAGATAAAAATATGAATAAGCTATAGGAATTAGAAGGGATAAGAGACAGAATGAGAAGATATTGGCAAAGAGTGAGAGAAGAGCAGGGATAAGGGATCATCTTAGATGTATTGCTAGGGATCAGGGAGAGAATGAGATGATACAGACAAAAAACATTTAATCAGACGCAATGATTTTTTTTTTAACAATTGTTTTTAAAGTGTGATTTTGGTGTTTCTTTTCAGTTGGTGTCCGTTGGTAATGTGGAAAGTGGTCTCACCGGTGCAGCTTGGAGTCCTGATCAGGAATTATTGATCCTTGCTACAGGTTGAGCTCTTTGCTTTTCATACTTTTATTTATTTTTTATTTATTTATTTATTTTTTGCACTGCTATATTTAACAGTCCCCTCCCCCCAAGGGATGTATGTGGCACAAGACTGAGTTTACCATGGGTTCTCTGAGCCTGTATGCTTGGCCAAAAATATTCCCTTTGAACTCGTATAAACGGGTTCAGGACCTGTCTACCTCCCCAGACGAAACTTTGCTCTTTGGCAAAGCCTTGTCCAGGTTCCTCTCTGCTCAAGACAGAGAGTTTGACAGTTGAGCAGGCTATGGCGCTGCTAAAACAATATCTGAATGACACACATTTGTCTACAAGTGCACTGATTTTCTGACCGCTGATGGTCCGATACCTCTTTCAGTCTGGACAAAAACTACAATCAAGCATTTGAATTTCACATGATTAATAGACTTGTTCACTGATCAGCCAAAATAATTTTAATATCAGTTTCTAACAGTCGAGATGAAAGATTAATTATTGAATTTTTTAATACATCAATAATTTTTAAAGAATTAATGGATTTAATTATTTTTTTAATCTGACATTTTTTATTACTTCATGTGTTGTTCTTAGTGGATACCTGTATTTGAGTAGATGCTCTGTTTTATTTTAAACAGTATTTAATTTATTTAGACCACTGGCTTGCACACTTGAGAAAACTTGTAAAAGAAAATGTGTCCTCTGTCAGGATTTGAACCTGTGTCCACACTTTGCAGAAGAAGTTTGAAGTAATAAAAATATGTTGGATTAAAAAATAAAAAAAGATTAACACCTTGGAGATAAAAGAATTACTTAACTGTAATTTTCTTAAATTCCGCGGTTTTGTAGTAATATGTCCACTTTTTAATGGGTTAATCAGTATATTAAATATTTCCAATTGTAATGAATCTTCGTTTTTTTTGTTTTTTTTTCTTTAATCCTCATATTTGTGTCTTTTTTAACTCCATTATGAACACATACATGTTCATGTTTTTTGTGTTCCTTCATAAATGTAATTGTTTTTCGATTGTATATTTTTTAATTTTTCATTGTTATTTTTCTTTGTATGTATATCTTTGAGATATATATATATATATATATATGCTGAAATAAACAAACACTGAAATATTTGTTAAAATTGTACACGTTAAAAATGCTTAATTTCAACTATGAAAACCAAACTTGTAGAGCAATTTAATATCTTAAAAAGATAAGAACACTGACTGGACTCGAAAACTTCCATGGTTTCAACTGCCAAGATCTCATTAGATGGTTTATTCAGTGAATCAGAAGCAATGTGAAAACTTAAATGCCTTCGTTCAATACTGGAAGAAATGGGGGAAAAGTTTAGTGGAAGGGAAAAAATATAAAATAAAATAAAATTAAAACAAAAAAATAAAATGAAAAATAAAAAAATATTCCAACTTTATCCAGGTTTGTATAGCCCCAAAATTAACTTTCTGACATGTCTACATTTGGCCAGGATCTCAGACTTTCCATTCAGCAACTCAGTGCCAGCCTTGTATGTTGCAATAGCTAGCTTCCCCACTTGACATGGCCAACACAAATTACCATTCACTTTGCTAGCCTTTACATTCTGTAAAAATACTGCATTTAATGGCCAGGCTTCTGTTTATTTTTTTCTCTATGTTCTAATAGTGGTTTGCCAGCTTTTTATTGAACTTGCGTTTTGATATTCTAAATGATGAGGTGTGATTATACCACCTCTTAATGATACTCTAAACAAACCACCTGATGAAACCTTGGTGGTCGAAACAGCATTCTTATCTTTTTAAGATATGAGTATGTATTGTGTTTATTATATTATTTTATAGTATTATTTAATTTATATTAGTTTCTGTTGTATTTATTATATTATCTTATATTAGTATGTAAGTTGCAAAGTAAATATTAAAATGTTTGCATTTAACCATTAATTCCTTTCTCTTGTTTAATAATTTAAATTGATTATTGAAATTTATTATATAAAATTTTTCTTCTAAACACAGTCTACATTTTTTATTATTAATAATATATGGGGGTACTTTTTATGATTTCCCATTTAATTTTAGTTGATATATTTTTTCCTTTTGCCTCCATATGTATATATTGATAATATTGTATTATTTGAATATCTGTCTTTCAATTATTAAATCTTTCTTTAAAAGTTGCTTCTATATAACTTTTTTCTTCTGCATTAATGTTATTTTATGCAGTTGCTTTATATATTATTAGTTAGACATTTCTTATTAATTGGGCGGTTGTTTTTATTTCAACGATTTATAATTATTGATGGTATTATTAAATGTCAATTAAAATAAACAGATATGCAAATAGCACATATCTGCTTCAGTTTTAAATCTTTTTATGTGTGTGTATATATATATATATATATATATATATATATATATATATATATATATATTCAGCATATCTTTATTCAGGCATGTTTGGTCAAATAATCTAGACATATTATGGTTATTTATTTTTATTTTAATCCTCTCAAATTCATGGATCAATTTCTTAGTGTTGTTATTAAACTGATTAAGAAACATGTCATAGTTTTGGTTATTTCTTTTATTTTCCCAATGTTATTTTAAAAGAATATTTTAAAACATTAATAATAAAAAATATAAATTAAGTTACCTCCCTTACATTTTCTTAACAGTTTAAATTGACTAATGGAGCATGTCTCATGTGCATCTGCAAAACAATTCCCATTTATCAATTACATTATTCTTGGTATATAAAAATATATATTGTTATCGCATATATATATATATATATATATATTTTCTTTATTTTTGGATATTACACCAACATGAGAGTAAATATTACATAAATGCAATCATATTTCAATGTGTGCCAACACATTTCATCAGGCTTTAGTAAATGACTGGTTAGTAGACAATTTATTGAAATTTAAAATCACATACAACTTCTTTTCATGCAAAAAAAAAAAAAAAGGAGAAAAGAATTATTTTCATGTAATATTCTAAAATAAAGAATACTGTTCTAATTTTGTATTGAGCCCAATTTTAAATTAATGTTATGAATGTTGGAATTTATTTTTGTTTTTTATTTATTTAATTTGTTCTCATTTCATTTTTTTTTTTTTTTTTAATACAGGGGACGATAAACTGATATTAATGACCCAAGAATTTGATTCTTTGAATGAAACAGTATTGCATCCAAATGAATTTGGAGAAGGTAACATATCTTGAAGAATCTTCCTTTAAATTTGAACAATCTAATAAATAAACATAATAAATTCTGAAGAACAAAAAGAAAATGTATAAATTCACTTTCATGTGTTTAAATTTTATTACAGTTCTAATCATTACTTTTTAAAACAAACATCACTGAAAAGTGAAGGTAGTTAAAATAATAGTGGCATCAATGCAAGAACCATTCTTTTGATACTCTGTTTTTTTTTTTGATACTCTGTTTTTTTTCTTACAATTTTAAAACATTTTCTGGCTTCAATCAACCTGCAAAAGTTGATGAGCTGGAGAAAATGAATTAATCCATTATGATGCCAGGAAGATATGAGTTTATGTAAATTCAGTAAAAGCTTATTCAAAATTTAACAAGATACTTTTAATATCATTGGCTGTTTTAGTTAGTGAGAATGTGTCCCAGATGTTATATTTGATGGCGTCAAAGTCTTAGTTTTTTAAAAGTCTATTCTTTCACACAAAATGCAAGTCTTCTTGTCACCAGTTGTTTCTTTTTTGGCTTCTACATCTGATCTTGTTTTGGTATCAAATGTCTTCATTTTATCATGGCAAATTTTTCTCCAAGTTGTTCAGGCACAAAACAAATGTTTCACTACTGGACACTTGAATCTTTGTAAGGCAACCTTCAGTTAATCCTTACATCTTGTTTTGGACTGTCCTTCCTTCTTGTTTCTTCTCTGAGTTAAGAATACAGAGTTTACTTGGAGATTCTGTTGCCCTTCATTTGGAAAACTTGTCCTGCCTGTTGGTGAGGTATAATGGTAGCCTCATGAGTCATTTGATTAGCGTCTTTAAGGACTTGTTAGTGGTTCTGTCCAGACACCTGATACTGAGGATTGCTTGAAACTTTGAATTCTTCAGGGCTCTCGATGTTAAGATGATGCAGATATTTTTCATGTTTTTTATGATCAGATTTTTCATATGCCAATTTTTTTCTTTCCAGCTGAATTTGTGAATGTTGGTTGGGGTAAAAAGGAAACCCAATTCCATGGGTCTGAAGGAAAGGCAGCAGCTCAAAAGAAAGTTGAGGTGAGACGGCAGCAGTTTTCTTTTGATTTTATATATTAGATGAAGGATTGTCAGCCATTATTATTAATTTTTGACTAGTATTTACTTTCATCTTTTTTATTAGATGAAGCATTGTCAGTCATTATTATTTTGACTAGTATTTACTTTCATCTTCATTTTTTATTAGATGAAGAATTGTCAGCCATTATTATTAATTTTTGACGAGTATTTATTTTCATCTTCATTTCTGTCTAGCCTTTGTTTTCTAGGATTAGAGACCTTACTTATCAATGAAACCTTGTAATTTTCAAGAGAGATAAATTGACTTCATTTTGATACCAGTTTCATTATTCAACATTTGATGTCAGCATATTTTATAGGCTGTCTTCTGATAAGGCATAAGATTGTGACTTCCCTTTTTTTTTCTTTTTAACACAATAATTTTGATGTTCATCTTTCTAGGATACGAAATATATTTACTGTTTACCTACCATAATGGCATTCATTTTTTTTTTTCTCATGTGTCTAAAAAGAGTTTCTTGTTTTCTTTATCAGCAAAATATCAAGCCTGCTTTTGAGTGGGATGATCATAAAACCTACATCAGTTGGTGTGGAGATGGACAATACTTTACGACTTCAACTGTTAATCCCCAAACAGGTAAGTACAATTTCTATTGAACAAAGAAGTGACATTTGATTATTTTTTTTTTTTTTTTTAAATTATTGTAAATGTAATATATATGAGTTTGGGTCAAATATAGATTGGAATCTGACAGAATAAGATGAAGAACAAATAGGAAACATTTCATAATTTGACATGTTTTACTTTTATTAAAGCTTCATCAGAGAATGAAATGTAGAGAAAAAGAAGAAAGAAATTCTGGTATTTTTACTTTTGTACTGTTTGGTTTTCTTTGGTTAATCATATATCATGTACATTTGACTTGTTGAACCAATGTTACTATAAATCATGGTGTTCTGAATTCAAGAAAAGATGATGTGTCCATTCAAGGTGCCAAGAAATTAACAGAATCCCACATAGATAAATTAGAATTAATATTCACTTACATATGTAAAGCAATATTTACAGTTTTTTTTGTTGTGTTTTTTTTTTTTTTTTTTTTTTTAATCTGTTAATTTCTTAAAATTCCCAATAGATGCATTGTAAATAGATTCAGAACAGGTGTAATCTCTGCAAAAATTTGAATCGGGGAAAATAAATTTCAATCTTTTATTTCATTGCTGTTCAAAAATATTCATAAGGTTAACCGTGAAAGTCAAGATCAACTATTATAAAGGATGTTGAGTGATATAATTTTATGCCTAATAAACGAAAGTGAGTAAATGTTGTTGTTGAACATTTTATTCGCTTATTTGTTTACTAGCCACCATACCCAGCTGGTCGATCAGAAAAAGCGTTCAATTAGAATGGAGCAAAAACAATATCATGTTTAGAAGTAACAGTCCATCTTCTTCAATTATTTTGAAGTACTTTCATTAAAAAAACATTTTGGATTAATGCAGTTACTGATATAACAGAAGTAGTCTGTCTCTCTTCAATTGAAGTTAGCTATATATATAGATATATATGTAATTAATTTTTTATTAATGTAGTTCATTAATTTATTTTAATTTGATAGATTATTTATTTATTTTAAATAATAGAATATGTTGATTTAACTGTTTTCTATTAATTTAAAAAAAAACTTATGATCATGTATATTGCCTTAGGAAATGAGATTTTTGAAAAAATCCAGTTGGCAGGTTAACATTCTCAAGTTTCAATAGCAGCACTCTCATGAACTTTCCATTTAAGTAAGTTATTTTCTCTTTTAGTCATTCTTTGGATTGAAGTTGTGGTTGAATTTATTTCTGTGTATTCCACTAGAGAAGGAATTGGCAAGAAAAAAACAAAAAACAAAAATCAAACTAATAATAATTGGCAACAATTCAGAAGATTACATGATAAAGTATATTTATCTTTTTTGTCAATATAAACTGGTTATTTTATGATAATAAAATGTCTTTGTATTTTTTTGTAGGTGCCCGTCAGTTAAGAGTATGGACACGAGAAGCAGTTCTCTATTCTACTGGGGAAACGGTCACAGGACAAGAAAAGTGTCTTGCCTGGAAGTAAGTAGACATGATCATTGAAGTGGTGCAGCTGCCTAAATAAGTTTTTAGAACAGATAGAAAAATAGAATTAACATCAAAATGAAGTCAATTTATTTCTCTTTAAAATTACAAGGATTGATTGATAAGTAATGTCTCCAATTCTATGAAACAAGTTTTAGATCAGATCAAATAATGAAACTGGTATCAAAATGAAGTCAATTTATTTCTCTTCAAATTTACAAGTTTATTTTTCAACATAGTCACAAAATTTGGTGCTCCACATCTTCCCAAACTTTCTATTCTTTTTTGTATTCTGTCTGAATGTTTCTGGTTCACTTTGGATCCATTTATGCACAGCAATATCAACTTTGGTGTTGGATAAAAAAATAAATGTTGATTTTTCAATTTTGGGAACAGCTACATGTCTAATGGTGCCAAAACTGAGTCTGTACACAGCAAGTGCATCAATTGTGCATTTCAAACTGTTCACCATTTGCACCATTTATTGACTTGTGCTGTCATGATGCAAAACCAAAAAAATTTAATTTTCTGTGGAGTGCTCACAAGGTTTCACTGCTTTCATATGTCTGAATTTCAATTAGTATGCAACCTTTTAGTACCACATATTCTCTCCTTGATTACTGCTTTATATGTAACAAAGACATAATATGGTTGTTTGATGAATGCTATTACTCAATGCTGACCTACAATGATGTGACATTTGAACAGGACTTGATCTGCTACTGAATACATATCAAAAGCATATTACTATATTCACTATTAGCAACAGTACAAGGTAGGAGACTTATCAATCAACTCTAGTCTTACTCAATGCTGACCTACAATGAAGTGATCCTATGCATATTTAAACAGGATTTGATATATTACTAAATTCATGTCCAAACATCATGTTTCTATCTTCATTAGCAACTAAAACTGAACTTTGGACTATTTATTCATAATTTCAATCTCAATATACAACATCATATTCAGAAATTGGAAAAGTATAATAAAAAAAATTAAATAAACAAACCTTGTCAATTGAATTGAACTAAACTTGAATTTGTTTTGATGAATCTTTACTGCCTAAATACACCTTTTATTTATTTATTTATTTATTTATATATATATATATATATATAAAATTGGTGGGTGAAAAAATATGGATAGCACAATTTTCCAAATAAATTGGCATCCGAGGAAAAATGGAAAAAAAGAAAGCACTAGAAACCTCTGAGCCAGTTCACCTGATGACCTAGGTAGGTAGTACCTAACTCATTAGGATATATATATATATATATATATATATATATATATATATATATATATATAGCTAAATTGTGGGTTAGGGAATGTCATGTTGTTTTCTAAAATACTGAATGTGTCTTGTTATTTTATCAACATCCTACATGAAAAATATATTTATGGATATGCTAAATAAAAATAAAATAATGGTCAATAAGTAGGAGGCCTTACTTATCAATGAACCCTCTAAGTATAATCCTTGGTTTATTTTCTCTGTATTTTACAGACTTTCTTTTTTTCCCTTTCCTTAATTTTACCATTTTTTTTCAATGCTAAACAAAATCTTCTGTTCATTTTTTTGTCTTTACTTTTTATGAACTGAATACATATCAAAAACATATTACTATTTACACTATTAGCAACACTGCAAGGTAGAAGACCTTAATTATTAATCATGTCTAGTCTTACTCAATGCTGACTTACAATGAAGTGACCCTATTCAGATTTGAACAGGACTTGATATACTACTGAATAGATGTCAAAAACATTGCCATCTTCACTATTAACAACAATACAAGGTAGACCTTACTTATCAATCAACTCTAGCCTTACTCAAGGCTGATCTACAATGAAGTGACTCTATGCAGATTTGAACAGAATTCGGTGTATTACTGAATACATATCCAGACATGTTACTATCTGTACCCAAGGGCTCCTTATCAATTTAGCCATCACATTTTTATTACTATTATTTAATTTCTTTTTTTGTTGTAGAGTGAAGTATCCATGTCTTTGTCTCATTTAAAGCTGTTTTATTTTAGCCTGGGGATGACTATAAGCTACATCTGGCAGCAAGGCCTCTGATCAGGAGGTTTTGAGGAGCATGAAAACACCTCTTGGTTGCTGTTGTTCCCAGGTCCACCCTGACCCTAAGGATGGTAGCAGCTGTTAGGGTACCAATTATGGGCAAATAGTTAACACCCAAACTGGGGTCAAAACACTATCAAAGTATAAAAATACACTTATTTTAAAAATAACAGCGATACATTTTCATAATAAAGGAATTACCAGCAGTACATTTTTTGTAAAAGGAATTACTAATGCTCCCCAGAAAATTAAATTTTGGTATTGGATGACCCATAAAGTGTTGATGTGCTGCTAAACAAACAATTTTAGCCTACTTTAGTGTTGTAGAGTAGTTTTCACAGTGGAGGCTTGTATTTCACTAAGTCGGTCCTAAAAAGGTTCGACGTACAAAACGTTAGGAACTTGAAATAAATAGGTAATGACGCAGAGAAATCTAGTGGTGGTCGCTGATACTCTTAGTGTCTGATGATATTGAGGGTGTCATGTGGCACAAGGCATTTTTAAACAAGGCCTTCTTAGTGTCTGACATCGACTGGCTGACCAACTCACTCAGCTACTGACTTAGCGACTGCTACTACTACTACTACTTATTATAGGTGGGAGATTCTATTAACTATAGAATAGGTGTGTTCCAGTATAACATTTAGAAAATTCTGTTTATTTCTATTTTTTGTATTTAAATTTAAAAAAAACAAACTTTTTTATGGTTAGCATTTAGTTTGTTGATATGACTTATCGTTCTTTGGATATTTTGTTACTATTTTTAATTACTATTATAATTTAAAAAGCAGAATTCTTTTTTTACATGCAACAATTGAGTTTATCATATCGCTAAAAATCTTAGATCGCAGATGCAGAGAATATAACCAATGCAACTTTAAAAGTCTTTAACTATAAATGTATTTTTGTCATTTTAAATTCTTTTGCGGATTGCATTGTCACATTTAACTTTCTGTGGTTATTTTTCATTTTAATGATTTTAAAAAATTTTTTCTTACAGCCGATAATAAAATTAATTCTATAGATAAAAATGTCAGGCAAATGAAAGACAAAGTGTAAAAAAATTATGTGTAACATGTTTCGGCTGCTTGGACTTCATTACACTAACATAATGTTTTTGTTATGTGTAGGAAGGGGAGGGGGGAGACATAAAAATGCAAACATCCGTTATAATTCTGTACCAACAAGAAATGTGGGAGATGTCAGAACACTGAAATTTTTTCCACTTTGTTGTTCGTTTGCCTAACATTGTTCTGATATATAGAACTTTATCTATCATATTCTCCCATAGATAAAAATCCTTGGTTACTCATGCCAAAGATATAACCAGTGTAATTTCAAAATTAAATATGCCTGTTGATTATTAAATAATTAGAATAATTAATTTATTTAAATATTTAAAAAAAAGAAAGAGAAAAATGCAAAACAGAAATCCGGATGTTAATGGGTAGTTTTTTTTTTTTACAAATTTGAACTGCTCAGAAAATGAAAATTTATTGAAAATCTTCAAATTTGTTTTCTTCTTCTTCTGTCAGGCCCAGTGGCAGTTTGATTGCAAGCTCTCAAATGAGACCAAATAAGCATGAGGTCATCTTCTTTGAACGGAATGGCTTACGGCATGGCGAGTTCACTCTCCCATTTCCTGTTGGTCAAGTACAAGTAAGAATTTTGAAAGTTTTAATTACCAGATGGGTGTTTAAAATTTACATTATGAATGACCAAATATGGTGGGGAGGGAAGCACTTACATAACATTCGTCTGTTGAAAGGCATTCATCAGACTTATGATGGATGGAGTCTTATTTATATGGGGGTGTTTTTTTTTTTTTTTTTGTTGTATCTTAATGTATAAGTTAGCCAAACCCATTCATTGTAACTAGCTTTTGATGTTTCTTCTCACTTCCCACACACATATAAAGTTTTTTGATGACATTACTGAAAGACGGGAGAAAATCACTGTGTTTATACATATTTATTTTATTACCAAGTGCTTTCAACATATCCATGTCATCAGGGTATTGTTTATAAAAAAGGAAATATAGTATTCATTATAGTCAGAGACAAATTGTTGTGTTATCTGAAAAGTTAAATTTTTTACAAATGGAGTGAGGAACGCTGTGTCAGTACGTGACTGCTAAAACTCACTCCATTTGTAATTTTAAATAATTTTAGATATCAACAAATAGCATTTAGAAAAATATGACAAACTGGAATGTTTTTTTTTGTGATGCGTTTCATCCATACATTTTAAATAATGACACAACACATTTGTTTTTCACCATAACAAAACGGACAATGGGGAATGCTACTTTGATTAAAAGAAAAAATAATTTACTAAGATTAAAATGTCTGGAAAGTGCCTTGATCGCTAGTTCGACCACAATAAATTTGTATCCAGGCTCTTACAATATGTAACCATTCTTAGTAGATTTTATATTGTTACCATGTTTGAATAATCAGGAACAAATGTGGAAAAGGATACAGATGATTTTGGCTAGATTGAGGAAAAAAAAAATATTCTCTCAAACATTTTGAAACTACCTGTGTCTCCTGTTTTGTGCGCATGTGTATATGTGGCAACGTCGATAAAGCCCAGTTGGATGAAATGCGTCACAAAAAAACTTTCCAGTTTTTCTGTATATATATATATATATCTATCTATCTATCTATATATATATATATATAAAATCTGTGTGTAAGAAAAAATAGAAAATTTTTATCAATCTAACACGTTACACTTTCATTAAAGCTTCATCCATCAGAATGAAAAGACTTTAATAAAAGTGAAACATGTTGGATTGATAAACATTTTCTATTTCTTCTGTCGGATTCTAATTTATATTTGATCCCAGTCAACTTTAATCTTCAAAAATTTAAATGCAATGTCTATCACTATCTACTGTCCTCCTGGTTATTCTTCTTTTACTCTTGGTACTTAGTAATATTTCTATTTCTTCCACACCCAATAACCCCTTGTGTCTTTCTAACTTTACTGCCTTGCTTGGGGACAAATTGATTTAAAAAAAAACAAAACAACAATTGTCTGCTTGGCTCTACTGTGTGAGCCCACTGTGGTTTATATCAGTGCTACTCAAAGTATGGTACATGTACCGGTGCCAGTACATGAGTCGTTGTCTGCCAGCATGCCTAGAGTTTCCAAGAAACAAAGATACACTAGTCACATCCCACAGCATGGGAGACTGCCGGGATATCAGACTCAGTATTTTTTTATTTATATCTTCATTTTAGTTTCATATTTATTATGGTTACATTTTTCAATTACTCACTCTTGTTAAAAGTCATTGCTATACAACTAATGAATACGATATAATGAATAGCAAAACAGTAACTGAGATATGACAACACCATCCTGATTACGTGGTATTTGACTGTGTGAGAACCACATCTAGGAATACTAAAAGGGAATATTTTTATGGACATATTTCTAAGTAGCAGTAGAGCCCAGTGTTGCCCGGGGATGTAACAGTAAGAGATAGATCAAGTATCGACCATCATAAAGACTGAAAAATAAAATTGACAAAGATTATTGTTTAAAGTTGACGGACATGCATGTCTTAATTAGTTTTTTTTTTTTTTTTTTTAAATTGGTCAAACTCAAACAAAAACATTGTTTTCAATCATTATGAGTCTACCGATTGAATAGAATTTTATTATAAACAATTGTCTTGTAAATGGAATTTTTAAAGCATTCTGAATGTAAAAATAAAGAAAAAAGTGTGCAAGACAATAAGAAACACTACCTGCCAAAAAAAAGTGAAGTTTTGTTGAAATCTGATCCCATATATAAACGAACACCATGTGGATTTGGGTCAAAATTTTTTAAACTAGCATTTAATTCCTTAGATTCATAGTCTAACTACATATCTAAAAATGGAGGGCACATTGGATGCACCCCTCCCACCAAATCCACAGATGGATTGTTAAGCTTTGCTTGTTGGTACCTTGCACATTAAAAGAAAAACAACTGCTTGTATGCCTCATCAAATAGTTTGAGAAGTACTGGTTTATATTTACAGCATGAATAACACCAATCATGTGGCCAGAAACATTAATATCTCATCAATATTTATTAATATAAAGCCTATGTTATGCTTGTTCTTATTGCTTTAGTAAAATACAGAGATAATTTTAAGATAGAGATCTATTTGAAGTTATTGGTTGAATCGGATATTTAAATGTAATGCATATGTTCATTAATGCTAATAATTTTCAAATAAGGTAGGATTCACAAATTACATAATTTAAAATCTTCTCCAATCTGTTGCCATATAGGATATTAGATGTTGCATGGCAGTCCAACGCTTTATTGTTTGCTTCTAGGAGCATTTTCTGATCTTGTCATATTTTGCTTAGTTTCTGGGAGACATCTTTCACTTTTCATCTTTTCAAAACATTTTTATTTACTCCTTGTCAAAGGGACGTAACTGCTTGTCCAAAATCTGACTCTTTATACTATCCTCTACCTTTATAAGAGCCAGATAAGCCTAAAATGGAGTACTGTTGCCATATTTAGGTGAGAACTGCCCAGACCTCACTTTCTCGTCTTGAAAGAGTTCAAAAGCATCTCAGAGTCCTTGTTGGATAAGAATTATTTTTCACACTTTAATTTCTCTCTCACAGGCAGGATATGCCGAGTCTCACTGCTCTAACGCTACTACCATGAAAAGTGCTCGGACGAACTGCATTCCTTGGTCTTGCCAGGTCTAACCTTGACGGCTAGAATCCGCTATGCCACTTAACATAGTAGCAATATTCCCCCTGTATTTCATTGGTGAGAAGTAAGTTCCACTCAAACAGCTTTTTGCCGTGAATCACTGCCCTATGAAACAGACTCCCTAGATAATATTTTCCCAAACACTACAATCTTAACCTGTTCAAGGATAGTCAACTGTTATTTTCCCCTCCTATCCATATAAACTACCCCTTATCATAACCCTCTACTTTGAGTGGCCCCCAGGCCTTGTATTGTTAAAAAAAAAAAAAAAAGAAATTCATTCATTTTCATTTATTTGAAGAAACAGTCTTTTCAAACAGGAAACTAAATCTGAATTTTGTAATAAAAATAGTAGTTGCCTCTTTTTGGCTGTTTTAAACAACATTGACAATTTTCATATGAGAAGCTGTGTCAGAGGAACCACTTGATGCATATTTCAAAATTTCTTTTACTTTATATATAGGAGAATTGACAAATAATTTGTGGAATTTTGTATTGTTTCTTCGTAAAAGAATCAGTAAACTTTTGCCGAAAGAATTTTCTAGAAGGTTATTTTGAAAACATACATTTTGCAAGAAGTTTTAAAGTCAAAAAATTATGCAGTTGTCTCCCCTTGTTTGCCGAGAGTATGTTCCAAAACACCCTAGTAAATTTCTGGCTATTTTAGAGTGTATGATGGATAGACATACTAATGGAAGTCACAGAATTTTACACATAGATTTAAAACAAATCAACCAACCAATTTTCTTTTCTTTTTTTTTATCGTTTTACTCCAAGCAAGGTAATAAAATCACTAACATACAATAGGTTACTAATTGTGAGTAAAAGAAAATATTAAGAGGACAATAAAAGAACAGGAATTAAGACAGAAGATAATGATTGACATTGCATTTAAATTTTTGAAGTTCAAAATTGACTGGGAAGTAAGAAGCCAGAAGAGAGTTCCACAGGCAAGGAATGCCAGAGAAAAAAATTGTTAGCATAGAACTTATGGCTACATTGAGCCATTTCAACTGTAAGATGATGAGACCTTGCTACCAATCTAGTACTGCATTTAAATTCATAAAGTCTAGATACAATAGGGGAAACTTTATCAAAACAATTACGATGAAAGTATTTATAAAAAAGCACAGGCAAACTATGTTATGGTGGTGGGAAAGTGACTGAAGCCAAGATGTCAAGTGAGGACCAATAACATTGCAGATTCTTTTTATTTTTATAAAGAATCTCTAAATACATAGCAGAAGCGCCAGACCAGATGTAGCAATATTCAATGTATGGACGAATTATGACTTCTTTATTTCTGGGGTTGGCCATGGATAAATGAAACTGCAATATTGTCAGAATTGTTTCTGCGTATGAGTCATTAATTGTGGGTAAATATTACATAGTCATTTTTAAAAAAATAATAATTTTTTTCGTTTTTATTTTTATTTATTTATTTATTTTTGTTTCAGTTTTAATTAAAAAATAGACTTTTTCAGACAATTTTTCGTTTTGTACTTATTAAATGAACTTGTTTTTTAGGTGAAAGGCATTTTTTGGAATGTTGATTCCACTGTCCTGCTGGTTTGGTGTGAAGATCTGAAACTGGATGAAGGAAATTCCAAATCTTATGGTTTGTGATAATAATATGTTTTGATTTAAAAATAAAATTGATTTGCTCATAAAAATCCGTTACAGAGAAAAGAACATTCAATAACAATTAGAAAGAATATTTCTGTTTTATTTAAAAAAAAAAAAATTATTGATGGTATCAAACTACCTCTGTCCCATAATATTTGGTATATTTAGCGTATTTTTATTCTTACTTTTTTAATCATGACACCCCCAAGCAAGGCAATAAAGTCACTATGACACAAGGAGTTACTGAGAATTAGAGAATATGAGAAAAATATACTATTAAGTAAAGAGGACAATCAAAAGACAAGAATTAAGAAGACAGAAGATAACAACTGACATTACATTTAAATTTTTTGAAGATCAAAGTTGACTGGGAAGCAAGAACCTAGAAGAGGTCTACAAGCTAAAAGTGTGAGAGAATAAACTGTTAGCATAGAACTTAAGGTTATATTTGGCCAATTCAACTGTAAAATGATGAGATCTTGTCGCCAATCAAGTACTGTGTTTAAATTCATAAAGTCTAGGTACCATAGAGGAAAGTTCATCAGAATAATTACCATGATAGTATTTATGGAAAAGGCATACAAAAGCCACATTATGCTGCTGGGAAAGTGACTGAAGTCAAAATACCAGGCCAAGATCAGTAATGTTGAAGATTCTTTTGATTTTATCAAGAATCTCTAAATATATAGCAGGAGCATCAGACCAGAAACATGTATGCAAATGTACCAAATATCATGGGACAGTGGTAGTAATAAATAATTCCAATCCCAAATTGGAAGGATTGCTGCTAGTTCTAAGCTGGTTCTCTTTAATCCTGATATGCTACAGTGTTCCCATAGAAATTGATTGCAATATATTAGACTACCTCTGTCCCATAATGGCTGGTACATTTAGTGTATGAAATGTGTATGCAAATGTACCAACTATTATGGGACAGTGGTAGTAATAAATAATTCCAATCCCAAATTGGAAGGATTGCGGCTAGTTCTAAGCTGGTTCTCTTTAATCCTGATATGCTACAGTGTTCCCATAGAAATTGATTGCAATATATTAGACTACCTCTATCCCATAATGGTTGGTACATTTAGTGTATGAAATGTGTATGCAAATGTACCAACTATTATGGGACAGTGGTAGTAATAAATAATTCCAATCCCAAATTGGAAGGATTGCTGCTAGTTCTAAGCTGGTTCTTTTTAATCCTGATATGCTACAGTGTTCCCATAGAAATTGATTGCAATATATTAGACTACCTCTGTCCCATAATGCTTGGTACATTTAATGTATGAAATGTGTAGGCAAATGTACCAACTATTATGGGACAGAGGTAGTAATAAATAATTCCAATGCCAAATTGGAAGGATTGCTGCTAGTTCTAAGCTGGTTCTCTTTAATCCTGATCATTTGAATATCTTTGTATCTACTTTATGTAGTGATAAGCATTCTGGAAAAAATACAAAATCTGTATTTAAATTTTTTTTTGTTTTTCTTTTTATGATTTTAGTCCAACTGTGGTCAGTCAACAACTATCACTGGTATTTAAAACAGAGTCTACACTTTGATGCTATTGCGGGAAAGAAAGTCGTATCAGTCATGTGGGATGCCGAGCATGCCTATGTCCTGCATCTCTTGACAGCTGCAGGCTGTTACATACAGTACACGTGGTACTGGGACATTGACGTCTCATCTGATAGCACAGTGGCTGTCATTGATGGTAGTAAGTTGTTCATTTTGTTTGATTTATTGTGAAATTACATCAATCTTGGATGTTTGTGTCTGCAAAAACCGAGTGTCAAAACGACTGTTTTTCCCTTGACATCACTATTATTTTAATACCCGTCACTCTTTGACACTATGTTTTAAAAAGCGATGATTAGAATTATAAAACCTAAACATATGAAAGAGAATTTATATATTTTCTATGTTCTTGAGAATTGACAACAAAATAATAAATGCTATTTATTTATTTATTAGATTCTTTATTTACACCATTATTTTGTTTATTGGAATGGTTGGCAAAACATCGGCGAATTTCCAATTGATTCAAACTTTATAAAATGGTAAATAATGATTTTCTCATAGTTGGTATGCATATTTTAATAATTTAGTAAATGTTTCTAAATTTATGAATAAAAAATCGTTTTCATATGTATTTCTTTATAAATTGCTAAATGATAAATATTGCATTAGTTTTAATTGTATTAATTAATGTTACAAATATAAAATTATTCTTGTAAATAAACAATAAATAGTGTATAATAATATTGTTATCAATACTAAAGAACAAAAGTAATGTCTAAATTTATTTTCATCATATATTTAGGTTTTATTACAATTCTAATCCCTTTTTAAGACCATAAACATTGCCAAGGAGTGAATATACTTAAAATAATAGCAGTGTCAAGGGAAAATCCATCCTTTTCACACTTTTTTTTTTGCTGATTGATTTTTCTTCCATCTTAATTTCTGTTGCTTTTTATCACAAATCTCACCATTCTACAATTGTTTAGTAAGCAGCATGGCCAAGAAACCAAAAAAAAAGATAAGCTCCAGATACAATTTGAATTCTCATCATTCATTCTTGGGAGCCTTTTTCAGACATGCTACCTTCTCCAAATTTAATGGAAAGATCTCGGATGCATTCTTTTTTTTATGTGCCTTATCCTTTCAGCAAGTACGATCTGCCTGGCTTGTGTTTCTATATTATCTACAAACAGTGCATTGCCATGATTATTCTAGGGGAAAATAGTTTTTCCCATTGTCTTATCCGCAATTTTAAATTCAGATTTCTTGCTCTTCTAGACTGATTACCTACCAAGGCTAGTTAGCCCAGTTTACTCTTTTTAAAACAAACATTGCTGAAAATTGATAGTAGTTAAAATAATAGCCATGTCAAGGGAAAATAATAAACACTATTGATTAGATTGTTCATTGGAATGATTGTGAAAACAGCAGCTATATAAATTAAATTTCTTGATTATCCTTATTGCTTTAGGATGTCACAGGCAGACTTTTTATCCAGTGCAGTCTATTCCTAGTTCAGACCTTCCCAACTAGGACACGCCATGCCACTTTTGCAGTGTTCAGTCACTCCATGTTCCAAATCTGAGAATGACGTGTCCATTCATACAGTGTGCGATAGTTAAATTGTCGCCATCTTTATATTTTTAATTTTGTGTATGTGCATTGTTTGTTTTTGCTTTTATTAACTGCACAGCATAGTAGGGTCAGTTGGGCACTGTCTGCGAGAAAAAGAGCACCATGATGCAATCCACTTTCTAGAAATTTGGAAACGGCAGGCTGCACTGCTTGACATTTACATTGGAAGCTCCAATATGAACATTTCAGTGTGTTTGCGTGTCAATCTGAGAACAGTGCAAAGGATTTGGAAAGAATTGGATGAGTCTAATGGTTATCACAAAGGTACAGCAGCTCGGAAAACTCAATCTATCATTCTGATAAGAAAAGAACTTCGAAATTTGTTGGTGAGGGCCTCAGACTCAGCATGGAGGCCTACATTAAGTGGCTTGAGGAGATAGTGCTGCCCTGGGTCAAGAGGGTGGCTGTCAGAGGACCCCATGTCCGTCAACAGGACTCTGCACTTGCAACCCAAGCAGGAGAACCCAGTCATGGCTGTCAGACAATTTTTGAGACCACATCACCTTACATCTAACCACCTAACTCCCCAGACTGCAACCTCCTTGATTATGTATGGGGCACAGTTGAGCAAGAGATGAACAAAACTCCTTGTAACACCAAAGATAAACTGAAGGCATCAGTTATGGCAGCATTTACCAACTTAAGCAGACTGACCTAAAGAAATGCAGGAGATTCCAAAGTCGTCTGGAGGCCGTGGTTGAAGCTAATGGTGATTTTATTGAATAAATTTATTCTTTAGTATTTCAAGATTCTTTTTGTATACTTTTGGTAAATATATCTGTTAAAATAAGATGTTATTTTCATTTTTGTATACTTTAGATGACAATTTATCCATAGCACTCTGTACAACATCATCTCCCCCCAGCTATGGGTAAATAGCAGGACAAATTGGGTTCTATAGCCTTGTCTAGGAGAAAGTAACTTTGAATTCAAAACTGTATGTAGTCCTGGCGTAGCACATACTATCCAGCTAAAGAGAGAATCGTTTGGAATCAAAGGGTTCAATGATCTCGACTATGGTCAAATGATGATGATGATGATGACTCAGAATGGTGTCCACTTGGCAACACCAGGTACTGTGAGCAACCTCTGACAATCCATAACAAAGGGTTGATAAACCTTAAAAAAAAAAACAATCGATTGTGAGGTTTAGTAGTAAATTGTATCAAATGTTTCACTGTGCTTTTACTAAACTGTAGGTAAATAGAACTTTGTGTTTTATTGTTTATTGTCATTTTCCTGTTGCTTTGTGTTTTTTGCAGACAAGGTTCTTGTGACGCCCATGGCAAATATGGTTGTACCTCCCCCAATGTCAGCATACCAGCTTGTTTTGCCGGCTGCAGCAAATCAGGTCTTCTTTTTCTCACCTGAGCAATCAGAAAGTCATTGTAATATACCTGTAGATATTGGAGTTGTATTGGTCGACGGGCAGATTGCAGTTTTTACATATGAGAATGCAAGTAAGTATTATATTGTGTCTGTATAGTTAGGTTTGCCTTATTACCCGGTTCACACTCCTCCCCAGTCTTTTAAACAGAAGCAGAGGTTTATCCTTTGCTTCCTGTTTAGAATTGGATTTCCAGTTCCTTCTAATCTTCTCATTCTCTTTCAACCCCAGCAACCCCTTTTGTCTTAATGGCCTTATGACTTTACTTGGGGTGAATTGATTTAAAAAAGTAGAGGTTTTTCCCTTGTTTCCTGTTCAGGATTGGGTTTCTAGTTCCTTCTAAAGTCTTCTCATTCTCTTTCACTCACAGTAGCCCCCTTCATCTTACTGGCATTATCACCTTGCTTGTGGTGAATTGATTAAAAAAAGTAGAGGTTTTTCACTTGCTTTCTGTTTAGGATTCGCTTTCTGTTTCCTTCTAAAGTCTTATTCTCTTTCACTCCCAGCAGCTCCTTTCGTCTTAATGGCATTATCGCCTTGCTTGGGGTGAATTGATTAAAAAAACAAAAAAAATCTGTTTATTTATTTGAAAATCTTTTGTTTTTCCTTTTTAGTTTATTAACGATTAATAGTAAAAGGAGATACTTGTTTGCAAAACATCATATACTAGCAATACCCATGAAAATTTCCAGTTTTAATCTTCTGATGTATCCTAACTCTTAGGTTAATGAATAAGCTCCTTGCGAGTTCCATGACTCTAAAATACCCATGAAGATGCCCTTATGACATTGTTAAATATTTGAGCTTAACAACTTTAATAAAATATTGCAATAACAATCATAAATATGAATGCAACTTAATACTTAAAGAAGTAAGGGGGTACAAATGAAAAGATTTGGAATTGAAAAGTTTCTCCATTTCATGAAAGCAGATGTTGCTTATGGCTATATTAAAATGAAAGACTTGTTCTTGTTTGATCCTCTGGCAGGATTTGAACCAGTGTCCTCCTTTACAGGAGAAACCACAGTCTGATTCATTGTGCTTTGACTGATTGGCTGCAAAGGGGGACAGAGGTTTGAATCCTGCATAAATAGCACATCTTTTTAATAAATTCTCAAATGTGAAGGTCGGTAGACAAAATAAATACTGTTTTAAAATAAACAGAGCATCTATTCACTATATATATAATATATATATATATATATATATATATATTACACAACAAAATTCAAAATTACCTCGTGTGTGTATATATATATATATATATATATATATATATATATATATATATATTTTTACAGCAAAACAAACAAAAATTATCTCAACATCAGAATAGACTATTAAAACCATTCTTTAACGGTTTTGTCCCTTGTTAAGCCATTAAGGGACGATTTGAAATAATGTATTCCGGTGTTGAGGTAATTTTTGTTTTTTTGCTGTCAAAAATACTTATGCTCTGTTAAAATAAAAACATCAAGCTCTCTGTGGATCAGTTTTAATAATTATTATTACTAGGATCCACCCAGATTATATACCAGTGGATCAGTTACCTGTACTATATATATATATATATATATATATATTTAGGTATATACAGACCCACTGAACTTAAATAAAGTCATATTTTCCTATGGTTTAAAAATATTCCCAAGTGAAAATCATCACAAAAATAGCAAAAATATCAATTTGTAAATGGATTTTCTCTCAAAATACAGGTTTTCAACTTTTTAAATAAAATTTGAAAAAATAAATTGTTTTATCATCACCTGGATTAAATCAAAATTTTGAAACCCTGTCCTAGGTATTTCTGAAAGCAAAATCTATATCCAGGATAATTTAAAAGTAAAATTACTGGTCCAAATGAGCAAAAAATTTTTCAGTGGAAAATTTTGAAAAATAGTGAAAATTTTGCTTTTTTGCTTGGTGTTCTAAACAAATATTTCCCCCATTAATGGTAAATTAACCTGTTTTTTTTTTTTTTTGAAAATCAGCAAATAGATCATAATCAAACTATTTCAGGCATAAAAACACTTTGAAAGTGTAAAATTCGAGGGGTTTAAAAATAAAAAAAATCCATTACGAATTTTCAATTTGACTGAAGGAAAAAAATTGACACCAATACATTTTTAGTAAAAGGAAAATTTATCTGCAAACAAACCAGAAACCAAAAATAAAATTTGATAAGGAAAATAAACCTAATTGACTTTGACCTGGTCAATAGATTTTTGAAAAAAAAATTAACGGACGGCAAACCTAGAACAAGTTGTAATAAAAAATACCACTCCCAGATAAAAAAAAGGGTGAATAAAAAGGGTTGAAATTACTAGGGTTCATATAACCTATGTTTGAACAATGGCTTGATAAGTTTTGTTTTGTTTTTAACACCCGTGACCGGGTGATGACAAAACAAGCAGACAACAGGAATTTTTTTTCGCCGCTTATCTTTTGAAAGTCCCAAAAATAGGTTTTAATACCAGAAATATGTTCATGCTAATGAAAGAAAAAAAATAGAATTTTTTTACCAGAAATGAATATTTTTTCATTAAAAAGGATTTTTCTAAAAAATAGGTTTTAATGCTAAAATGACATTTTCCACAGCCAAATCGAAGATTAAAAACCAGGTTTAATTCCATGTGCAAAAATACTCTGGATCTATAAAGTCGCCTAAAAAGGTCCAGGTTTTAATTGATCAGAAAACCTTTACTAATTGTATTTTTCACGTAAAAATCATTATTTCATCTTTTATTAATACCAGCCAAGTCATCAAGGATTATGAAAACACTAAAAATAGGTTTTCTTTACCAGAAATTTACATTCTATGGTGTTTAAAAATGTAAAAATGAGGTTTTAATTTCAGAAATACTCACTATGAAATATGACAAAAACAAGGGTTTTAAAACCAGAAATATATATATATATAAATATATGTGTGTAAAAAAGAGGTTTTTTCTACCATCAAATATTCAAGCCGAAGAAAGTGTAAAAATAGGTTTAATAAATAAATGGATTGTCACTATCAAATAGTATCAAAAAAAATAACATTTGAAGTAATAAATAAGTTAACGTTGGAAAACAAAATTTTAATCCTGTCCTGGGTATGATGATAAAATCTGTGTCCAATAAGACGATAAATGACCTCCACTATGAAAGTCTGAAAATAGGTTTTAGGAATGTGGAACCACCTCTTAATTGCTGGTGTTCCTAGGTAGCCTTGAAAGTGTAAAAAATAGGGTTTTAATAAATAGACCCCAAACTCAAAACTATGAAAGTGTAAAATAGGTTTTAAAAAAAATTATTAATACCAATGCTTTTGTTAAGGATGAAAGTGTAAAAATTTTTAAAGGTTTTAATAAAACAAAAATTACCAGCAATACAATTTTGGAAAATAAAATAGATTTTTGAAAAAGAAAAATTAATTGCAATAGACTTTAAAAGTATAAAAACAGACTTTTGAAGAGGAAAAAACATTAATACTCACTATGAAAGTGTAAAAATAGGTTTTAATACCAGAAATACTTACTATGAAAGTGTAAAAATAGGTTTTAATACCAGAAATACTTACTATGAAAGTGTAAAAATAGGTTTTAATACCAGAAATACTTTGTAAAAAATTATTATCAGCAATAAATTTTTGAGGAAAAAAATTATTACCAGCATTACATTCTTATCAGCAATACATTTTTGGAAAAAAAAATATTACCAACGATACATTTTTTGAAGAAAAAATATTACCAGAAATAGATTTTTTTGAAGGAAAAAATATTACCAGCAATACAGTTTTGAAAAAAATATTAATAAAAATTGTTGGCATAAAATAACCCATTGAGGTTGATATGCTGTAAGACAAAACAAACCAAACTAAATCAAAATAAAATCTATTAATTCTATGTTGATTAAATTATATCTTGAGCTTTTTAACTTTAAAACTGGCTTTAGGAAAGTAATTCTTTTAGTTAATCACATGAATTTTTGATTTTGTTGCAGGTTCTCAGCCGGACAATTCTGTAATTGTTGCTACAGCTGGTGGTAATGGGTTCAGTGTGAAATGTTTGCTCCCTCATCTCCAGGCCATTTATAAGTAAGTAGTCTATAAAGTCAGGTAATCATATATCGTATTTTCTGGCTTACAAGATGCTGCGGCTTGGAAGACGCACCCTAATATTGGAAAGAAATTTCTAAGGTAAAAAAAAAGTTATTCTCATACAACAACACATTCAACATGCATCCCTCACATACTAGCGTCACGTATTGTTTACATTAATCACTCGTCTGATTTTGTTTGTATGGCAATACTAGTCAAGAGCAGAAAGGCCAATGCTAGTAAACAGAGCATGTTTAAGATTGTGGCTCGGCTCCAGGAAGGTTTATAGTCTTGGAAATACTTGTAAAAGCTGTACTGAAGATACATCATATAAAAGGCTGAATTAGATAGCTAACATTATAGTGTAATGACTCAACATACAAATCCACGTCCCTATCAGTCAAGCCAATTAGGTGACCGTCCAAGCTTACTTGTGCCTGGGCGTTGCCTTACATTCATCTTGGAAGATGCACACACATTTTTCAGGGTATTTTTTATGAAAAAAAGTGTGTCTTGTAAGCTGGAAAATATGATAAACCTTAAAAACAAAGACTGTGTTAAAAGGACAGTTTTACACTTGATGTCACTATTACTGTATAGTTCTTCGGCAATTTTTATTTGTTTCGAAAAGCTATTTTTAAAATTTTAATTTGTTTTTTTGGGGTTTTTTTTGTTTTTTTTTATATATATAAATAAATAAATGTATGAAATTTTCTGTACAGTCATGGTGTAAATATTAATGTGAATCCTATGATTAGTTTTCTATGAATTGGGAAATGTTTTTTTTTTTTTTTTGTTTATAAATGAACTGTTATTATTTTGTGTGTAGGCAGCCATTTGCTGATCTTTTGGATGGTTTTCCTATGGATGCTCACCGATTTTTGGGAATCGGTCCTCAACGTTTACTCTTTTGTTGTGAAGAAAATGATACCAGTGTCCTGTGTCGGGTCTCACTCTCTCCTGATGAGCAGTCATTGAAGGAAATGTATGTATCATTTTGCTTTAAATATATATATATATATATATATACCTCTCTTGTTGCCATCCCTCCTCAGTCTTGGTATCTCTGTCATCTCCATCCATTTTTGTTCTCTCTTTTCTTTCTTTCTCCTCTTTCTTTCCTTTTTTTCTCTTCTTTTTTTCTCTCCTCTCACTCTCTTTGTTGGATTTAATCCATTTCATATATATATATATATATATATATATATATATATATATATATATATATATATATATATATATATATTTGATCATTTCATAACAAAGGCAATAAAGCCACTAAGACAAAAGGAATTATTGAGTTAAAGAATAGGAGTAAAACATTAATATTAAGGAGAGAGTTCAATAAAAGAACTGAAATTAAGAAGACAGATGACAATGATTGACATTGCATTTAAATTTTTCTAATTGAGAAGCTAGAAGCCAGAAGAGACTTCCACAAATGAGAAGTTTGATAGCATAAACTGTTAGCTTAGAACTTATGGTTACATCGAGTCATATCAACTGTAAAAGGATGAAACACATCTGTCAATCTAATACTGCTCTTAAACTCATAAAGCTTAGATAGCATAGATGAAAGTTCATCAGAAGATATTTATAAAAAAGGCACTGGGAGGCCATGTTATGGTGGTAGGAAAATGACTGAAGCCGAGATGCCAGATCAGGACCAATAACATTACAGATTCTTTGATTTTTATCAAGAATCTCTCAATGCATACAAGATGTCGCAGTAATATTCACTGCCTGGATGGATGGTAGACTTATAAATGTGTAAGACAGATTCTGACAAGAAAAATTGTCTAGCACGGCATTTATAAATATTATTATATTTATATATTTATTTCTTTTCATTGAAATTCGTTTTCATCTTTTTCTTAAATTTTCAAAAATATTTAATGCTGCCAGCCCCAAAACATTGAATAAAAACAAAATTTCACAAAAATGTATGTTCTTGTCTTTGTCTGACATCAACAACACAAAATTCATAATCCTCACTTCTAACCCTCTATCTATCTGAAAATGAATTAGTTATCCTGAATACTAGGGTTTTTACTGCCGCATCCACAACAATTGGAGATATATAATCATTAAGAAGAAAAATAAATCCAGTACCACAATGTATCAAATAAAATGCTTGTAATGTAAAATCACTTATATTGGTGAGACATCTTGAAAACTAAAAACTGAGCATAAAAGGGATGTACATTGGGGCAAACCTTTAAAGTCTCTCGTAATACACAGGAACAAAACTGGCCATAACTTTGATTTTACAAATGCCACCCTAATTAAAAAAAGAACATAATTCTTTACTTTGTGGAAATCTTGATAAATATTTTACCAACTATAAACACACGTTAAAAAAAAAAAACGCTGTATTACATCATCAACCTTTACTAAATTAATTCTTAAACAATCTAATATATGTTTATCTACCACAACTGGTGTTTATATAAAAACATACGCAAATCAACCTGTGAACAACCACCAAGCATGAATAATGCCTACAAGACTGTTGAGATTGAAAAGTATTGAACTCTATTATTTTTGATTCCGTAATCGTTCTTGTCTTTCCATATTTTTAGTGCCAAAGTAAAAGTGTCTGCTAACATTTACCAAATGATCTTCTGTGGAGCATTAAATCTTGTCTTCATCCAGAATCACCATGGGGTAATATCAACTTTTAACCCAGGTAAAGTAGCCAAATTTTTTTCTAAATCAAGAGTTTAGTAATTATGAAGTAAATCAGAAAAGTCAGCGTTTGTTTTTTGCATTTCTTCTTCATAACCTTTTTTATGAGATTTAGTTTTTAAATTTCAAGTTAATTTTTTTTATTTAAATATTTGATTCTTTCAAGCTTGTGTTTGAATAAAACACTTATTTGAAGTCAGCATTCCAATTAACTGCTCGTTTCAAGCCGGACTTTGAATTAACTGTTTGTTTGAAGACAGCCTTCCAATTAACTGTTTGTTTTGAAGCTGGACTTCCACTTAAACATTTAATTATAACAAAAGGATAATTTAATTTTGTTAATAGCTATAATTTGATTTGATTTGATTTCTTTCTTTTTTTTTTTTTTTTTTCCCCTAATAATTTATAAGGAAATTTTTTAGCATATTCTTGGATTTAATTTTCCTCAGTTATATTCTTTGTTTTCTGTTAATATTTGTAAAATTTATTTGACAGATACCCAAAGTTTTTCAGTGTGGGAGTTGGCTTCTGGAGAAAAGATGATCTTTCCACAACTTTGCCCAAACATGTATGTCTGTAAAATTGGTCAACAGGTAATTATCTTTTTATTTTTTAAAATTTTGATTTAAATAATTAATGGCAGATTTATGTTCTGGAGGTAGTGTATATATATGAAGAAATAAATTTAGTTATTAGAAGATGAATTATTTAAAAGAACTCTCAATGATAAAAAAAAAAAGAAAGTAAAACAAGGTAAAATTGCTTTTATGCTTTCTAATGAAATTGGTATATTCTGTGCTAATAGGAATATATACTTGAAAAACAAGGTGGATAAAATAAGTAAAGGTTTATTGTAAAAAAAAACAAGTACAATAAGAATAAAGGTGCAGTTATGCACAATGTTGTTGCAAGTCAATCCAGTAGTGAATGCTACTATTGAAAGGTTGGTAGTTCTTGCATAAGTCTGAGTTGTACTCAACAGATCCCAGTTAGTCTCTGTAGTCTGTTGACTTACAGATACTTATAGGTAGTTACTACCTATAGTGTAGTCATTCATGGGGTGACAGGTTATTTCGTTACATCAGAAATATTAAAAATTTAAAAATAAGTTTGTCACCATCTTCATCCTACAAAAAAGACACTTATGCTGAACACCAGAAAGAGACAGTTGAAATTTCTGGGGCATATCATGAGGAAAGAGGACGTGGAAAATCTGATACTCACAGGACAGATTGAAGGCAAGAGGTGCAAGAGAAAAACAATGTATAACCTACTTAGAGAGCTTGAGTAAATGGATGGCAGTGCAAGGTTTAGAAGAGATAACAAAAGGACAAAATTTATTAAGAGCTATAAAGGACAGGAAATTGTGGAGAACCATGATTGTCTATGTCCTGATGGAACATAACAAATAAAAGAAAATGACTAGATCTTCCCCAACCTACCTACCAGGGTAGTATGATGAGATATGTAGTCTAAAATTTCTCAAATTCCAAAGAAGAATTCTTGCTATGTTTATTTAAAACTATCAAACCTCATAAACATTTATATCTTATCAAATTAAATATAAGAAGCTTGGATTGAAGCAATGTTTTTTTTTTTTTTTTAAGAAATAAAAGGTCATGAATATCTTATTGAAAAAACCATGCAATAAATCTATGCCAGATGTTCATTATTTTTCTTATACAAATCAGCCAGCACTCAAGTAGGGCCACAGAGTGAGTTCTGGAGAGACCAGATGACAAAAAAGTTAAATTCCAGTTTTAATCCCCTCTCCACCTTTGGTTTCTGCCACCAATGAATTCACAGACAAGAGGTCTCTCAAATTATTATCAATTACTGCTAGAATAATTTTCCTGCTGAAAGACGTCAATCAGGCTACGTAGATTAATAATTCTTTATTTCTTATGTACTTTTTAATTTTTCAATTTCTTACCATTAAACACATTGTTATAATTTGTGCTTTGAAATTTTCCTTTATGGCAATGTACACAATATACATTGTTTAATAAATGAAAATTAGACTTCTTAATACAAAGTATTCACTATAATAACATTTGAAGTAACACACACACACAGACAGATAAAAAACAAATAGGAAACATTTATAAATTTAACATGTTTCACTTTTATTAAAGCTTCAGAGATATGGAGAAGGAAATTCTGGTATTTTTCATTGGTTAAGCAGGTTTCATGTGCATTTGACTTGTTAAGCAGCATTAGTATGTTATGGTGATCTGAACTTGAGAGATGTGTCCTTTCAGATCTCCAAAAAATGATAGATTCCAAGCCTAACTTAAAGAAATGGAAATATTGCATTTTATATATGCTAGTGTATCATAATTCTAGTTTGTTTATGTGGGATTTGGATGATAATATATATATGTATTATCTTGTAGGTATTATTTATGTTTGATGGTTGTCCGCATGTTGATTTGTGGATGTTTTTAAGTAAACACTGGTTGTGTTAGAATGGATTTAATTAAGGTTGGTGATATATCGGATTCCAATCCATATTTTCTCTGTATGATCTTGGTTTTCAAGAAAGAAGTAACAGCTGCAAAGATTTCACACCTGAAATCTCCATAGAATCTGATTAACTCCCAGCTTGCTGATGTCAACATGCAATAATGGAAAAGATCAAAAACACCGCCAAGTGATGATGCCAAGAATACTACAAGAATTTTGGTAGTGCTTGAATAGGGAAGAACAGATTGATTAAACAAAAACAACTAACGACAGCAGTGACAATGCAGGCAAGCGGGTTATAAAAAGAGTCATAAAGAAGCAAGTATTATTGAGTAACAAAAGACAGGAAGCTGTGGAGACATAATTGTCCATGTCCTGAAGGGACATAACAAATAGAGAAAGCGAGATACAGATATAAGTGGTGTAGGAATTTTCTAAACATAAGTGACTTACTAAGAGAAGATTAGATGTGGCACAAGGTCTAAAGTATGGAGCTCCCAGTGAAGATCAAACTCACTACTCTGTTGTAATTGATCTGGTGAAACAAGCTCGCTAATCATACACCATGTCAAAGTTCCCAAATGATAGAAGTAAGGTGGTGTAATCGTTACCATTTTGAAAGAAAAAGAGATTCGATAATGCCTTTTCACTTATCTGCCTCAGTCCCGTTGCCAGTCTTCCCAATTATGATGTCATGGTGAAGTAGTAGTAATATCAGTGGGCAGCATGAGAAAAGCCACAAACTTAACAACATATGCCAAGTTCAAATACTTTAAAATAACACCAATTTTCTTTTTCTTTTTTTCCTTTTTGTCTACCTGACTGCTGGAATTTCTCTTTTTCTTAAATAATTTTTTTTTCTTGGCTGATATTGTGTTTCGCCCACATGACAAGGGGGCTATGTATAATATTCTCCTGCCTTACAACAGCTAAATGTCACAAGAGTGTTCTACCGAAGCTGTCAGCAGTAAAAAGTCCTAAATCTTATGACTGATATTTTGATTGGCAAGAAATTTATTTTTCATAATTTTAGCCAAAAGGCATCAATAATGTTTTCAATTTTTATTTTAAGAGACTGAATATATTTTTCAGGTTGCTGTATTAGGCTTGACTTCAAGGCATCGTTTTTATATTAATAACACTGAGGTAAGTGAGAGATTATTTCCTTGTTTTTGTCGTCTTAAGTTGTCTGAATTTCTTAGATGAAGCGTTGTCAGTTATTCATTTTTGACTACTATTTCTTTCATCTTATTTCTCTTGCTTATTTAGACCTAATAGGCATCTGTTTATCTTGCAAGATAATGACAGTACACTGTTTAGTCAAAATTCAGTCCCTTTTATGCTCTCACCAGGTGATTAGACAAGAATGATCCATCTATGTACATTGTGTACCATATTTAAAAAGGAATAATTCTTAGCTTATAGCCGTGGTAACTTTTGTTTCTTTGCATCCAAGAGCACATCAAAATCAGGCTGGAATAAGAACTCTTTCCATAAAATGTGCAACACTGTTGATAACTCTAACAACAGTTTTATTGATTATAAAGAAAAAACTGGTTGAATAAAATGTCTTTATTTTCTACTGCAAAATCAAGTTCTCTACTGCTGGATGGTGATTTGGTAAATCTAGTAATGATAAAGTAATAACCAGCCAGTTGACTCTTACTTAATTGTTTAAAGTAGCGTTTCCCAAACCATTTTTTTTTCTCTGGGCCACATTTTCGGAATTAAAATTTGCTCACACCTCACTAAATTTTATGTGATAAAAAGTACATTTAAGAATAAAAAAAAAAAAAACTGTGTTAAAGGGAGATAACTGCGCATTCAAAGTCAGAACATTATCATTAATAACTCTCTCCTCCAATTTGCGGACCCTAATTACTATATTAATACTTGATATAATACAAAAATATCACAATGATAAGATTGGTCAATAATTATAACTATTTAAGCTGTGACTCGTGCATGCTATTACATAATAATCCATAATATTTTCAATTTTGAAATCATTCATTTTTGGTATATGAATTTTTTGAAACTGTTTCTAAATCTTTGATTGTCTTTCAATCATTCTGCCTCACCTGCTATCCTTTTTCATCACACATATGAGATTTGCAACACCTTTTGGGAACCACTGCTTTAAAGTAAGAACCTGTCAGTCAACTCTCACTCAATTTTTTGGTCATATACCTCTCAGAAATACCTTCTACATAATGATAAAACATTAGTTATATGCATTGCTACAAATGTCTTACCATTATGTAGTAGATATTTCTGCCACACCCTGTATATATTAATAGAAGGCAGTGGTTTCTCTCTCAATGAAAGGAGTTTTATTTGATTTATCTATTTTTGTATTTTCTTCTTCTATTCACCCCCTGTTGGCATATTTATTCTTTGATAACAGGTCATGACTAACTGCACTTCTGTGGCCATCCATGACGACTTCCTTTTGATGACTTCTCTTTCTCATACTTGCCGCTTCATCAGTCGAGACACTGCCATGAAAGGTAAGCAAGTTTTTTTTTCAGTCATTTCCCAACACTGTTGTATCTTGAGCTTGTCTCCTTGGGCCGATATTACCAAAAAGTTGTTTTTGACAAATCAAACCATTGAACCTGGGTCACATGTTTTGAATGGTAACATTTTAAGTGCAGACATGTAAAGTAAACAAATATTTACTTTGCCATTTAAGCATTAATTAAAAGAATATATATATATATATATATATATATATATATATATATATATATATATATATATATATATAGGTAATAAACTGTTGGTATAAAATTCAAGTGAATCCTAATAATATAAAATGTTAAAACTGATCATTAAATTGTCTTTAAAAAAAGTGGGAGTATTTTTTGTTAAATAATAAAACTTTTAATTTATCAAAAAAAAATGAATGAAAAGTTATGCATTACGCTTTGCACCCTAATAGAACCAATTTTATTTTGTACCCCTTTATTTGTTTGCACTTCTCCCCAAAAATTGGTTTTGATCAGTCAATGTATGGCTATTTTAGAGGGTGTGATGGATGAACTAACAAAAGTCACAGAATTTTATATATAGATTTACCATTTTGATCATTTAAAGTGGGTAAAGCTTATGTAGAATAATAGATCAGACCAAAAATGGAGTATTGCTGCCCTCTGCAGTTTGTTTCCCACAGATGAGACATTGCAAATTTTTGCAACGTCAATGGCAAATGTTCAGCCAAGCTTTATTCTTTAGTACTACCAGTTTGGACTTTTGCGGCCAAAACTCTGCCTTGCTATATTCACAGGGTTGAATCATCCTCATTTTCCCTATGTATTCTATTCAGAAAGCTTCATCCCAAGAACTGTTACTCTGTGAAATGAACTCCTGTATAGATGCTTCCCTGAAAATTACACAAATAACCCCTACAAGTCAAGGGTCAATGGTTATGTATCCTCCATTTCATCATAATGATCACTTCCTATTTCCTTCTCTTACTTTGACACATATTTCATTCAGTAGTCCTCTACCTTGTGTGGCTCTTGAGCCATGTATGTGTGAAATATAGTAAAAAAAAAAAATATAAAAAAAAAAAAAAAATGGCAAACTTGGACCTCCATGCTTACAAGAGAAAATGGAATCTCAAAATCATCATATTTTAACCTTTAACACACTGTAGGTGACATTGGTCGCCATAGAATTATCTCCCTTGCTACTATTGGCAATTTCTGTCGCCTGAGACTGTTGCTATAAATAAACACTTGTCAACTGTTATTTCCGGTATTTTAGCTGGAAATCACCTACTACTGTTTTGGAACAAGGCTAAACTTATGAAGTGTAACATCAATTAAACCCACATTAATTTTTTTGTAAACAAAAATGGCCACGTCAATATCCAATAAAGCCTTTATTCAGGAGTTTTTCTTTGATTAAGACTGATGATAATTTTGAAGGCTTTTCTTGAATGGATATTGACAATGAAGTGGTCGGAGATGATAACCACACTAGTGATATGGAGGAAAGCGACAATGACCACTAGCGGCTACTATCATTCATGCCTGAGAAATTTTATGGAAGCTATTGGCAACGATCAATATATCTGATAGCCCTTTCTGAAGGTGGATTATTTTGTCTATTTATAAATGACGAAATAATAACTTTATTCGTCAAGAAGAGAAATAATTATGAGTCTGATGAAAGAAAGAGCAAACAAATGCTAGTGTCTTCTCATATATAAACACAAGGAAACAAATCACTTTTTTGACGAAATGAAAGCCTTCTTAGCATATTTGCTTCTTATTGCACCCCCAGAACTCCACAAGGAGCAATAAAAGTTTAAGTACATTGAATTATGTATTTTTTTTAATGTATTTGTTTTTTATTTCGCGTTTCAATTTTTTTGTTTTCATCGGTAAAATATGAATGCAAAATGTAATGCATTACATAATGATATTACTCATTCATTCTTTTATCAGTGTACAAATATTAAAATCCATACGCACAATACAAAGAAAGTTATAACAATTTTAAAACAGTAGGTGTTCATGTTTTTGCACCCTGAAAGAAATGCACTGGCCGGGTGAACAGTTCTAGAAAGAAATTAGCGTAGTAAAGGTTAAAACAATAAGCATTGCCAAGGAGTGAAGGTAGTTAAAAATATTAGTGGTGTCAAGGGAAAAACCGTCTTTTGGCACAAAGGTCCAAGTTTGCCTAAAAATTATAGGAGGCTACTTTCAGATCAATATATAGATATTTAGTTTTTTATAATATCTTGTCAAAGTTTTTAAGTTCAAAACTCAATTCTCGTTATATATATATAGAAATAATGTCGCTGCCGACACTAGAGTTTGAACACGGGTTCACCAGAGAGCAAACACAGGCGATCCAATTTTGAATAAGTAGATCATGTGATGATAAAGGAAATGTATATATGGAAATTATATAAGCAAGTGTAAATGGATATAAATCCGACAGAATGAAGAAATTTTGAAAAAACAAACAAAAATCCTTAAATGTAGTTAAATGAAAGAAACTACATTTAAGGATTTTTGTTTGTTTTTTCAAAATTTCTTCATATGGAAATTAGCGTGGCCTCTAAGTGATCAATATATGGATTACTGTTCAGATCACTATTTGGTGGTTACTTTTCAAGTAAGTATTATCGAGCAAATACTATTAGTGTGAGTGTTATTCAAAGGCATCTGACACTAGTATTGTTCAACAGCGTTACTATAGTTGTATCTGTGATTACAAAGTCTCTACTACAATGAGCATTACAAAAGTGACAAGTATTCACAAAAGTTCTGAAGTGAAAAATATAATCCATAAATGTTGTTTGATTTTGTATTTCTCTTCTAAATTTTTATAAATGCGTAATTTCAGATGAATTCGTTCTTTATAAATATTTAAAAGAAATTTTCTTCTTTTTATTTCTTGTTAGCTCTGCCTGTATTACATGATAATAAAGACCAGCCTTTTGATGAGGTTGTCCGTCGAGTGGAGCGAGGATCACGTATTGTGACAGTTGTTCACGATCAAACAAAACTTATCTTACAAATGCCACGTGGAAATTTAGAAACCATTCACCCCAGGGCATTGCTGTTATCTTCTATAAGACAAAAACTGAACAGGTAGGAACAGGGTGTTTTCAGGGTGGTTGTGTTTTTTTTTTTTGTTTGTGTGTGCAAAATTTTGAATATATTGATATTTTTTTTTTTCTGGTTTTTGGGGTTTGTGTAAATTTTTGTTTGTGCATGCAACATTTTTGGAATATACTAATTTTTCTTCAAGAATTCATTTGGTACAGTCTTGGAGGAAGGTAGCTGACACTAAAGACTACTTCTGGCCAGCAATGCCTCTCTTTTACCACCTCTCTGCCCATCTCTACATCATGACAGACAACTTGCCCACAAACAGTTGTTTCAAGCTAACAGGTGACCTGGAATTCTCTCTCTCTCTCTCATTCTAATTGCGACTGATTATACAAGCCTGCAAACTGGACTTCCTAACTTCCAGCCAAGTGCCAGTTCATCCTGAAAGTTTTCATTTATTTATTTACTTTTTGGTCAAGTGAGTGGCCACTTTGAAGGTCCTACTTCATAGACTTTACTGCTGGTCATAAAAATGCCAAACATTTCAGACTCAGATAAAATCATTTACCGTCCACTTCTGTATGGGTGTCCTGATCACAGATCCTTCATAACCTGGATTATTTCTCTTGCTGAATTGTCGTGTGGATGTGCAGGTAGTGCAGTGGTTATCAGTGCAGGAACTGGAATTGGTATGCCGAGTTCAAATTCTAACCAAATCTATTTCATTCTCTTCTCACTAATGTCCTTGGAAAAGGCATGAATCCATCTTTCTCAAGTATAAAGACAGATTTCAGTATGCTATAACCCCAATAGTTGCAATATTGTAAAATCCACCCCCATCACCCAATATTGCAGGCAAATTTTGATGTTTCTTACTTAGGATACTTGATTTTGTTTTTGCTAAATTAAGATGAATATAATTGTCTATATCTCTGTGATGAAGTATTATGATTACTTGCATTATTTACTTTCTTTGAACTGATATCCTCATCTTCATTGTCATATTCACAACGTTTCAGCCATTGTTCACTCCAGCCATCTTCAGGTGATTGGAATTTTAAAGCAAATTCTTTATTTTATCCACCAAGGTAGATTGTTCTAGTTTCAAAATAAAGTGTTCGGTTCGAAATTCCAATAACCTGAAGAAAGCCGGAGCATACAATGGCCAAAATACTGTGAATATGGCAATGTAGATGATGATAACAGTCCGAGTAATGTAAATAATGAAAGTAAAAATGAATATGTTGAAATATTCCTCTCTCATTTTTTTTCTTGTTTATTGATTTCTTTTGGAATACTCATAAAGACATTGCTGATAATTTTGAGGTATTGTAACTATTTACACTATTTACATCATTTGGACTGTTGTCTTCATCTTTATTGCCATATTCAAGGACACCTTTCCAAGTGGATAAAAGCATTGTTTGAGTGATCCAAAAAATGACTCAACCCAAAGAATAGTGAGTTCAATACCTGGCCACATCAGAGGGAACAAACACTTGGAGACTTGAGTTACTAAAGGGAATTAACTGAAACAGAGATATCCAAAAGTAGGCATGGCACCTGGAATTAGAACAATCTACTCTCATGGATTTTTTTTTTTTTTTTTTAACCTCTGCTGTGATCACCTGAAGAAGGCTGGAGTGTACAATGGCCAAAGCTTTATGAATATGGCAATAAAGATGAGGACAGCAGGACAGGAATTATTTAAATAAAGTAAATACTTAAAAGACCTTTAATAATTTTTTTCTTTTTTTTTTTTTTCCAGTCTATTTTACAGGGACGCATTGTTAATGATGCGAAAACACAGAATAAATATGAATCTCACTTATGATCACAATCGTACATCTTTCTTGGCTAATGTTCAAACATTTATTGAACAAATCAGTTCGTACAACCTTTTAACTTTATTCCTGACTGATCTGAGGTTTGTATTATTTTTTCTTTCTTTAATAATCTTATTTTAATAAAGGAAAAAAAGGGTTTTAGTTTTAGGGGAAGTTGTTGAATAAATTTTTATCATAAAACATTTTGATATTATCAATTTTCATCAGTGTTTACATTCAATGTATTTTCGCTTTTAATGAAAAAACAAAATTTAATATTCACAATCTCACCTTTCATAACAGAATTACTACTCTCCAAAGCCAACATACACAACAAATATATCAAGAAAATGGTTGAATTCATCTTCACAACAATTGAAACAATATTTCTCCATATAGAAAATTCTCTTCAAACATAAAAAGTAAATGATGTAATTTTTCAGTTGACCCAGTGAATATATATGAGTGTTTCTAAATTCTATTCGCTAACAACATTGTTTTTGCTTATAGATACTTTGTTCAAATAAATTCATTTCATTTTTTTGCCTTGTAAACGTCCATATTAGATGAAACACATCAGCTAAAACTACATACTGTTTTTCTATTGTCTTTTTTCCTTTTTTCATATATATATATATATATATATATATATATATACACACACATATAATAGAATTCAAATTAACACTAATACAATCAACACACACATACACACATAAATAAAATCAAATTCAAATTAATGTTTTAAATAATATGTGTGTGTGCATAGGACTTGTTGTTTCATTGTCATGTTTAATTTGAATTTTTTCCTACAGTGAAGAAGATGTCACTCTTAGTATGTATGCTGCTGCTTATCCTGGTCGTAGTCAAGATTCTAAGGAGAATGTTACAGAGGCTAAAGCGAAAGTGAATGTCGTTTGTGATGCGTTACTCAATGCTTTATACGAAGCCAACAAAGAAAAGTATGTACAACTTTCTGTTGTTAAGTATTGCTAAAATGTTACAGATTCCTTGTACCTTAATTATTTGTGTATAATATGCACTCCTGTATAATACACACCACTCACTTTTGTTTATAAATTTCTAGAAAGAAAGAAAAATTTCTGAAATAAAAAAGGTGTAATACAGCATATTTAGAGCAAATGCATGGTCACATTCATACAAAAAAAGCAGCAAGCAAGAAAGGAAACCGTATACTTTTATTTAATATTTTTTTTTTTAGTAGGAAATCTTGTATTCTTCTTAGTTGCTGATTGGTCAATTTAATGGCCAATAAAAATCCACTGTCACATCCTGGTTCTTTTTTCAGTTTTTTTTTTATTCTTTTGTAGGATTTTAAGACTGTTAACTGATCTTATCAAATACATTGTAAAATGTGTAGCTAGATTTGTGTATTGTCCAATTCACAATCATCCCCAGTCTACAGAAGTAGAGATTTATCACTTGTTTTCTGTTTAAGATGGGGTTTCTTGCTCCTTTTTAAAGTCTCCTTCAAACTCTATACTTCTGATGTTTCTGCCTAAACTCTGAAATTTTATTTATTATTTATTTATTCTTTCCCTCAGTAGGAGTAGATAGGCTCACCTATTGTCCGGTTCACACTCCTCCCCTGTCTTTTGAACAGAAGTAGAGTTTTATCCATGGTTTCCTATTTATGATTGGATTTTGGGTTCCTAAAATTTATTTCAACTCTATACTTCTAACGCCTCTGCCTAAACTTTGAAAATTTATTTGGCTTATGGCCACATCACATTGAGACACCGATTCCAGTACAATCACCAAAGTGAAGCAATGTCAAGCCTGGTCAGTACTTAGATGGGTGACCGCTTAGGAATACCATGTGCTGTAAGCTTGGATGTGTAGATGGTCTTATGGAAAATGGCTTGGAATTGTTAACTAGAGAGACGTGTTCAGATTCTAGTTGGGTTTATTATATTCCTTTATGTGCAAATACTGTTGAGACGGGTATGCATCCACCTCTTCTTCCCTCAGCTATGGGTTAATTAGTAAGACTTGTATCACTAAAACCATTATTATCTCAAAAGAAAAATTCTTACAATCTAAAAATGTTTTCTGGCTTTAAATAACCTGCAAAAGGTTGAAGCCATAAAAAACAAATCAATCGACCACTCTACAATTTGCTTCTCTTTTTTTTTTTTCTGCAGATAATTTTTTACTCCTTACCATCCTGCTTTATCCCCATTCTGCCATCAATTCACCAAACTTTTTAAGTAGGTTACTTAGTTCCCTCCTGCTTTTCTTGCCTTCAGTAAGAGTTGTGTGTGTTAAATTCTCTAAACCCTCTTTCTTCTTTACATTGTTATGTAATAAACAGGAGTTTTTTTTTATTTACAGATTCTTATTACCAATTATCACTGCCCATGTGAAGAAGAATCCTCCAGAATTAGAAAAGGCTTTAGAATTGGTTCACAATCTGAAAGGTAAAAGAATTCTTCAGTTTTTTTGTGCATGTCTTTTTTTTTTTCCTCTCTGATAATCATTATCTTTATTGTTTTGATCAGAACATTTTGACCAGCACATTCTCCAGGCTTCTTCATTTCTATGTTCAATTTGGTAATCCTGAACAAATAGTGAACACACGCTTTTTTATTTTGTTCGGGGAAGGCTGCTCTTTGTTCTGTCCTTTTGGTTTTAAGTCAAGCACTCCACTGAAATATTGAACTCTCAGCCGAAACCTGAAGAAAACTGAAATATTGTAAATGATATGATTTAGGCACGGACCTGAAAAATTTATGAATGACAATGTGTTATTTTGGGATGTCAAACATTTTTAAAATTCCATTTTTCCTGCCCCCCACCTTTTTTTTAAGCAAGAATTCTTTTGCATGTAAATTTTTTTATTAAATCTTTTGACAATGTTTGTGTTCTAGAATTTTTCCTTAATGTTTATATTTTGATGAAAAGTGGCTTTTCTATCTCTCTCTCTCATATATCTTACTTATTATAAAACCCAGGTTGTGTGTGTGTGTGTGTGTCTGTACGTTTATATATTGGATCGGATTTACTACATTTTTCAACTGATTTCAACAAAACTTCACAGGACTACGTAAAATTAACTTGCGATGGTTCTGACAGCGCCAAAAATTGGAAAAATACAATTGTTTTTGCATGAAATCAATTTGAAAATACAATTAAGAGGCATCGCTTTCGCGGAATGAAAGGGGGGCAACTCATATCAAGTTATACTTATTATAAAACCCAGGTTGTGTGTGTTCTTTCGTTTATATATGGGATCGGATTTCCTACATTTTTCAACCAATTTCAACAAAACGTCACTTTTTTTTTTTGGCAGGTAGTGTTTCTTATTGTCTTGCACACTTTTTTCCTTATTTTACATTCAGAATGCTTTAAAAATTCCATTTACAAGACAATTGTTTATTAATAAAATTCTATTCAATCGGTAATTCATAACGATTGAAAACAATGTTTTTGTTTGAGTTTGGGTTTGACCAATTCAGAAAAAAAAAGAAAAAAAAGAAATAAAACTAATTAAGACATGCATGTCCATCAACCTTAAACAATAATCTTTGTCAATTTTATTTTTTCAGTCTTTATGATACTTGATCTATCTCTTACTGTTACATCCCGGCAACGCCGGGTTTCTACTGTTAGTATATATATATATATATATAAAAGGAAATATGTTGTAGTGGTTCCAACGAGAAAAAGTATGTATATTAAAAAGAAGAGGGGTGCCGCAAAACGTTTTTTGGTTGTAATGTGGATTTATTGAGAAAAAATATTATACTTTGTTTTACATAATTTCACGACACGTGTTTCTGGTCTGGTCTCAACCGTCTTCAGGTAAAAGTGGAGATTTTTTACATATTATTAAAAATAATTAATTTTTCTTCATGTTCAATGTGGAATATTCTCGATATGAGACATTCTGTTTGTGTGTTGGCAATCCGAATTTTCTTTAATATAATATAAATTTGTGCAGGCAAGAAAACTTTGTTCTTTGTGTCTCATGGGTTGGTCGTGAGGAGGAGCTTATTCACATCAATTTATTGTTTTAGTAAGAAATTTATTTTAGTTCTGGCTCCTTATTTACTCATCACCTCCATGCACTTTTTCAGTTTCGCTGTTTATGATTAAGTTTCGATTTTTTTTTTCTTTCTTTTTTCTTCTTTTTCTTTTTTCTTCTTTTTCTTTTTTCTTCTTTTTCTTTTTTCTTCTTTTTCTTTTTTCTTCTTTTTCTTTTTTCTTCTTTTTCTTTTTTCTTCTTTTTCTTCTTTTTTTTTTCTTTTCTTCTTTTTTTTTTTCTTTTTTTCTTTTCTTCTTTTCTTTTTTTTCTTTTCTTTCTTCTTTTTCTTTCTTCTTCTTTTCTTTCTTCTTTTCTTTCTTCTTCTTTTCTTTCTTCTTCTTTTCTTTCTTTTTTTCTTTCTTCTTTTCTCTTCTTTTCTTTTTTCTTTTTTCTTCTTTCTTTCTTCTTCTTTTCTTTCTTCTTCTTTTCTTTCTTCTTCTTTTTCTTTCTTCTTCTTTTCTTTCTTCTTCTTTCTTTTTCTTTTTTTCTTTTCTTTTTTTTTTTTCTTTTTTTTTCTTTTTTTCTTTTTTCTTTTTTTTTTTCTTTTTTTTTTTTTTTTTTTTTTTTTTTTTTTTTAAAGAAAATGAATGTGCTTCATCAGATTTAAAACAATATATATATATATATATATATATATATATATATATATATATATATGTTTCATTAAATAATATAGACAAGTGTTGTCTACTTATTTTATGTAAATTCTTTTCATATCGTCTGATAAATTTTAATAACATTATCATTGAACGAAGAAAGAAAATCCACAATATTGATCCATATTTTTAATCCAATCTAAGCTTTTAAACTTACATAAGTCATTATCAAAGATGTCAATTACTGTTCAATATATTAAGCAATATATGGACAAGACAGTGATGATAGTCTGTTATTGTTTACATGGATGATTTCCAAGCAATGATAAACATGTGCATATAAGACGCTAGAAGCAAAATTTCACACCGCAACTCATGACGTCACACATGACCATGCGAGAGTGAATTCAAGAAGTATTAAGTATGGGAAGCCGTTGGTATAAACCAATGGCTTTTGTTACCAATTATAGACATTTAAGAATATTTGTAGAGATTCCATAGTTGATTTTGTTTAGGTTAGGTTTCAACTGAATATATACAAGCATGTTTGGTTGAATAATCTGGGCATATTATGTCTATTTATTTTTATTTTAATGCTCTCAAATTCATGGATCATTTTCTCAATGTTGTTATTAAACTGATTAAGGAAGAAGCCGTAGTTATTTTCATTTCTTTCATTTTCCCGAGTACTTTCAATCTCATCCAAGATCATCTTCAAGGGTGAATTGCTAAGATTAAATTACATTTAATTTTTTTGTCTTAGCAATTCACCCTTTCTTCCTCGAATCCAAACAGTGCTCTCAATACTGAACATCTTGGACGTTCGGTTTGGAGAAGTTATACTGTATTGCGGTTTACTTTTGCCAAAGTTAATTAATTGGTTTTATAAGCAAACAAAACAAAATCCATTTTGCAGATAAATAGAAATTATAAGTTAATATAAAACCTTAAAAATTTAAAGATAATGAAACTGAAAGCTTTTTTTTTTTTTTTTTTTCACAAATTTCTTTTTAGTTTCTCCAAGCAACATTGTATCTCTTGAGGAAACACTACGCCACTTATTGTGCATGGTTGACATCAACCAACTTTATGACATCGCTTTGGGGATGTATGACTTCGATATTGTCCTTATGGTTGCTGAAAAATCACAAAAGGTAAAAGAATGTTTTGTATATTTGTATTTAAACATAGTATTTTTTTTTTTCTAATAAGAAATAAAGAATCATGGGCAAAATTAGAAAAAGAAAATCGCAACTAGTATATTGTCGTTCTTCTTTGGGTTATGGTATCCTGGGTATGACGATAAGCTACATCCAACAGCAGTGCTGTTGATTGGGAGGTTTTGAGGAGTGTGGAACCACTTTTTAATTGCTACTGTTCCCAGATCCACTCTGATCTGGGGTGGTAGGGTTTCAGCTATGGGCAAATAGTTAAACCCCGAACTGGTTTCAAAATACTATGAAATAATAAAAATAGATTTTTATAGTAAAAATTACCAACAATAAACCATACTCTTGACAAAAACCCTCTTTACAAAAATATATCAATGAAATCTGATCTACAAACTGATTTCTTACAATGAATACATATTCTATTCATATGAACCTATTTTAAAAATCTTGTTGGCATTAAATAGCCCACTGAGGTTGATATGTCATAAGACAAAACAAACTGAACTCTTTGGGTAATGATGGCAAAAATTCTTTGAAATCTGAACTTCATAAATGAAAAACAGTATTCTTCATCAAGGATTTTTCTTTCTCCAAATTGTATTTGACAAATCATCTTTATACTATGCAACTTTTGTGGCCTGGTTTCCAATAGCCATTACACATCATGTGAGACTATTTCAAACTTCTAGCTTCTTATAGAATATCAAGATATACATAGAGGAATTCTAACTACCACACAGACACCACACCGGTCCTTGATAATGACTGCAATCAAAAGTACTGGAACAAAAATAACAAAATCTGAACTTCGATCAGTTCATCCAGAACTTCAAGCACAATACTCAACACCTTATCTGAAGGTTGGAAAATATATAAAATTAAACAGACAGCTCTTGTCAGTTCTTTCATCAATTTGTTTGGATGAATACGTGCTACTTGGATTGACTGTGTGTGTGTGTGTGTGTGTGTGTGTGTGCATACATACATACATACATACATATATATATATATATATATATATATATATATATATATATAGTCTTAAGGTGTGCTATATTTATGGGATAAAGTGCTCAATATCAGAAATAGTGTGTAAATATAAAAGTGAACATTGAAGTCATCACTTAGAGGCGACAGGCTGTTTAATGCTAGATGCAATCGTCAGGCCTCGGTATATATTTATATATATAAATAGTTCCACCCCTGCTTATCCGTTTCTCTTTAAACCCCCCTTCCATGTATCGTCAATTTTAGAATAAATGGTACTCCCCAACCCTCTCCGTTGTTTTGGGGTCACATGGTTTTGGTTTTTTGTTTATTGACTATATATTCCGTTCTTTCTTTACCTTTTTAGCCAGCCTTCCCTGACAATCTGCTTAGGTGAAACCTTGGTAGGTTTGTCTGGCTCTCTAGATTTAACTAACTAACTATATATATATATATATATATATATATATTATCATTTATTATATCTCTTGATTCCTGCAACAACACCTGTTCAATGCATGTGGTTCCGGGCGATCCTCTTTAGCTTGGCCCATGTTGTGCCAGCTGCCTTCACCACTGCGTCAACATTTCTGGGTCAAGTCTGTTTTGGTTGACCCACTTTTTGCTTCCCTTGTAGTTTCCAGTCAAGTGCCTGCCTGGTGACACTAAACGCAGGCTTATGGAGTGTGTGACCAATCTATCCCCATTTCTGTTTCTTGATATCAATCTCGATTGGGGTGTAATGGTCGTTGGAGACAGCTTCTGGCCACCTGATATTAAGGATGTTCCTAAGACATCGGTTGGTAAATGTCTGAAGTTTGTGGGTGTTGATTTTGGTTACCCGCCAAGTTTCTGACCTGTAAAGTAGGACCAACTTGACATTGGTGTTGAAGATCCTGATCTTGTTTTAAAGTGAAAGGGCTGTTGATCTCCAGATTGGCTACAGAGTGTTGAAATTATATTAGTGCATAAAAATTCACATGGTTCCACTCACTTTTTTGATCAATTTTTTAAATTTTTTTCAAATTCATGTTGTAGAAAATGTTTTGGATCCTGATTATTGTAAAGCTAGCCATAATTTGCATCTGGATATAATTACCATAGGTAGCTGAATTCCAGGGTTGCCAGTGTTGATGAGCCAAAAAAGGAAAGTAGTAATTGTAGTCCTTTTAGACTGACTGCCATCCAAAGTTAGAGTGTCCATTCTACCCTGCTGTTTAACCCATAGCTGGAGAGAGAAGAGATGGAATCCTACCCTTTTCCTTTTATTGTTTGAAGTTTATAAATGTAAACAAAGGAAGACCTTATGGAATTGATGAAAAAAAAATATAAGTGTATAAAAAAAATTACATTCAGTCTATTTTTATTATCAATTTTTGTTAATATTTTGTATGTTGCCCCCCCCCCTTCCAAATTATCCTGACTAGTGTATAACTACCCATAATTTGTACCTGGGTACAGTTACCACAGGTAATTGAAATGGTAGTTTAAATGTGGCACATGGCCAAAAGTATGGGGCTCCCAGTGTGGATCAAATTTGCTATTCAGTCATAATTGATCTAGCAAGACAAGCTTGCTAACTGTTGCACCATGTCAAAATGCCCAAAATGATTTTCTCAGCATAGCTTAAATGTGACACAAGGCTGAATGTATGGGACACCCAGTGAGGATCGAACTCACTACTAAATTCTAATTGATCTAGCAAGACAAGTTATATACACAATGGTGCAAATTAATTGAAATAACCACTTTAGCTTCTTTTCCTTCACCATAAGGTCTTTTTTTAGACACACTGGAATGATGGTGTAATCAATTTCTATTTTTTCCTAAGATTAGGTCATTTGCAGTTGTGTGCAGTAATATGAATCTATTTTCAGGGTGTATGATAAAATTTGTTTGACCTTGAAAAATATTGTCATCCATGATTGCATTTTTATCATGTCCAAACACTATTGTCTTGACTGTCGATTAGTTGTCCTATGGCCATTGTCTGTGATGGATATTACTCCAAGGAATCATACAAAAATTGTAATGCTGCCTGCACACACTGGCAAACGTTACTAGTGAGCAAATCAAAGTACTATAGATTGGGCCGGAAACTCTCCTGATTTCAATCCAATCGAGAATCTGTGGTCAATCTGCAAGGAATGGCTTTGTGGAATGGACATATGAAGTACTAACATGTGCACTGGGTCATGTTACATTGGAAAAATGTGAAAAAAAAGTAAATAATAATGGAATTATTTGTTTTGTTTCAATTAATTTGCACAAGGGTTTAGAATTCCATGGTTGTAAGTATTGCTGAACTAAAAAAGGAAAAAGTATGGAATCTAATAAGTCACATTTATTACTTTGTTGTTCCTCCTTGGGTTTTTATGACAGCAAAAATTCTTTGATGTTTGAATTTCATAAAAAAAGAAAGGACCCCCCCCACTCCCCAAAAAAATAACCAATATTCTCCAAGTTGGTTCGACCTTTCTCCAAATAGTATTTGAAAATCAGTATGGCAGGATGCAACATTCCATTAGCCACTTATTAAATGTTCATCATAATGTTTTAATCGTATTGAGAGCAGGATGATTTGCTTGGAATATCATTGATTTGATGTCCCCTTTTCTAGGGAACTGTTTTAATGCTCTTTGTCTCATCCTGAAAAAAATACCTTAATCTTTAGCAAACCTATTTTTCTTTTGATGTAATGTAAAAAGCATCCGTCATTTCAATATCCGTCTGTGCTCATCTTTGTTGTTGCTGTCATGTTTTGGCTGTTGTGCCCTCCGGCCTTCATCAGGTGTATGTTGATTATAGTAACTTACAAGGAATTCCAAACTGAACTCTACCGTTCTCGTTCCACTGCTCATATCTAGGGAAATGAGAACTAGAGATATCCCTAGACCTTGGGTAGTGGAAAGAGAACAGTTTGATGAGCCCTAAAACATAATCAATACTTTTATAACCTTCTTCTTTTGTTCCTACTGGCACTCATTTTAGACACAGCTTGCTCGGAACTGATGTATTTTGCCCCACTCCATGTCATTTTTCCTTCTTGTAGTTTTACAATTCTTTTCAGTGTTTTAGTGTTTCCTTTGCCAACTCTCTTGCAGGAGTTGTGTTTCCTTTGACAGCTCTTTTGTCAGAGTTGCGTTTCTTTTGATGCATCTATTGCAGGAGCCACATTTCCTTTGACAGCTCTATTGTCAGAGCTGCGGTCCCTTTGAATTAACAGTCATCTTGTTAGAAGAGCGGATCCTTTGAACTGACAGCCATCTTGATGGAGTTGTGGTTCCTTTGAATTGACAGCCATCTTCTTGGAACCATGCATTTTTTTTCCAAATTTAATAGCTCATTAAAGCCAGCAAGCATTTTCCTTTTTAACCTCAGACTAATTTGCATATTTAGTGTTGTACTGCTATTGCTGTCTGAATTTCTGGGATGAAGAGTTATTATTCGCACACAGACTATTGCCCTCAACTTTTTTGTTATCATATTTAAAAAAAAACAAAAACACAAAGCCTTGTTACTTTATGGGTGTCATTATTTTTGTCAAAATTATTAATCTTTATATTTATATCTTTTTCTCTTTCATCATTAAATGTAGCCAAATAGAGAGTAGTCTCCCCTTATTTATTTGTGTGTAAATAATAAAGTAATTTGCTATCTATCTTAACAGCTGTTTTCAAAGTAAAGTTACTTATCTTTTTGTCAGGATCCAAAAGAATACCTACCTTACTTAAACAGCTTACGTCAAATGGAAACTAATTACCAGAGATATACGATTGATAAGCACTTGAGAAGGTTTCCCAAAGCCCTGCAACATATTACGAAATGTGGTAAGTCAGAAATTGATTGTTTAATGTTTGATTTGGGCTTTTAATGATTTTCTCCTGCTTTTTTTTAGAATGAAGATAAAATGCTTATTTATAATGTTTTTGTCTTTTTCAAGGTCCTGAGAGGTTTAATGAGTGTCTTCAATTTATTGAACAACATAAACTCCATAAAGAAGCTCTGCAATTGTACGAGCCAACTCGGGAAGAATTTCAGGTATGAACTTTAATTCTGGCATAAACTTTATTTTTTAATTATCAATTGTTATACGAATTATTATGTTTATTTTTCAATTATTCATGTATTTATTTTGTTATTATGTATTCTTAATCTGTTTATTGCCATATTACATGTGCATTCTATGGCATCTTGCAGATTGCCTCTGACACGCATATGCATCGATTCCATGGTTTTATATATATATATATATATATATATATATATATGACACTAACTATGTGTTTTTCTTCATCTTGGTTTGTAAACCTGATTTTTTTTTTTTTTTTTTTTTTTAATCTTGTTGCTGTGATTTGTAGAGCTGTTTTTTGGGGGTTGAGGGTGATTGTGGAGGTGTTTTTAGGATGGTTGTAGAGCTGGTTTGGTGGGGAGAGTGGTTGTAGAACTGTTTTTGGAGGGTGGGTATTTGTAGAATTGTTTTGTTTTTTTTTTATTTATTTATTTCTTCCAAAGTTCAATGATAATTCTTCTGTCACCACTTAATTTAAAGACAATCTGATTTACGTAGGTCCTTACTTTCTGTACCAAAAAAATTATTTTTATTTCATGGGTGACTTTCGCTAGATTTCACAATTAGTTTTGATTATTTCCAAATTTATTTTTGAATTATAAAAATTGCTCTTGTACAAAAATTTCACGTGAAACAAAAAAAAAAACAAAATCGCTGAAAACAATCCCAGTAATGAAAACTTGGGAATCCAAAATTTCAGGATTGCAGGTCCGGATATGGCCTGGAATGTTTTTAATTTGCTCATGGAGTCGGTCTGATTCCAAAATGGTATGACATGTTGTGCTACGGCCTCTAGGAGTAAAGTTGAAAAAGTGTGACACACTGACACACTGACATTTGCATTTATTTATATAGAAGAAATGAAAACAGAAAATAAAGAAAAACAGTTTGAGAAAAGAAAAATGCTACAAAAAGAATGAAAAGCATAAAAAATAATGAAACAAAAAAAGATAAAAATAGGAAAGATAGAAAAGATAAAAAAAGGATTGAAGAAATAAAAAAGTAGTATTGAAAAATAGAAAAGCTGGAAAAGGAAGGAAGAATGAAAAGTTAAGAAATATTGTACAAATGCTAAACTCAAACATATATATATATATATATATATATATAATAAATTAATTGATTTAAAATATGTTTTTTTTTCACTACACAGTTCTAACCATGTTTCAAAAATGGAAGCTGAAAGCTCCGAATTTGATTTTGTAATTAAAGACATTAGTTCCATTTCATCATCAAGCAAATTTTGGAGTAACTTTTAAAATTACTGGGTTTTAAAGACACAGCTAAAATCATAATTCACGTTTCCAAGGATCCAGAGAAATCCAATTCAACCAGACAAGGGGTGGTTGCTTGTTCATTATGTCTGTATTTTGATGTATCCGTTATTATTTACGTTTTGATAGGGGTAGGGATATATTCTTCAATGAAATCTGACATCTGTTAAATGCATGTCGTCTGGATTTTTTAAAATTTTATTGTTAACGGCAAAAATTCTTAAGGGATTTTTTCTATTTGTATACTTAAAGATTTGGGGGGGGGTTAGGTTAGAATACATTTTATTTAACTATGATTTGAAAAATATTTTCACTTTTAATTTTTAATATATTATATTTCTTTTAACAAGTAAATGAATTAGAATCCCTTACAGTATATAGAATTATTTTCACATCAAGTATAAGTATGTATATTATTAGGTAACAATTTTTTTTTTTTTTAATTATATTTAAATATTATTTAAGTAAAATTTATGACAATGACCACAAAAATAGCTAATTAATTTCACTGATTTAGTAAACTTTTATTTTTTATATAAACCTAGTAATATATTGTTTCTCATGTAAGTACAAAGGACATGGGTCATTCAATGGCTTACATCTTCTAGCTTTTCATATTAATTTCATTTTACTGTGGATGTTTTATTTGATTCTTTTAAGTGCTTGTAGTACTTAGAGGGAGGTCTTTAGGTTAGAATACGTTTTATTTAATTACAATTTTAAAAGATGTTTAGGTTAGAATTCGTTTTATTTAACTACAATTTTAATGCTCTGTAAATTTACATTGAGCACTATTTTGTAAAAATAAAAATATCTATAAGAACACCGGATTATATATATATTACTGTTCTTTCTTTTTATATATATATATATCAGTGGCGACTCTAGCCTATTTTTGCTACTCGTGCCCCCCCCCCTCTGCCAACTTCAGTTCCCAACCCGTGGTCCGTGGACCCAAAGTAAGTCATCATAGTTGCTATTGTGTGATTCTCCATTGTATAGCACAGATTGACTAACGTACCTTGCATGGTGGTTTTTTGTAAACAATCAAGATACTATATAATTTGTAGTCTTGTTAATACAGTAGATAAGTTTTTTTTTTCCTTTCAAAAGTATAGAAGAAAAGAGAAGATGTTCATTACTATGACGAGAAAAAATATCTTTATTAGAAAAAAGAAATTGATGACAATGACAACTAACCAGGTTAGCAATTAAGTCCACAACTCTCCAGGTCTCATGGAATTATAAAATAATTAAATGATTGATTTTTATTAGCACTTCACAATCATTTTTTTTTTATTAAGGAATGGTTTATTCGTGAATTTTGAATCATAGAAATCTCTGAAAAAATACGGTTTGTATGTCATTTTATATTAATATTAAGAAAAACCCTGAAACCTCGAACCTTCGAGAATTCCGTAGTAATAAATACTTTTGTAATTTTTTTCATAAAGATTCTGTATGTAACTTTTTTTGCTGCATTATTTCACAGATTTACTACGCACATAACCAGTCAATGTCATTAAACCATTTGGATTGGAAACGAACGAGTTCTAACCTTATTCACCAATAAAGGAGTTGGGCGCCCAACTTTGATAATTTCTCGCTTCTCGCTACATTCCTCTGGCCAAATGATTTATTTTTCAGGTCTAACACAATATCCATTACCATTATATCTAATTTTAAATCCAGATCATTAACAGCAAATGCAGTACAAATTAGCCCAAGTGACATTATATCGCCAAAATACAGGGAACTTCCAAAATGTAAATTCCATCTGATGAATCTTGAAACATATGAATCTTGAAACATATGATATCTTGACCAGTTGAAGTTATCCGTGGAAACACTGAGAACATTGAAAATCTTAATTTTATCCAAAAATTCTAAGATACAAAGAATTCAGAATAAAGTCTGTAATAAAATTGAATGTAGTGAAGCGACTGAAATATTTTCGCAACTGAAGTAATGTTCTCCAAAACGGCAATTAAATTTTCACATAGAATAAAAGGTAATATTGATGAATAAAGTTGGGTTTATAGCTGTGAAATGATGGATGCAGCAAAAAAAGTGACATACAGGACCTTTATGAAAAAAAAAATTACAAAAGTATTTACGTTACCACTCACGGAATTCTGAAGGGTTCATTGGTTTGAGGGTTTTCTAAGTATTAATATAACATGCCTTAAAACCCGTATTTTTTAGAGATTTCTATGATTCAAAATTCACGAAAAAAACATTCCTCAATAAAAAAAAACAAATTCACTCTTATTCAAAACCTGTTCTTTATTAATTAATTAATGAAACAATAACTTCATCACTGATATTTACAATATAAATAAACGTGGTTATGTTTACAAACATCTATTCGTACTACTACTACTACTACTCTATCTCTCTTTCTCTCTCTCTCTCTCTCTCTTTCCAAGACAATCATCAGCAGTCAATATGTGCTAATTGTTCTGAGCACGGTATTTTTCGACTTGATTTTGCCACCATTGGCTACAGCCAAAAGCGAGATTTCTCTAACATTACTTGTTATTATAAGCTTTTCTTGTGCTTGGCACAGTTAGCAGCGTGTTCAACATTATAGCCAATATTATGGGATGTTCAATAGATCTGACGGTGGCCATCCGTTCAAAACAGCATCGTTGTATTATTCCCAGATATATTTATGAACTTTTGGCTACTTTAGTTATCGAAACTTGAATAGATACGTAATTTAATTGAGATCAGCCTAAGTATGTTTGCTTGAAATTAATGGATGATTTTTAATCCATTTTGAATAACATTGACCGAGTTATTGGTCGTGCCGGGCATGAGTAGCACTAGTCCCATCTCCGCCCCTGATATATATATATATATATATATATATGAAAAAATATAGTTTTACTTTTTAAGTAATGTTAAATTTATAGATAGCTAGCTTAAAAGACATCCTATTGGGGGACATCTAAGCTAGCTCCTGTGGCGGGATCTTGATTGGGCCTTCATCACAATAGGTAAGGAGGAGTAAATGCGATAGGCAACAATAAACTATAGAAGAAACTCAAAACTGATCACTGCATTTAATTATTGCATTAATATTTAAGCCTACCTTTTAAAAGTTCGATGATAATTTTTCTGTTGTCACTTAATTTAAGAACAATTTGATGTATGTAGGTCCTTACTTTCTGTATAATTATTTTTATTTTATTTTTTTGCTGGATTTCGTAATTAATTTTGATTATTCCTAAATTTATTTCCAAGTTATAAAAGTTATTGTACAAAAAATTTGTCGCAAAAAAATCACGCAAAAAAAAAATCGCCAAAAACAATCGCTGTAATAAAAATTTTGGAATCCAAAATTTCAGGATTGCAGGTCCCGATCCGGCCAGGAATGTTTTTCATTTGCTCATGAAGTTTGTCTCGATTCCAAAATGGTAGGATATTTTGGGCTATGACCTCTAATAGTAAAGGTGAAAAAGTGTGACACAGTGACACACTGACATTCGCATTTATCATATAAATTGTATCAGTTTCTATTGGCTTGTAATAAAGTTCCCTAATCTGTTTCCTCCAACTTTGGCGTAAGTCAAATAATCCAACAACATGTCTTCTGTTCGCTGCCACCATCACACTCTTCGCTGATCTCTTGATCATATACGTGGCAGGGGATGGAAGTCACCTTTGTCAAGTGTTTCTTTATTGTATTAACAACTTGTGTGGGGTTTTGGTTTTTACTTGGGATTTGCCCATAAGTGTATTGGTCAAGCACTGGTAAAAACACATCATGTCTGTATATAAGTGTACCATTTTAGACTGCCACTGTAGTACAAAGTTAAGCTGCTGGTACACAGCTTAGGAATCCTTGATAGCCTCAAAGGAATGACTGTTGCTGGTTCTTTCAATTTGCATAGTTGGCAAATGAGCTCTGCTTTCGCCACCTTCTCGGCAACAGATAGGCCAGTGGAAGAACCATCAAACTCGAGTATCAACATCAAGTCGTATTGGTCCATGAGTATTAAGTGCGAATTAGCTTGTAGTTAGTTTTTTTGGCTTGTAATAAGGTTCCCTAATCTGTTTCCTGCAACCAGCAGAGTAAGTCAAACAATCCAACAAAATGTCTCCTCTTTGATACTGCCGCCATATATATATATATATATATATATATATATATATATATATATATATATATATATATATATATATATACCAGAAAGACCCATGAAAATTCTACCGCCTTTTCTATTTTAATTTTCTCATCAATTCTTAAATCAATGATTGAATAAGTTCATGGCGAGTTCTACGACAATAACATATCCATAGAAAATAAATAAATAAATGTGTTAAATATATGATATTAACAATTTGAACAGAATATTGCAATAATAATCATAAATATTTTATTTAAGAAGTAAGGGGGTACAAATGAAAAGATTTGACAACTTTTTTTCTATTTCACTGAAGCAACTGTTAAAGACTTCTACCTTCCCTTCTTTCATTCATTTATTTTCTCACTGAAACCAAGTAGCACCTGTGATATGTGTTTTGTTTTTCCATGTAATCAAAATGGATTAGTTCATTATTTATGAGGTATTGAGAGGAGATGTTAAACATTTCTATCTTCCCTTCTTTCTTTCATTCATTTTCACACTGGAAAGTAGTGTCTTTTCCAAATGGAATAGTTCATTATTTGTGAGGTGTTGGCAGGGTGTAATGGTCATGTGTACTAACAAAGTGTGGGAGGGACAAGTACAATTATTATATAATTTTAATTAAGTAACAAACAATTTGGTTAATGTACAGGGCTAAGGAGCCAATCACCTTTGTATATAGTAACCCTGCTATATTTTTTATTTTGATATTGTCAGCTTGTAGCTGCCAGTTATGCAGGTGAGCTGAAGGCACATAGATTGTACGAAGAAGCTGCTGTGATGTATGTAAAAGCTGTAGATTGGGAAAATGCCTTGCAATGCTTCCAGACATCCCATAATGCCGAGCAAGTGATGTGCATGGCCCAAAGACTTGGCTACACCCCAGAAAAATTGGCAAATCTTGCATCATCCCTTGCAGGTAATGTCTCATTTTCTTGTATTGTCAGTCTTGTATTTTTAAAAAAATTATTTCGGGTATTACCCACTTGCTGAGGGAACTGTTCCAGTAAGAGTCACAGGAGGTGGCTGGTAGGACAATATATAAAGAAACCTCTGGTTTTCGGTATGATTCTTAGTTTTCATTTTGTTCTCAGGAGAGTCAATTAACGAGTACAATCTATAATATGGAACTTGTCATTATAATACTAATGACGATAAGGAACATCAAATAGTCAAAAAGGGTAAAGGTGTGTGTTAGAAAACTGATGGGGTAGCTTAAGTTCAAAATGAAACAAATGAATTGCAAGTCCAAACTTGAAGATCCAGCGAGCAGAAAGAAATGTCAAAATCACGAATCATAGGTTGAATGTCAAAAATCCCCAAACCTGTAAATGGCTAGAAAGGCACCGCACCATCCAGCAGTTACATGCAAACCAAAACATACCAAAAAGCATGATTGAAATGAACGCAATGCTCACCGTTTTCAGAATGCCAACCACTTTTATTGATGGAATAATTTGTTTTCATTGGTCAACGGTTGGATAGGACAAATCATATCTGAGATGCATTTAAAGCAACGGGTGCCACTGACTTATTATTTTTGTCTTTAGCACATTATACAAAACATGTGCCGTTTTTTTTTCTTTTTTTTTTTTTTGCAATAAATGACTTTTGGCACAGTGTTTACACTTCCAATAAAACAATAGAGGATCACGACAAATCAATGATTACTCATTTTACTGTTATTGATAATATAAAAAGTGTGTGATACTTTTTAAAAAATGTCTCAGAATCAGATTTCCTGAACAAGAAATTTATTCTTCTTATCAAACAAATTTTATTTGGCACCAATTTTCAGAGAACTTAAAATGATTACTTGGTTACTTATTTTAGTGCATCATTTTACTTACAATTATTGCCATGTGATGCTGACAATAGTCAGTGCATTATTTAAACAAATTAGCTGTAAATAATTGACAGTACCTTTTTATAGCCATCTGTCTTTTATATCCCAGTTATGGGTAAAATAGCGGAACAGTCTGGGTCCTATAGCTTTAGATGCCAACTAGTCTCGGAGAAGGAAAATTCTGAACTCTGCCATGTAGGTCCTGCCTCTTTAGGCAAAGGCTAGAAGAAGGTGACTTCAAAAACAAATTCACCTCTGATAGGAGGGACAGGGGTAACCCCATCATCCCTGGTGTAAAAGGAACCAGCAAGTAATTACACTATTCTGCCTTGAATGAACCCAAACTGTGAGAATGAAGGTGGGGATGGTGGTGACCACAGTGGAATAAATTACACTAAATAAAATGAATGTCGCTTATATAATTGCTAACTAAAAAGTTTTTTTTATATTTTTATATGTAACGAAGTAATCATTCTAAGTAACATGGTAATCAAAATAAGTGCTGTTTTAATTTGTTGGGATTTCATGATTTTATAAAAAATGAGAATATAGTACTGGTGAAATCTTAAACAGCTGTGGATAATGCAATTTCTCGCTAATGCTTGTGGGAAAGGCATGAATCCATCTACTCCCTGCTATGACTTAAATAGTAGGGAAAACTGGGCTCTTTAGCATTGGTGGGAGGTGGGTGGTTAACCAGTTTAGAAAGTTGAGTCTGAATAAAAAACTGTAGAAATGAAGATGGTAGACAGCTCCACTTTGCTATGTTTTTGACAATCATGGCTCTTCATAGCTACCCACTGAATGGATGCGCTCAAATATTGCTGCCACCAATGGTCTGGTTTTTCTGCTATATATCTAGAGATTCTTGATAAAATCCAAAGCTGAATCAGCAATATTATTGGTCCTGAGCTGGCATCTTGGTTTCAGTCATTTTCCCACTGCCATAAAGTTGCTTCCCTGTGCCTTTTCTATAAATACTTTCATGGTAATTGCTCGGATGAGCTTTTGGCTATGTTACTTAGACTTTATGAATTTAAGCACATTATTTGATTAGCAACAAGGTTTATAGTTGAATTAGCAACATGTAATCATATGTTCTATGCTGACAGTTTCTTTTCTATGAATTAATTAGTAGAACTTGCATCAGTAATAATCATTATTATCTCCAAAAAATTATTACAAATAACCTGCTAAAAATTGATAATCTGTAAAAAAAAACAAAAAACAATTTGATCAGTCCTTTGCTAAATTTTGTGACAAACTCTCATATGATTGGCATGACAAGATAGTTGATATGGCTTATCAATCAATGTAGGTTATTTAAAGCCAGAAAATATTTTTAGATTGTAAGAATTGTAAGATAATAATGGTTTAGTAATACAAGTTTTACTAATTAACCCGTAGCTGGGGGAGAAGTGGTGGATTCATACCTTTCCCAAGAGTATTTGTGCAAATATAACAAACCCAACTGAAATTGGGACTCGGCTCTCTGATTAGTGATTCCAAGCCATTATCCATTGCACCACCTGTACATCCAAACTTACAGCATGTGATATTCCCAAGTGGTCACCTATTTAGGTACTGACCAGGCTAATCATTGCTTAACTTCAGTGATTGTACATGAACTGGTGTTTCAACATGATATTGCTGTAAGCCTAAGATGGTTGCGTTAAGAACTTGGCCCAACTACTCCTTCATAATTATTTGCTTAATCAATATTGGCAAAAAAATGATGGTTTTTTTACATTTATATAAGTAGCAAAGTAATCATTCTAAGTAAGACGGTATTCAAAATAAGTGTTGTGTAATTTGTTGCATTAAAACATTTGATGCTGCCTTCATGGAAGTCAGTGAAATCTTTCGTGGTTAACTTTCTCTCAGGAACCTACTTAAATAGATCGATTAACTTATAAAAAAAAAACGGAAAAATTTTCTGAGCAATAATTTTTGTAGATTACTATTCTTTAGACCAGCGTGGTGCACCTGGGTGCACTAAAGCACTCTGAAAGTTAGACAGGTGCATCCTAATTTAACAGAAGAGTAATTTATGAATCATTTTTATATTTAAAAAAAAATTTTTCTTTTTAAAAATCTAGAGAGATGAAACCCATGGCTTCCATGTCTAAATCATTTGATATTCTAAACTGGATGCTAAATTCCTTGATCTTTATGAAGGAGTGGATAATCCTTTCCCTCTTGCATTTCTTAAGGGATTTAAATCAGTCATTATTGGCCTCTTGAAAAATATAAATATTATTGTTATGGTCCAATATCCTCGCACCACAGTTATGGTCCAAGGTTAGAACCAAGGAAGAACAACATGAACACAAGAGTAGAAATAACAAAGATATATTCCAACAGAAATATAGTAAAAGAAGTTGAAGGTGTTAGTAATGACTGTCCGTCTGGTTTAGAGTGAACTAATATTGTCTTGACTTGTTACACCATTCATTTGTTATACCTCTTGAGAGGCACAGTATTTATAGTGTCAGGAAGAGTCCATTATCGTTATAGGTAAGTTCCCATAACAATTATCAATGGTGACTTTTTACAGCCATCCGTCACTTACATTATTGTGAACTAAGACTTTTTGTATTTATATAAGTAATGAAATAATTGTTCTAAGTAACGCAGGGAATCAAAATACAGTAGAATCCCTGACAATTGGGCTAAGAAGGCCTTCTGGATATGAGGAATTGGCTACAAAATCTGGATATGATGGGTTATATTTAGATTAAAATAAAAGAAGAGAAATGAAGTTTAGCATTTATTTTCAATGTTTTATAGTAAACAAAATAAGCTAATGGTGTGTGAAATATAATGGAATTGATTTTAAGGAAAAAGAAATAAATTATGTAACGTTAATGAAAATTCATTAAAATTATGTATGCTACATATGCAAAACAAATAATGTAACAAGGATTTTTTAATCGCTGTTGTATGATTCTTTCCCTTTTAATGTCATTCACTCCTTTTTCCGCATTTCGTTTGTTTTTTGTTCTTGAAATTTTTTATATGAAAGACACTTTTTAACTCTGCGTGCATTATTGCAATTGACATAGCTGAATGCTGTCTTTCTTTCCATAAATTTCGGATGTGAGAAATTCTGCTGTAATTGCTACATAACTTGTTGAGATTGAAAAAGTCGGAATAACGATCTGAATTTCTCTATTTTCTGTTTTAATTGTGTTGCTGTTGAAAGTAGATATTCTCTTGCTGAATGTAATTCTCTTCAATTATAAATAATATTTACTTTTTTTTTTTTTTCCAGGAACGTTAAAATCTCTCGGCCATCATCAAGATGCGTCCATGTTGTATGAACAATATGCAAATGTAAGTAAACTTAAAACTCATTGGTGTGATGCAAATAACCAAATTTGCATGCAATCTGTAGTTTTAAAGAAGTCATTTATTTTTAATAATGGAAACACATATGCGATTGGTTTCATGGGAGCACCATTGTAACATCCCAATAATCTGTCCGAGCTGCTCAATAAGAAAGGATATTTAATAAAAATGGCATTAGTGCTCACATAATTTCACTTTTTTTTGTGATAACAACAAAAATAAGAAATTATCATTCCAGAAATTTTTCATTTTTATGCTTTTATGTGGGGGCACAATGGATTACTTATATAGAAATCCTTTGATTAGTGCAGCTAATGTGTACATTAAAAGATATGGTTTGGTTTAGTTTGTTTTGTTTTACAGCATATCAACCTCAATGAACAAGATTTTTATTGCTGGTAATATTTTTTATCTATCTACCTATCTCTCTCCGCCTATTTCAATCTACCTATCTCTCTCCGCCTATTTCAATCTACCTATCTCTCTCCGCCTATTTCAATCTACCTATCTCTCTCCGCCTATTTCTATCTACCTATCTCTCTCCGCCTATTTCTATCTACCTATCTCTCTCCGCCTATTTCTATCTACCTATCTCTCTCCGCCTATTTCTATCTACCTATCTCTCTCCGCCTATTTCTATCTATCTATCTCAGTATATATTGGTTTGTTTTGATATACAGCATATCAACCTCAATGTCATTTTTTTTTTTTTTTTTTTTTTGCTGGTAATATTTTTTCTTCAAAAATGTATTGTTGGTAATATTTTTTTTTCTTCAAAAATTGATTGATGGTAATCATTTTTTTACAAAGTATTTCTGGTATTAAAACCTATTTTAGCACTTTCATAGTCTTTTACTCCAGTTTCAGGGTTAACTATTTGCCCATAGCTGGGACATCCAACATGTGATTTCAACAACAAAGATGAGGACAATATCTGCCTATATCTCTGAGATGAGGTATTATGATTACTTGCATTATTTACATTATGTGGCCTATTACCCTCATCTTCATTGCCATATTCACAACATTTTAGATGCCCTGTCGGCGGGGCTTCAGAATACGCCGACTGCACCTCTGCAGGGGGTAAAAGTCCCCCAAGGGGGCCACCTGTTTGCCGTGGGTGGCGACCCGTGATGTTTGGGGACGGGACCCTGGTGGCTGAGCAGGTCATGACCCAGGTGATAAGTGGTCATTAACTGCAACACTCCACTTTGGCCCTTACCTGAGCTAGACGGGCGGTCGGAGAGGCCCACTCTGATCAATCGGCTGGTCATGACAAGCCCTAACACTCAACCCACCCCCAAAAAAAAAAAAAAAAAAAAAACTTGTGTATTAGTATAATTGCCAATTTATCCTCCAAAAAAAAAAAAAAAATGACATTTATTTAAAAAAAAAAAAAAAAAAAAAAAATAAATATATATATATATATATATATATATATATATATATAAACTCCCCACATGAGTGTTGGAAGGCGGTGGCTAAGGGTCAATCGATTCTGAGGAAGAAGGCCACAACATGGCTGTATACACCCGAGAGGCATCACTGGTCTTGGCCAGTGAAGCCAAAGGAATGCAGGTGCTTGTGGCTTCCACTGGATACGAGTATACCTTTCCTGTAGCCCTGATGTGCCAGGGCGAATGGGTTTCCCCCTGGCATCTCCCATAAAATTGGACTCCGAGGTGGGTGGGGAGCAGGAATGGCGAAACAACACCTAAAAAACAAATGTTTCCAAAGAAATCCACCAAGAGACCACATTTTGAAAGCTCTGACAGTGAGCCAGAAATAATATATCAAAACACCCCTACATATATGGTAATCCAATCAACTGAAGATATACCTATAACTAAAATATCACCTTTCAAAATCGAACAAATACTTTCTAAAAAATAAAACCAAAAACAACAAAAAAAAATTAACAAACGGAACAATTCTAATCGAAGTTCAAAAACACAAGTGGAAGAAATCCTAAGATGGGAAACTTTCAACAACATCAAAATTAAAACCTCCCTCCACCAAACCTTAAATTCATCCAAAGGCGTAGTGAAAAGCTCTGAATTATCACTATGCACATTAGACGAAATAAAAACAAATTTAAAAACCAAAATGTAATAGATATCAAAAGAATAAGTATAAAAAAAATGGAGAAACTATAAACACAAACACATACATATTAAATTTTAATATCCCAAAACCCCTAATGAAATTAATGTAGGGTACATAAAAATAAAAGTTGAGACATATATACCAATCCACTTAGATGTTTCAACTGTCAGAAGTTTGGACACCACCAAGATAGGTGTACTAGACCCCAGTATGCGGAAGATGCGTGAAAATAACGCAAGACACACTGACTGTCAGAAGGAGGCAAAATGCACTAACTGCAAAAAAAATCACCCAAGAAATTCCAGAGATTGCGAAATCTGGAAAAAAAGAAAAGGATATTTCCAAAATAAAATATACTCAAAATATTACTTTCCCAGAAGCAAGGAAATTAATAAACACTGTGACATACACAGAAATATCAAAAAGACATATACCAAACCCAAACCAACAAGGACACCAAACATACGAAAATAATCAACCTATAACAAAACCTGAAGTAGTTACTCAACTTATGAACGAGATGAGAACTCTAATCCAAGAAATGAAAACCATTATAAAAACAATCACAGAAAACAAACAACTCTCCAAGGAAAACTCAAACACCAAAACATCAACAAACCAAAAGACACAAGCAAAGCCTAACAAGGAGAACCCAAAAGTACTCTCTTCTGAAGTGGCCTCTACCACTAGGCCATCACAGACTTCACCCAATAGGGAAACTATAAAAAAAAAACCCTGATGGGCAGGAGCATAAAAATAGATCAAGATCAACCTCAAGAACAAGAACTGCCCCAAAAATAAATAAATTTGAGGCATTGGAAATAATGGAAACGGAAGATGAGACCCCACAACTAAGCAAAACCCAATCAAGGAAAAAAAAAATCTAACCTCAAAACAAATCCTGCCAAAAATTAAAACATGGCTCCACAAGTAATCAAACATCAAAATATCCATAAGATAATCCAAGGAACTGCCGTAGCCACAAATTAAAATATAATGAGCTACCACTATTAATAGCTAAACAAAATCCTAACATCAAGAACCCCCCAAAAAAAAAACATGGGAAAAAAAAAAACATACTACTATGCAGAACCATGACTAATAAAATCATCCAATGGAACATAAGAGGTATGAAACCAAACATAAATGAACTACTGCTTTTAATTGGGAACCTATGTCCAATGATAATATGTTTACAGGAGACTTTTCTGAAAGAGAATGACAATGTAAAAATTTGTAATTTTACCTCATATAACTATATAAATAATAATACAGATAGAGCCTCAGGCGGCACATCCATACTAATTAGTGAAACACATTCTCATTGAATGTACTGACCTAGCCCATATAAGAGAAACGCTTTATAGTGCAAGTAACATGAAGGAACTGTTCCAAAAAACTGACATGGATAACATAATATCGTTCCTGAAAGCAGTCAATTTGTACCAAAAAATCTAAAAACATAAAAAGTTGGGAGTTTTCTGCAAACTTTTGCTGCAAGGAATGTTTTCAACAAAATCTGATTCTTTCTGCATACCATTTCTCAAAAAAGGAAGAAACTTCCCTACGATACAATTCTCTACAAAAATTTTTTTTTTGACAGAACCAGATTTTTCTACAAACCATTTCATTTCTAAAAACCTTTTTCAGCATGGCAAACCTCTCCGTTTGTGGAAATGGAAGGGACTATTATATTGGAAAATAATATTCCAATAATAACCTGATTTGACATTAAATGACTGAGGAGGTCGATATGTCGTAAAACACAAACAAACAAACAAACAACATTTTAGCTGTTGTATGATCCAGCCTTCTTCAGGGGATTCAATATTCAAGCCAAACCCTTTATTTAAAGATGTTGCTTACATCCAGTGACTAGAGTTGTGAGTTTAATACCAGGCCACAGCAGTGGTCAACCCAAAACTTGGAGATTTGAGTTAAAGGGAAATAACTGAAGCATTTGGAAAAGGCATGATACATGGAATTATAACAATCAACCCGGTGGGCAAAATAAAGGGTTCAGTTCAAAATTCCAATCACCTGAAGAAAGCCTTGAGCGTACAATGGCCGAAATGTTGTGAATATGGCAAGGAAGATGAGGATAGCAGTTGTAATAATGTAAATAATGCAAGTAATCATGAGGACAATAATCTGACTATAAATAGTTTAAATAATGATGACTTGTCATCCCAGAAATTATTCCAGTTCTGACGATGATACAACACAAGTCATTCGAAGCATGTTTTGTTTTGATTTCAGTTGTTTTCTGTATATTTGCAGGATGTTGAAGAGGCCATTGTGACTCTCATCGATGGTGGATTTTGGGATAAATCTTTGCGATTGGTCAGTTGATATTTTTTCTCCTCCCTCCAAATTAATGGGATTCTGTTCTTAATATTTGTCATTCTTGATTCCTCCAAAAAATGAGACCTGTGAAGAAAATTAGACAAGGTCTTGCTAACTGTTATATAGGAATAAAGTGTTGCTGCCAACACTTGAGTTTGAACATAGATCACCAGTGAGCAAACACAGGTGATCCCATTATTGAATTAAGTAGACCATAGAGGAAAACACATATATGGGAGTTAGTGTGTGTCTAATTGATTGCTATATTCTAGTCTATCCTCCGTACTGTCCTGATTGCTATATTCTAGTCTATCCTCCGTACTGTCCTGATTGCTATATTCTAGTCTATCCTCCGTACTGTCCTGATTGCTATATTCTAGTCTATCCTCCGTACTGTCCGGGTTGCTATATTCTAGTCTATCCTCCGTACTGTCCGGATCGCTATATTCTAGTCTATCCTCTGTACTATGTGAAGCGTTATTTCTACTCTATTCACTATACTATTTCTCGAATCACTATATGGATTACTGTTCGAGCAAGTATTATTGAGCAAGTATTATTAGTGTGATTGTTATTCAAAGGTCTCTGACACCAGTATTGTTCAATGGCGTTACTCTAGTTGTATCTGCAATTACAAAGTCTCTGCTACAAGCATTATGAAAGTGACAAGTATTTGTTGACATCACAAAAGTGACAACAGGTGTTCGTTGACATCACAAAATTAACCAATTAGAAGCTGCATTTCTGGATCCAATTCAAAATCAGTCATCAGCAGGAAGTGTAACAGCAAGTTTTAGCCCCTTTTTCTCTACTGCATTCTGCTATGGTGAGGCCCCTCCATTGTGGAGGCTTTTTCTGGATTGGTGCTAACTGGCCTTTCCTGCCATCAATTGTTCTCCAACCATCTGTCATCATCATGTTTTAACCAGATGAAGAGTGATGCTTTTTCCACTGTTTCCTGAAAATCTGCTACCGCACTTTTTCTCTCCTTGTAGCCAAATCATTTTCTGAGCAACAACTTTCCCGACAAAACCATGCCATCCCACAGCGAGATGGTAGAATTCAATCTTGCATCTATATTCTTCACATTTGTCTGTCAGGTCTTCATATCTCTCAGCTTTTCTTTGCTCTTCCTGTTCCAAATTGTCTTCTCAAGAGACTGTCTGTTCCAATAACAATGCTTCTTTTGTGATTTTCAACACTAGGTTTGGTCGTTGGCTTGTTATTACTATAGGAAAGACAAGTGCAGAATCAGGGTCTGCTGCTATTTCTTTTCTCCTGACCACCTTTCATCCTGCATTGTTTTCATTTGAGATCCTCTTCTAGTATCCTTTTTGCCTTCTTTGTAAAACTGTACTTTACTCATCACTTGCTTAATAGGTCCCTTTCCTTCATTGATATCATCAATGTTCTTCTTGAAGGAAAGATAAAACACTTTCAAGACTTGATTATGCCACCATGTGTGTCTTTCTTTCAGGCCCAATGGTCAGGCAAAAAGGATGCGTCTTAGAGTACCATGTTCACTGCACTTACACTTAGGGTTATCTGAAATTTTCCAACAAACAAGATTTGCTGGGGATGGCAACTGTTCTTAATATTCTTGGTCATTCTTGATTCCTCCAAAAATGAAACCTGCGATATTTGTATGAAATGCTGACCACTCATATCTGAGTATGTCTGTCTGGATTCTGCAACCTTGCATGCCCGTGATTTGTACTGTATAAATGCTTCTGGATGCACCTCCAGCTTATCTCTCCTTTGACCCTAACTGGTCAGTACCGATTACATTACACGCGCTTTTCTTTGCATTTTGTCGAGAATCTTGAGATGTATAGCAGGTGTTAAATGTCTAAATGGCTGGCCACTTGTATCTGAAGATGACAGTCTAAAAGAGTGGCTAGCTAATCCCTATTGCAGACGCCTGCTCAGGCACATTTGTGCTTGTCCAATATCCACAGAGCCCACCTGTAGTTTATACTGCAACTATTCTGAGCAGATCGTAGTCCCAGTTTTTGGGAGAGAGCACATTATCTGGTGCAGACAACAATCTGAGCAAGGCCAGTCTGCTCAAAACCCTCAGTCACGATGACTTGTGACTGTGTGCTAGCTCAATCATTGATGGCTCCCAAATAGTTTGACTTACAAGGCTTGGCTCAACCCATGGCCTGGTTTGCAACACTATAAACTCTAAATAACTTCACAGTTCTACAAACTGCAACCAAATGTATTTGTTTTGCGTGAGATTCAAAATCCCCAAACTAAATTCAAACAGAAAACTGTTAAGTACAGATGAAGAAGTGCCGCTGCTCTTGTCAAAGCTGTATTAATTGAACTTAATAAGCTGCCCTTAAAATTTAAGACAAAATTAACACTGTTTAAGGCAAGTTTTTCATTTTTAAAATTCAAAAAAATTTATTAGATTTCTAAATCTTTTAAAAATAATTTTTCAGCAGTTATTTTTTTTTTTTTTTGCACAAGACAAATGTCTGAAATATATTTTAATTTAAAAGAAAATATTTTAGTTTCATTGTATCTTATATTTACAAATTCAGGACATCTTTAATTGAGATTTTCAGTTTCGATTGTTAATCAAAATCATGCTGATCAGAAACTGATTAATTGGGTATTTGAATCTTGGCAAGGGCAGTGATAGGAGGAGCTTGGATGTGCGGGTGGTGTAAAGGATAACTGCTCAGAAGGAGAAATCAGAGAGCAGAGTTCAAATTCCAGTTAAATTCATTATATTTCACTTATGTACAAATATCATTGGAGAAGATATAAATCCACCCCCTAGCTATGGGTTAAATAGTAGGAAAACTTATTGTTAATCATTAAATTGTTAATGCAATATTCAATTCTAACTATCCTAAAAATACATTTTGAATTTAAATTAACACTCAAAGGGTTCATAAGAATCTGTTAGCATGGAACTTACGGTTCCATTTCAAGTCTAAAATGATGAGACCTTGCTACCAATCCTGTCCTGTGCTTAAATTTGTAGAGTCTAGTTAACAAAGAGGAAAGCTCATCAGAATAATTACTATGAAAGTATTTGTAGTAAAGGCACAGGGAAGTTGCATTATAGTGCTGGGGAAATGACTGAAGCCGAGATGTCAGGACCATTAGCATTGCAAATTCTTTTGTATTTTATCAAGAATCTCTAAATATGTAGCAGAAGCACCGGATGTTGCAGGAGTATTTGATACATGGACAAATGGTAGACTTGTAAGATAGAATCTGGCGAGAAAAATGTCTCAATGAACGACAAAGGGAACCAACATTCCTAGCAGCAGATCTAGCAATTGATTCAATATAATCTTTCTACTTCATGTCAGCAGAAAACGTTAGTCCGAGAAGGCACAATGAGAACTGAACTGAAAGTTGTACTGCTCATCTGAAAGTTACAAATGTTTTTACAATTTTTTTTTTTGCTCATATAGTCAGCATCATTGGCCATCATTTTAGCCATCAATGGACAAGAGTCTGCCTGCCAGTATTGATGATGCTTTATACAATAAAATAAGAGGATGCTCTGAAAGTAATGCCACCTATTTGTTTGCACAGAAACTAGAACAGACACAAGGAGCTCTATAACATCATTGGGTAGAGTAAGCTTTCGGATTTTTTTTCTCTGCATAGTCATTACTGTGAGTGATAAGTTGCATGTATCGCATGTGTGATAAAGGGATTGACAGAAGACAACAAAGTTTTTTATAGTAAACCAAAAAAAAAAAGTTTTGTTATAATTTTAGTGACTTGATTAGTGTTATAAAAAAGGAAAAAAAAAAGTGTTAGAAAATTAGAAATTCTTCAACAAAGTAACTTCAGTTTGGGAGTTGTTGATTTTTTTTTTTTGCATATACTTGTCTAGTCATGGAATGGTAGCGAACGAACTGTTCAGGTGAAGATTTTTACAACAACTGACTTTGTCAGCCAAGTTGGTTAATTTTGGTGCCAACCAACTAATACGAATACTTGGATGAAAGACCTCCACTTTGTATGGTCCTCTGGCTACATCAAAGAGTTCTTTGAAGTCTTTGATCTTAAAGACTTGGGGAAATTTAATTCATAAAAATAGATTTTCTTATCACTTGTAAAAAATTTACAGACAACCAACACCTTTTTTGTTACTTCTACTAAAACACGTTATCATTACTTAACTGTGCTCACATCCAGTTTGATCTTTATAAACTTTCAGCAAGAAGTTGAGGAAGGTCAATAAGTTCAATTTTTTTTTTTTTTCTGCATGGAGGAATTTATTGATAAACATCTGCTTCATAGGAATGTTTATAATGGACACCATTTTGTCAGACTGACATTTGGTGGTGGGGAAAAAAAAATGAATTTGCTTTTCTTTTGTAGATGCACAAATACGACCGGACTGATTTCATCGAAAGTAATTTAAAGGATGCGATTGTTACTGCTTTTCATGATCAAATGGAATCTTTGCAAACTTTCCACACTGAGTTTATGCACTACAAGAATCGTTTGTTTATTGTCAGAGAAGAAAAGCGGAAAGCGCGGTTAGAGATATTGGGTACGTCTTTTAAAAAAAAAACCTTTTGTTGCGTATTTCTGGTTAATGTTTGCATTTTAAAAGTGTGTATTCTTGTATGTGTTTGTTACTTGATTTGTTTCTCATTATGTTCAGGCTTACAGCCATATCACATTGAAACACCCAGTTCCCATACAATCACCGAAGTTAAGTAATGTTGAGCATGGTTAGTAACTAGATGGGTGACGGCTTGGAAATACTGGGTGCTGTAAGCTTGGATCTGCGAGTGGTTTAATGGATAATGGCTCAGAATTGTTAATTGGAGTGCCAAGTTCCAATTCCAATTGGGTTCGTTATATTCACTTGCATGCAAATACCCTTGGGAAAGGCATGAATCCTCCTCCTCCACTTTCCAGCTAAATTAATTATCAAGACTTGTATCAGTAAAACATTATTATCTTAAAAAAAAATTCTTACAATCTAAAAATATTTTCTGGCTTTAAATAACTTGCAAAGGGTTGATAACCTGTAACAAACGAATCAAACTGTCAGTCATTATGTCTATTATGTGGTTTTTTTTTTTTTTTTTTTAAATCTTTTCACCCCAAGGAAGGCGTAAATGCCATTAGTGTGCAAGGGAGGGATTACAGGGAGTGAAAATGAAGAAGATTGAGAATAGGGAGGATTGAGGAAAGGATAAAAGATGAATGGGATTCAAGAAGATAGAAGATGGTGATTGACATTGTATTTAAATTTTTAAAGATTGCATTTATCAGGGAAGCAAGTAAACGGAAGGGAATTCCACTGTTGGGAAGTGCAATAAAAGAAACTGTTGGAGTAGAAGTGGTAGCTCCATTTAACTATTTCAGCAGTAAACGGGTGGGACCTAGATGCCAATCTAGTAGCACGCTTAAATTCATGCAGTTTGGGCACCAAGGGGAAAAAGCGTATCAGAGCAGTCGTCATATTTTGTAGAAAAGACAGTGAAGTGATATCATGTCAGTGAGAAAGTGACTGAAGTCGAGATGCCAGGTTAGGATCGATTATATTGCAGATCCTTCTTTAGATTTTGTCAAGAACCTTGAGTTGAATAGCTGGAGCACCAGACCAGATATGACAGCAGTATTCAATGCACGGACGAATAGTAGATTTGTAAATGTGCAAGATGGATTCTGATGAGAAAAGTTAATCTGGCACAACATGGCCAAATTTCCTTGCAGTGGATGCAGCTATTGATTTGATGTAGTCACTACACTTTAAATCACTTGAAAATGTGAGGCCAAGAAGGTGTAATGTGTTGCTCCCCAGGAGTCTAGCATCAACCATGCTGATGACAGGCAGAAAAGTTTCTCTATGGCGGTTATATGAGAACAGTTTCAATTTGGAAGTGTTAAAATTTACAAGCCATTTCTTCTGTGTTTCTTTTATTCTGTAGTTGACAAGATTTTATACCATTCACTGCATGTTTTCTATTAAATGCCTTTCAGCACACAGAAAATCATGACTCTCCACAGCATTCTTGTCTTTATTATCTAGGAAATGCCGTAACTTATTGGGAAAGATAATGGAGTAGTTCACTTTTCTTTTTTTTTTCTTCAATCATCTCACCCCAAACAAGGTGATAATGCCACTAAGATGCCTGGGATTAAAGAAACTGAGAAAACATTGAGGAAAGAGAATAATAAAAGAATAGGAATCAAGAAGACAAGATTGATGTTACATTTTAATTTTTGAAGATCGTTGTGGAGTGATTAGCCATGTAAAATAAATGAATAGCAGAACTGCCCAACAAACATGTGACAAAACTTGAAATAACAAATAAAAGAAAAGTACAGGGTATAAAAATAATATAAAGCAAGCAAATAATATATGCAAAGCAAATTAACAGTAATATGGCAAAAAGTTCACAATCTAAGAATTGGGGTTGACACAAAAAAGCAGGTTTGAACAAGCGAATGTAGCATTCTGACTTCAAGACAGATCGGGAGTGAGTCAGATGAAACCAAGAACTGACTTATTTTATTGGCTAGGAAGAAATCCCAGCATGCATTTGTGCGTTATCATCACTTTACTGTTGAAATTTAAACTGTAACCTCTATTTATCTATCATTCTGTCTTTTCAAATTATCTATCTCACTCTGTACTTAGCTATCTATCTATTTAAGCTTAGTACTGGATTGGCAGATATGTCTGTGGAGGGAGTGGCCATAGTTAAATGTAAAATAAAAGGCGGAATAAAAGGGTTAAATGTAAAATAAAAGGCAAACAGAATTTACAAAGTTTGCAATAGGCAATAACAAGAAAAAGTATAGGACAAAAAAATAATATAAAGCAAGCAAACAAACAATATATGCAAGGCAAATTAACAGTAATAAGGCAAAACTACAGTAATATGGCAAAAACTTCACTAAGACTAAGAATTGGCGTTGACACAACATAGCAGGTTTGGACAAGTGAATGTAGCATTCTGACTTCAGGACAAGACAGACTGGGACTGAGTCAGATGAAACCAAGAACTGGCCTATTTTATTGGTTAGAAAGAAATCCCAGCATGCATTTGTGTGCTTCCACCTATAAATTGGGAAGGGGAAGTATTTTGTAGTCATTCCTACCAAATATTGTAGTTGACAAGAAGCTGGAAGAGAGTTCCACAAGAGTAGAAACTGTTAGCCCAGAAGTTAGTTCCATTTAGTAGTTTCAACTGTGAAATGATGAGACCTATCTACCAATCTAGTACTGTGCTTAAAGTCATGAAGTTGAGCTACCGAAGAAGAAAGCTCATCAGAATAATTGCTATGAAAATATTTGTAGAAATGGCAGAAGCTAGCTACATTATGGTGATGGGAAAGTGACTTAAGCTTTTGAAACAATTTTTAGAGAAAATGGAAACAAAAAGAACACTTGTACTTCTTGGACACATAGTGAGGAAAGAGGGCTTAGAATATTCAATACTCACAGGACATATTGAAGGCAAGAGAGATGGAGGAAAGCAGTGCCTAACCTACCTAAAGAGCTACCTAGCGAGTTTGGGAACTGGAAGTAATTAATGGGACTATACAGGAAAGGTGTACTATTTATATAGTTGCATTAATGCATTGTGTACTATGATAGCTGAATATTTGATGAAAAACCAGCAATGTGCTCAGTTTTATAGCCTGGACATGTTCTCAGTGCTGAATAAGCCTAATACTGATTATCACTTGAAGGTTTTGGAATCAAAATATATTAAGTCCTACCAACCATCTTTCTAAACAGATGTGGTTGGTGGGCTTAAAACTAATTAGCTTTTAATGGGTGCTACTTTGGCTTGTTATCTACAAGGAAAAAATATCCACACCAAACAAATTTTAATTTGGAATGATATCTACATAGTAAAACATATATAAAATTTGTGTATTTAGGCAGCAATCCTTCTTTCATGCACATTTCATTGAATACGACAGACAAGGTGCTTTTATTTAGTTTTTTATACAATTTCTTATGTGATCTAATGATTTTTTTCTTTTCCGATGATAAAGTATATGAAAACTGTTCAATGCTCTTTTTTATCTGAGCGCTTTTATTTTTATACATTTAGCCATTTTCATTTTATATATATATATATATATATATATATATATATATATATATATATATATATATATATATGGAAATTGTAATTAAAATATTAAAATTTTTTTCTTTTATTTATATTCTAGCGATAAACAGCATGTACATTGGTTAAAATATCTACATCGTACAAAACATATTATGATGTGTGTATATATATATATATATAAACGTAAAGAAAATGTAATTAAAATGTTAAAAATTTTTCTTTTATTTATCGTCTAATTATACAGCATGTAAAGTGGCTAAATTGTCTGCACCATACAAATTTATCTACATAGTAAAACATGGTGCTACTTTGGCTTGTTATCTATAAGGAAAAGATAGCAAACTAAAGTAGCATCTTTTTTACTTTGTAGATATCATTCCAAAATGAAAATTGTATGGTGTAGATATTTTTTTCCTTGAAGATAGCAAGCCAAAGTAGCAGACTTTAATGTTATATTTTCCTTTCTTTACTTTTTTCATAGATGATGAAGGTTGCCCTGCCAATGTTGACCTCTATTCAGATGCAAGCAGTGTGGCTGTTGACAGTGTCGTCTCTCACGCCAGCAGTTCAAGTAAACGGTCGGGCACCTCGTCACATTTTAGCCGTTCAACAGGGTAAGTGTTATGCTAATTACCATTGCATGTAATGGAGTGTAAGATGAAGAATGTATTGCACCAATCTCCTAAGTTGGTTGGGGGTGGCCTACCTTGAAAACTTGGCTTTTATACTGGGTTTGAATCCTGATTTCTGGGGACCATTTTGGCCACAAGGTGAGCAACAATCTACTCTTTTAATCGCATTTTGCCAGGCTCAGAATTGAACTTGTGAATCTGCATTCAAAATATGTCATTCTGCTTTGCCTGTAGCTTTTCAAGAAGTGAAAAAAAGCTCTAGATAGTTTATACTGGAATTTTTTAGATAAACATCCTATTATAATTGGGCTTGCCCTGCCGTTTGTTAGTTTGCACGACCGTTACGCCCTGCCAATCATTTTTTATAAATGAAAATTTGGGGGTCGCACGATTGTGCATTGCATGTGTATATACAGAAAGTGTTTTCATTTTTCTAATATCTTTTTTTTTTTTTTTTTTTTTTTTTAAAATAGGAGATCATCACGAAATCGACGGAAAGACGAGCGGAAAAAGTGGTCTTTGAAAGAAGGAAGTCGTTATGAAGAATATGCTTTGCTTGATGCCTTGGGAAAAATCATCTCTCATATGGACAGTCTTCAAGGTGAGTTGTATCCTAAAACTGGAATAAAATTTGGGTTCTTATTCTAGACATTTCCATTTGTTGTTGTTGTAGTAGTAAAATTTCTCTTTTTTTGTTTTAAGATGAGGTTTTATTTTTTTTTTTTTTTTTTATTGGCCTGGTATGTGGTTCTACAGAATGATGCTGAGAATACATGGAATGAACATGTGAGCAACACTAAAAATTTAGGGGAAATGGAAACAAAAAGAGTGCTTCTATGTAGCATCAGAAAAAGACATTTGAAATTTCTAGGACAGATAATGAAGAAAGAAGGCTTGGAAACTTTGACACTCACAGCACATTGAAGGCAAGAGGGATGGAGGAATGTAAATAATGTAAATAATGACAATTCCTCATCCCAGAAATTCAGACAGAAGGCAGTCAGCTGATAATAACAACAAAGATGAGGACAATTGGGTTATATAGATTATATATAAAGTGTTCAGTACAAAATTATCTGAAGGTTATTCAGAATGATAAACTCTGAATGAAGACTTAAAGCCCCAGTGGACAAAATGTTGTGATAACAATCTTTATAAATGTTACAGAAATAATAATTAAAAATCTTAAACAAGAGGACGATACTAGTCCACTTGTAAATAATGATAACTCCTCATCCCAGGAATTCAGACAGAAGGCAATCAGGTGATAATAACAACAAAGATGAGGACAATAGTCCGCATGTAAATAATGATAATTCCTCATCCCAGAAATTCAGGTAGAAGGCGATCTGTTGATAATAACAACAAAGATAAGGATAATAGTCTGCATGTAAATAATGATAACTCCCCATCCCTAAAATTATTGGAAGAAAGGTGATCAGCTGCTAATAACAAAAGAGATGAGGATAATAGTCTGCTTGTAAATAATTGTAACTCGGAAGTAATTGCAGAAGTTCAGACGGAAACTGATTTTGCAGTGATGTTTGGTCTTCACATAGGAAAAATAAAGCCATTGGTGTTGAAAGAGTTTATCTTGAATTCTTTAATTTTTTACTGTAAAATCTTTTCTCATCTACTTTCAGTGGACATTCATAAGCTTCTATTGGCGATGGTGCAGTTTAATTATGACGACAAAGCATCGGAACTGCAGGATTTCTACAGCTCTTTTCTGGACAGTATTGAAAAAGCTTTACCCTCTCTGCAAGAAACGGTCGAAACTGACCAGAGTCAGAACCAGTCTGTAAGTATTTAAAAAAAAAACAAAAAAAAAAAAACAGAATTGAATTGCAACAGGATATCTGGAATTGTAGAAAGACTTTTGTGGAAATTCTTTGACTTTAAATATGACTTAAAGAATTTCCATTGACTTGAATCATGACCAAACCAACTGATATCCAGGAGGAGATAGGTTTGTCTATTGTCCAATTCACACTCCACCCCAGTCTTTTGAACATGGGTAGAGTTTTATTCTTAGTTTCCTGTTTAGAATTGGCTTTCCAGTTCCTTCTAAAGTCTTTCATTCCCAGTAGCTACTTGCATTTTTGTGGAATTATCCTTGTTTGGGATAAACTGCTTTAAAAAGAAAAAAACGAGATGTCATTATTCATTATGCTTATAGACTGAAATATAAATGACCAATATTTACTTATACCAGAACCAAATAAATACTTATAGAGTGAAATATAAAATGACCAATAATTACCTACATGTTTAGAAACTCAATTATAATAAGCAATTGATTTCAATATTAAATAACTCCACAGGAGTTGATATGTTGTAAAATCTATCCATACAACCCATCTCCCTTATTGATTTTGAAATCCTGTAAATGTTGACAGCTGATCCATTTTACAAATTGCTCATCGCATCAGTTTTCAATTCTGAAGAATGCCTGGTGTAGAGCTATTGCTACAGACCATTGATAGTGTAACAAGCTTGATCCACACTGAGTGACCCATTATTTTGTCCTTGTTCCACTCTAAGCTAAGCTTAGTAAATATTTTATCTATTTTCTTGTTTGTAAGTGGAGTGCACTTACAAATAACATAAAACCCAAAGAAAGATCTGCAATATAATAGACCCTGACCAGGCATCTCGACTTCAGTCACTTTGTCGCAGACGTGATGTGGCTTCCCTCTGTCTTTTCTACAAATATTTTCATGGCTACTGCTCTGACAGCCTTTTTTCTCTGCTGTTCTGCATACACGAATTCAAGCATGCTGCTAGATTGGCATCTAGGTCCCACCCTTTTACTAATGAAATATTTAAATGTAACTGCCACTTCTACTCCTACAATTTCTTTTCTCCTACTTTTTGACAGTGGAACTCCTTTCCTCTTACTTGTTACCCTGATAACTACAATCTTCAAAAATTTAAATGCAATGTCAATCGCCATCTTCTGTCATCTTGAACCCCATTTATCTTTTATCCTTTCCTCACAACAAAATCCAGAAACAGATATGTAATGTGATAGGTCTTGATTGGGCATCTTGTCTACAGTTACTTTCACACAGTGGCTTCCCTCTGCCTTTTCTATAAATATTTTTATAGCAACTGTTCTGATGAGCTAATTTCACTGGATCCCAGACTGTATGACTTTAAGCATGTGTGCTACTAGATTGCCATCTTGGTCCCACGCTTTCACTGTCAAAACGTTTAAATGTAGCCGTCTCTTCTACTCCAACAGCTTCTCTTGCACTTCCCATCTGTGGAACTCCCTTCCTCTTACTTGCTTCCCTGATAGCTATAATCTTCAAATATTCAAATGCAATTTCAGTCGACCTCTTTTGATTCCTTGATCCTGATCCCAGTCCTTCTCTATATCCTTTCCTCTAACACCCCTCTTTACTCTTGCTCTCTCTCTCGGTAACCCCTTGCATGCTCGTGGCACGCCCACCTTGCTTGGGGTGAAATGATTAGTAAAATAAAAGTTAAGCTTCATTGTTTATGTATCTTCTTTTTCCCCTTTCAGTTCACTTTTGGTCCTGGTGTCACTGCCAATGTAATTGCCGAAGCTGTTCAACAGGGTCAGAAGCTCCCCACGAGTAAAGCTCAAGGTAGGAACTGAAATAATTCTTAGCTGGAGAAATGCATTTCTGGCCGCATACTTTTTGCGGAAGATCTTAATTTTTTTTTTCTTTCATTGAAAAATCTGTATATAGAAGCACACAAAATTCTTGGTGATCATGGCTCTCCACAACATCCTATTCCTTGTGTCTCTTAGCAGTTTTTCTACTTTTGTCAATGTTCCTCCCTCCCTGTTCTGCCATACATCGACACAAGCTTGTCAGGTGGGTGGCTCGCTACCTTCCTCATTCTCTTTTGCCCTAAATATGTGCCCCATGGGGATTAAGTTTTCCAATCCCTCTTTCATCATTATGTATCCAAGGAATTTCCGCCATCTCTTCCTGATTTTGAGCATCAGTGTTCTTGTAGAATAATTGGCATTGAGTAAATGTAATTGGCAGAACTGATTATCAAACAGAATTGAAAAAGAAAGAAAAGAACAGAGCAAAAATAATACTAAGCAAACAAATCTCTCTCTATCTATATCTATCTATATATATATATATAAAGACATTTTTATGTTTATACATTCTTTTTATAGATACAAATATTTAAGTAAATGCTCTGTTTATAATAAACAGTATTAAACAACATTTACCAGCTTGAATGTCTGAGAAATTTTCATAGAAAATATGTGTCCTCCAACAGGAATCAAACCCGTATCCTATACGGAACCATTATATAGCCTGACGAGCCTTAACCGATTGAGCCACAGAGGATCATTCGATTAGCGAGGTCGATTTTACTACTTTTAAACTACAATCTTCCATGATTCTGTCATATACAGTGTAACCCGGATATAAGAGAAACCCGGATATAAGAGAGATTTTCTCTGGTCCCAAATTAGAGCCTGTGTTAATGTATATAAAATAGACCAAACCCGGATATAAGAGACTTCTTCTCCGGTCCCGACAACTCTCTTATATCCGGGTTACACTGTACATTCATGTCTGCTCAAAGTGTATCCAGATGTAAACAAATGATGTCACACATTATGAAATGGACAAAGTCTGAGAATTATTTTAAGACATTTTTATGTTTATTTTTTTTTATGTTTGTTTAATACTGTTTATTATAAAACAGAGCATTTACTTAAATATTTGCATCTATAAAAAGAATGTATAAACATAATGTCTTAAAATAATTGTCAGACTTTGTCCATTTCATATATATATATATATATATATAACTGAATAGGTAAATGTAGGTAGGTATATGGAGTCAGCAATCGTTTAAACATCTCAACATATTTATATATTCCTATATAAGGCTCTTATTTCATTTTACTTTATTTTTTTTATTTTTCTGATTTTATTTGAAATAATTTATTTCCATTGATATGTAGTATTATTATTATTATTATTATTATTATTATTATTTTTATTAGTAATTTATTTTTCTCATGGCATACTTTGTTCATGATATAATTAGTTTTAGTTAATTTAGTAATATTATTGTCAATTGCTCTTGATTTGTGGAAAAAAATAAAGTTGCCTCCCTTGATTTCCCAATGCCCCCTTTTTTGTTTACTTATGTTTTCAAAATCACCGTCTCTCTCATTTAAAATTTGTATTTCTTATTTCCAACCTTATTTTAATCTGTGCTTAAATTCAAATTCAAAATTAAACTACACTTCATTTAGATATTTTAACTCCAATAATATTCCACCCCAACAATAATATATTTTGCATGAACCAGAAAATTAACAAAAAACAAAACAAAAAAAAAACTGTGTCAATCCAAAATATAAAAAAAATAAATATCATAATTCCAATATTTGAAAATTGCTTTGGCATGAAACTCACAGTTGTGCAATTAATGTAAGATATTATCTATATTTCTTTATATATATATATATATATATATAATTATTTATTTAAAAAATATGATTCCAAATCGCTACATAAGAGGTCTCAGGTTTCAAAACAAGAGCCAAAAAACTTCAATATAATCCTTTAAATTAAATTGAGTTGAAATTAAAAATGGGCTCCGTTCCATCTTCAAAAGCGAAAATTTTGTTGGACTTTTGGATTTTTTACCTAACCAGTTCCTTCCTATTTTCTATATATTTTCATATATATATATATATATATATATATATATATATATATATATATATATATATATATATATATATATGCAAGACAAAAGTTGTCAAAGCAAAAGTGTTAAGGCAAAAAGTTCACAAACTAAGAATGGTATCAAAAGACAAAAGGTGTACAGACAGTGGTGGCATCCTACTGGTCTGCACAAACCAACTCTTAAAATTATAAAAGCCTAGGGTCATTCCCTGTCAATTCAAGTCAAGAAAGAACAAGAATATGATGGTCCTATCTTGTTGGCTAGGGAAAAATCCCAGCATGCATTTGTATGATTTGTTCATTATATTTAGTTACCCGTAAATACCACTGGGAAGTTATGGATAAGCTATGGGTTAAATAGCAGGTCTTGTATCTGGAGAAAATCATTGTTATTCATTTCAAGAACATTTATCTCTTTGTGATTTGAAGCCAAAATAATTCTTTAATTATTTCTCCAATTCATTTTCAGTGAAATGGTTTTATTTCTTCATATTTTCTTCTCATCTTTTTTCTTACCTGCATTCTTGTTTCTCTCTTTGAAATTTTTAATCTAATAATTGCTTCTTTTTTTTTATTATTATTTTATTAATTTTTCTAATACTTTGATTAATAAAAAAAATAGTTTAAAAAAGCAAAAGACTTCAAAATAAAAACTTCCAATTCAGCAGGAATAAATTGTAAAGTTTTATACAAAAAAAATGAAAACAATTATTAGATTGTCATCAAAATGTTTGTTATTATTAAGAGGCAAGACCAAAATATTAGAAAAGCTTTGCCTCTTAATAATAAGATAAACATTTTGATGATAATCTAATAATTGTTTTTTTTTTTTTATAAAAGTTTACAATTTATTCCTGCTGAATTGGAATTTTTTTTTTTTTTTTAAGTATTTTTTTTATTATTTTATTAATTTTTCTAATACTTTCGTCTTGCCTCTTAATAATAACAAACATTTTGATGATAAAGCTTTGTTTTTATCAAGTTTGGGACCTTTTTCATCATGCTTATTCTCTTTTTATTGGAGTTACCTATATTAAATCCTTCTCTTTTATGGAGCAGCATAATTGATTGCCTCTCTGACTAGACTTGTGTTTATGGGAGTTTCAAAGTGAAATAAAAACGAGCTTGAATTTATTTTCAACCTTATAGAACCTATAATGAATATATTCGTTTTTGTTTCAGATTCTTGCCCCTCTATTCCAAGCAAACTTCATCATGTAAAATGGAAATTACACATGATTGGAAAAAATAAATGAAATCTCAATAAAATAATTAAATAAAATCTCTTGTTTTTGATTGTTTTTTTTTTTTGTTTTTTTCACTTCAAGCAAGGCTGTAAAGCCACTAGAAAAACAAAACATTGAGAGTGAACAATAAAAGAACAAGAATTAAGACAACACAAGATAACGATTGACATTGTATTTAAATTTTTGGTGATGAAAGCTGGCTGGAAAGCATGGCACCAGAAGAGTCTTCCACAAGTAAGAAGTGTGACGTCAACATAAGATAACACTGTGTTGATAGCAGACTCAAGAAGGGAACTGAAAACTTAAATATCTATCTAAAACCGTTCATCCATCTATCTATCTATCTATCTAAATCTGTAGATTTTTTTTTTTAAACTGAGATCACCCCACGCCAGGCAGGGAAGCCATTTAGACACAAGAGGTTGGAGGGTGAAGAAGAATTAGAAAACAGAAACATTACTAACGATGGAGAACAATAGAAGAGTAATCAGAAAAAGTAGATAACGATTGATCTGCATTTAAATTTTTGAAGATCAAAGCTGATTGGAAAGCCGAGGGCTGTAAGAGTCTTCTACAAGCAAGTTGATTGAAGTAATCCAGTGACTTGACTCAAAGATTTGTGAGTTCAATACCTGGCCACACCAGAGTTGAACAAAAACTTCAGTTACTAACGGGAATTAACTGAAATATGCAGAAAAATCATGGAACTAGAACAATCTGCCCTCGTGGACTAAAAGGGTTTGGTTTGAAATCCCAGCATATATCACATGAAGAAGGCCGAAGTGTACAACGGCCGAAACGTGAATAGGACAATAATAATAATAATGAGGGCAACAGTCTGAACAATGTAAATAGTTACAATACCTCATCTCAGAAATGTAGACAGATCCTGAAGAAGGCTGAAGCATACAATGGCTGAAACATTGTGCGTATGACAACAAAAATGAGGACAACAGTCTGAACAATGTAAGTAGTGTAAATTGTTACAATACCTCATCTGAGAAACATGGACAAAAAATAAAAAAAACGTCTTTGAAACTGGCTAGTTTTAGCCAAAAGTCTCCAGCATATCCAGTGATTATTTGTACATGGATGATTTTTCCGTACAAAAACAGCACAATTGTTGAGCGCAGTTGCTAGTTTTACTTTGTTGGACCTTTTGGATTTGCTACTATGACAAGAGTAGTTGTGTCATCAGCATAAATACCTAGTTCGGAACTGATGACCTTCAGGAAGGTCATTGTTGAAGATAAGAAACAACATAGGGTGAAGGATAAAGCCCTGGGGTTCCCCCCCATTAATGTGACTTGATCTAGAAGCATGTCCGTTCAGCACAATCTTCAATTATACAGTTTATTGGAAACAATTGGATTAAAAGCCAAATATTCATCCAATGGCATCATAGCTCTGAGCTTGCAGAGAAGGCCAGCATGCTAAACCCTGTCGAACATGTACATGGATGATTTTTCTGTCCAAATACAGTCAGCACAATTGTTGCTTTTACAAATTCATAACAACAACTATTGTACCTCATCACAACATTTCATTTCACATTTCATCAAAACATCTTATATGCAAGAAATATGGCTTTCACCTCTTTTAGTCAACTGCTGAAGTGTTAACAGTTAATACTGAAAGAGTCTATCAAGCTTTAGATATCAATGGAGATTGAACTGTTGCTTTGTGCATTGTGAAATCATTTGAAGTGTTACACGTTGTGCACCAGACCAGATATCGCAGTTATGTTCAATGCATGGATAAATGGTAGATTTATAAAACTATAAGACAAGAAAAATTGACCAACTTTCCTAGCAGCACAACTAGCAATTGATTTAATATAATCACTTCATGTCAGTGGAAAATGTGAGCCCAAGAATCGACTCTCTCTATGTGAGTCAACGCTCCTAGTTTGCGCAGACTGCCCTTGGCGAGCGTGTGGTGGTTGTGGCCGTCGGACGCATAGCCGTGGTCAGAGTGAGAGCTTAATATTAGCCATAGTTACATTCCATCATTGCCGATTGGACCTCCAAACCAGTCATGGTGACCCAACAGTCATGATGAATAGATGCTCCTTCAGGGAGGTTCCGTGCTTTGGGAGGTTATTGGGCCTTAAACTCGACCCTGACCTCAAGTAGAACTCGTACATGCTAAAGAAGCAAGAAAATAGTCCCTGTACTGCTCCAATAAGTACTTGATGCCTGCTTTTGTGTTTCAGAGTTTGAAAGAAACCGTTTAAAAAAAAAAAAAAAAAAATCAAAATGAAGCATTTTTATTCTGATTTTTTTATTACACAAGCTTCCTTCCATTGCACAGGTCGAGTAAAAATCATTCTCTATACTTGCAGATTTGTGCATTATCAGTGAGGCTTCTGAGCTTAAGTTTCATCCTTGATAGGCTCTCAAGACTGGGGAGACAAAACTCATTGAAAGCTGCGACTTTTTCACTTTTCCTTACCTTATTTACACTATTTACATTACTTGGATTATTGCCTTCATTTTCATTGCCATATACACAACGTTTCAACCATTGTACGCTTCGGCCCTTTTCAGGTGATTGGAATTTCAAACCGAACCGTTTATTTCGTCCACCGAGGTAGATTATTCTAGTTCTATATGTTAAATAATAGTTTAGTAGACTATTACCTTTAGTGTAAAAAGTGTATCTCGGCACCGACTTGTGGAGGTTGACCTTCGCAGTCAGATGTAAGGCATAATAAGGAAGTCTATTTTGATTATCTAAGCTAGCGTGGGAATGAAAGATTTTCAGCAAGTCGAGTGTTAACCGTCAAGCAATGTAGATGTGCTCTCTTCCGTGTCTGAAATGGTTCTCCAGTTAGGGGGGAACGACCTCCATTGGATAGTTAGTACATGTCGACATGAATAAAATAATACGTTATAATTCTCTGTGTTAGTCTTTCATATCTGGACCCAAAATATTTAGCGAAAAGGCCTAGAGAAGAAGAGAGAGAATACAACATATTATCAAATTGGCGCCGTTGTCCAGGGCCTCTCGCATGAGGGGGCTACATAACACGTGCCATGCCTCTTCCGGATATCACAGTTTCAGTTTCACTTATCCTCCATTTAACTCAACTTCCCATGAGTTACTGCTTTGTGAACCAGGCACTCAAGGGGATGCGTCCTCGATCGGTACAATCTTAACCGATTCAAGTCCAGGGTTAATGATTATCTATCCTCCATATCCTCATAATCTGCAATTCTTAGGTTCATACAACAACTCCATTCAGTAACCACCATGTTGGTTGGCTCTTGGTTTGTGTATTGGATGAAGAATGACGTAAAATATAGTTCGATAATAAAAAATTTAATAGCATTCTATATTTCTGAGATGAGGTATTGTAATTATTTGCACTATTTACATTGTTTAGACTGATGTTCTCATCTTTGTTGCCATATTCACAACGTTTCGGCCGTCATACGCCTCGGCCTTCTTCAGGATCTGTCTATATTTCTGATATGAGGTATTGTAATTATTTGCACTATTTACATTGTTTAGACTGTTGTCTTCCCGATAACATAGTATCAGTTATCTCCCTTTTCCCTCAACTCTCCAAATTTTTCTTCACTTCTGCTGTAGTCAGGACACATGGTCCAGTGGATAAATGCGTTGGTTGAATTCAGTGATTTGACCCAAAGAGTTGTGAGTTCAATACCTGGCTGCAGCAGCGGTGAGCAAAAACTTGGAGAGTTGAGTTAAACGGAGATAACTGATACTGCGATATACGGAAGAGGCATAGCACGTGGAACTAGAACAATTTAACTCGGTGGGCGAATGAAAGGGTTCAGTTCTAAATTCCAATCACCTGAAGAAGGCCGGAGCGTACAGCGGTCGAAACGTCGTGAATACGGCAACAAAGATGAGGACAACAGTTCGAACAATGTAAATAGTGTAAATAAATACGTCATCTCAGAAATATAGACATATATTTTCTTAATCTATTTGATCTGGAGTTGAGAAATATATTCAGCTAGAGTTTGCATTAGGCAACAAAAATAAGATGAAATAAAACTCGTAATAAAATGATAATTGTGAAAATACTTTTAAATACTCTTAATACTTTTAAATCTAAAAAGCAACAATAATGAGTTTGAGTAAAACTAGTAACAATAATAGTAAAAATGGTAATATTAGTCGTTTCCTTATAAGGAAACATTCGGCATACATTGACTGAGCAGCCACTTAGTCAGTTATGTACCATACGTGATACACGCTTAGGCGATCATGTATCTTTCGATACATGACTGACGAGGCAGATTTTTTCCCGCATTTACCATTTCTTTCTTCGGTAGACAAGTTGCCATCCAAGGCTATAGAACCTGGTCTGTCCTGCTATTTACCCATAGCTGGAGGAAGAAGAGGATTCATACCTTTCCCAAGCACGTAAGTGAATGTAATGGATTCGACTGGAATTCGAGCTCTGCTCTCCGATTCCTCAATCCGAGCCACTATCCATTACTCCACCGTACGTGCTTCCTAGTAACAGCCAGTGTTCTTCACTCGTTGGCCATCGTGCTAGGATTAAATTGTATCTGTTATTCTCATCCCTAATAGTAATGGAAATATTAGCCGTTTCCTTATAAGAAAACATTATACATTCACTGATCGAGCAGCCATTGCTACTCGAGTTGCACCTTGTTTTATTCCATTTGCCATCATACTCGGATCGAAGTGTAATACCTGTTATTTTCATCTCTAATCGTAATGGAAAATTTAGCTGTTTCGGCATTCACTGACCGAGCAGCCAGTGCTACTCGAGTTATGTTCTACTTTACTATCTGGCTATCGTGAAAAGAGTAACCTACTTAATAAGCTAGTGTAAATCGATGGTAGGAATGATGAAGAGGCAAATGCCACTAAAAGTTACAAAGGATAGTGATGTAATGAATATGCATACACCTGGGTTCCCCCTCACAGTAATATGATTGGCTGGTGTCAGCCATAAATACAGACTGATGTAGAGGTACAGGGATGACGCCTATTGCCTACCACTACGACGAGGACCAGTCCATTACGGTTACCTGCTAGATTGTTCTACCCGGTTACAGTAGTCAACAACCACTTTGCTACTTCGAATAAATATATCCCTTTCCGCGACATATCAGATAGGAAGTTGTGGAGAGCCTGCTCGCCTACGTACTGAAGGGATACGGCGCATACAATAAGAAGTTATGGTCAAACACGGCTTTGAGAGGGCAATGGATTAAGAGTTTAGCGTAAGGCATCTGTGTTCTTTTTTGTTACGTTTATTCTTTGTAACAGCTGTTGGATCGTAACCCTTCGATTATATTATGTTTTTTTTTTTATGTTACTTCTTGAAGAGTACATTATTATTATTTTCTATAGGGTGAACTCCCAGTTTGTCTTTTTAACGATTGAAAATTATGAACACATAAATTAGCTGGCTTTTTATCGATTTTTCGTAAGATTAGAGGAAATAAAAACCTTAGAAATCTCATATATAGAAATATTTATGAATCAGTAATTCATAAAGAGGTGGGGAGGGGGAGAATTTTGTGCGGTCAAATAAAATAGCTTCAGTGGTAATCAGTCCACATTATCAGTTAGAAGCTAAGCAAAAGAGTAATGATCCGTTTAAGTTTTAAGAAATATATTCGGGTTCTTTTACTAATTCTTCTGCCATGTCTGTATATTCTCTTCCACCAAGGTAAGTGATTATGTTTTTCGTTGTTGTTCTTTTAAAATATGAAAATCTTTTATCAGATACGCCAATTCTGAATTCTAGAAGAAATGATTTTTAAATATTACCGTCTAGAAATGTATATTATGAAACCCTAAGGAAGAGAGATTATAAAAAGCGTATATTTTGACAAGTCTGATAAAAGTCATTTTTAATGCCGGTAAAACAGACAAAACATATATAAAACAGATATAATATATATTTGGTTTGGTTTGTTTTACGTTATATCAACCTCAATGGGTTATTTAATGCTGACAATTTTTATTGCTGGTAATACTTCTATCTATCTATCTATCTATCTATCTATCTATCTATCTATCTATCTATCTATCTCAGTATATATCGGTTTGGTTTGGTTTACGGCATATCAACCTCAATGAGTTATTTAATGACGAAAAATTTTTTATTGCTGGTAATGTTTTTCTTCAAAAATCTATTTCTGGGAATATTTTTCCTTGAAGAAATCTATACCTGGTCATATTTTTTTCAAAAAATGTATAGCTGTTTGTATTCCTGGTATTTTTTAAAAAAGTATTGCTGATAATAATTTTTCCTTAAAAAATTATTGCTGGTAATAATTTTTTTTATTACAAAGTATTTCTGGTATTAAAACCTATTTTACACAAGTTTGGGTGTTAAGTATTTGCTCATAGCTGGGACCCCAAAAGAATGCTATCACCCCGGGTCAGGGTGGACCTGGGAACGCCAGCAATTAAGAGGTGGTTCCACAACCCTCAAAACCTCCTGATCAGAGGCCTTGCTGCTGGACGTAGTTTATCGCCTTACCCAGGACGCGGATGTAGTTTATTGTCAAACCCAGGATGGATATAATATATATAGAAAATAATATATATATATATATATGAATCATTCATACAAAAAGTAAATTAGTAAAGTGAATAATATAAAATAGCGAAATCCCTTCACTAACTAAACTAAATTTTTAAGATGCATTAACCCACTAATCACTCAATGAATGTTATGATCCTTGTTTTTTTTTTAAATTATAAAATTTATTAGGTCTTCCTTAAATATGTAAGTACTTTCGACGGTTCTACCGGTCATCCTCAGGTATGGAAAATATTTTGTTTTTGGTTAAATTCAGGTAGCATCCGAGACGAAAAAATATGAGGCAAAAATATTACAAGCAATACATCTTTGATAGATTTTTGTAAATAATTATTACCAACAATACATTATTGAAGAAAAAAATATATTACCAGCAAAGCATTTTTGAAGGAAAAAGTATTGCCAGCAATACATTTTTGGAAAAAATATTACCAGCAATAAAAATCTTGTCGGTATTAAATAACCCAGTAAGGATGATATGCCATAAAACAAAATAAATCAAACCAATTTGATTTCTTACAGAGAATACATATTTTATTCATACGAACCTATCTTAAAAATCTTGTCGGCATTAAATAACCCATGAAGGTTGATATGCTGTAAAATAAACCAAACAAAATGGGATATGTGATATGAACGTAAAAGAAAAAACTAATAAGTGAAAATTATGAGTGTAGAGATAACGATTGACCATAGATTTGAAGTAAAAAACAACAACAACAAAAAAAGAAAAACAAGCTTCAAGAGCCAATCAAGGTAGAGGCTTACTTGTCATACCCACAGAGCCGAATCATCCCGATTCCATGTTTTCCATTTATAAGAAGGGCGCTCTCCCCCGAAGGTTTTTCCGAAGGAGAATGCGTAAGTAGCACAATGGTTAGTAGCTAAGAATGAGATAATCGGAAACCAGATTTCAGTTTCTGTTGGGTTTAAATAATCAAAAAAGTGCTGATAAGCTGTAAAAAAGAAAACACTCCAACAACAATCTTTGTAAGGATGTGGAAGATAATCCTGCATGGATGCTCCCTCGAACGCTACAAAATTAATTTCAACCGGCAACAATACTAGCTGCCCAATCAATGAATGACAAATGTTTCCTTATAAGGAAGCAGTTAATATTGCCATTACCATTTTCGCGTAAGTTAATAAAAGGACGTTGACTACAGGTTCTTTTTCCTTCAAGACGTAGGCAATCACGACTCTTCACAGATTCTTTTTCTTTTTTAATGCCATATCCCTTCAGGGCGTAGGCGATCATGACTCTCCAATCGTTCTTTCTCTTTTTTTTAATGGCATATCCCTTCAGTACGTAGGCGATCATGACTCTCCACAGGCTTTTTTTTCTTTTAATTCCGAATCTCTTCAGGGCGTAGGCGATCATGACTCGCCACACGTTATTTCTCTTTTTTTTAAATGGCATATCCCTTCAGGACGTAGGCGATCATGGCTCTCCACAGGTTCATTTTCTTTTTTAAATGCCATATCCCTTCAGGGCGTAGGCGATCATGACTCTCCAATCGTTCTTTCTCTTTTTTTTTAATGGCATATCCCTTCAGACGTACGTGATCATGAATATCCACAGTTTTTACTATTTTTGAATGGCCTATGCCTTTAGGACGAAGGCGATCATGATTCTCCACAGGTTTTTTTTTTTATTTTAATTCCGAATGTCTTCAGGACGAAGTCGATCATGACTCTCTACACGTTATTTCTCTTTTTTTTTTAATGGCATATCCCTTTAGGTCGTAGGCGATCATGATTCTCCACAGGATTTTTTTCTTTTAATTCCGAATCTCTTCAGGACGTAGGCGATCATGACTCTCCACACGTTATTTCTCTTTTTTTTAATGTCATATCCCTTCAGGACGTAGGCGATCATGACTCTCCACACGTTATTTCTCTTTTTTTAAATGGCATATCCCTTCAGGACGTAGGCGATCATGACTCTCCACACGTTATTTCTCTTTTTTTAATGCCATATCCATTCAGGACGAAGGCGATCATGTCTCTCCACACGTTATTACACTTTTTTTTTTAAAAGGCATATCCCTTTAGGTCGTAGGCGATCAGGATCCTCCACAGGCTTTTTTTGTTTTAATTCCGCATCTCTTCAGGACGTAGGCGATCATGACTTTCCACACGTTATTTCTCTTTTTTTTTTTTAATGGCATATCCCTTCAGTACGTAAGCGATCATGACTCACCACAGGTTATTTCTCTTTTTTTAATTGCATATCCCTTCAGGACGTAGGCGATCATCACTCGCCACACGTTATTTCTCTTTTTTTTAATGGCATATCCCTTCAGGACTTAGGCGATCATGACTCTCCACGCGTTATTTCTATTTTTTTAATGGCATATCCCTTCAGGACGTAGGCGATCATGACTCTCCACACGTTATTTCTCTTTTTTTAATGGCATATCCCTTCAGGACGTAGGCGATCATGAATCTCCACAGGCTTTTTTTCTTTTAATTCCGAATCTCTTCAGGACGAAGGCGATCATGACTCTCCACACGTTATTTCTCTTTTTTTAATGGCATATCCCTTCAGGACGTAGGCGATCATTACTCTCCACAGGCTTTTTTTCTTTTAATTCCGAATCTCTTCAGGACGTAGGCGATCATGTCTCTCCACACGTTATTTCTCTTTTTTTTTATGGCATATCCCTTCTGGACGTAGGCGATCATGACTCCCCACACACCATTTCTCTTTTTTTCATGGCATATCCCTTCATGGCGTAGGCGATCATGACTCCCCACACGTTATTTCTCTTTTTTTTAATGGCATACCCCTTTAAGACGTAGGCGATCATGACACTCCACACATTATTTCACTTTTCTTAATAGCATATCCGTTCAGGACGTAGGCGATCATGACTCTCCACACGTTATTTCTCTTTTTTTAATGGCATATCCCTTCAGGACATAGGCGATCATGACTCTCCACACGTTATTTCTCTTTTTTTTTAATGGCATATCCCTTTAGGACATAGGCGTTCATGACTCTCCACAGGCTTTTTTTCTTTTAATTCCGAATCTCTTCAGGACGAAGGCGATCATGACTCTCCACACGTTATTTCTCTTTTTTTAATGGCATATCCCTTCAGTACGTAGGCGATCATGACTCTCCACAGGCTTTTTTTTTCTTTTTATTCGAATCTCTTTAGGACGGAGGCGATCTTGACTCTCCACACGTTATTTCTCTTTTTTTTAATGGCATATCCCTTTAGGACGTTCTGTCATCCACTGACTCTACACAGGCTTTTTTTCTTTTAATTCCGAATCTCTTTAGGACGGAGGCGATCATGACTCTCCACACGTTATTTCTCTTTTTTTTTAATGGCATATCCCTTCAGGACTTAGGCGATCATGACTCTCCACAGGCTTTTTACTTTTAATTCCGAATCTGTTCAGGACGAAGGCGATCATGACTGTCCACACTGTATTTCTCTTTTTTTTAATGGCATATCCCTTCAGGACGTAGGCGATCATTACTCTCCACAGGCTTTTTTTCTTTCAATTCTGAATCTCTTCAGAACGAAGGCGATCGTGACTCTCCACACGTTATTTCTCTTTTTTTTTAATGGCATATCCCTTCAGTACGTAAGCGATCAGGACTCTCCACACGTTATTTCTCTTTTTTTTTAATGGCATATCCCTTTAGGACGTAGGCGATCATGACTCTCCACAGGCTTTTTTTCTTTTAATTCCGAATCTTCAGGACGTAGGCGATCATGTCTCTCCACACGTTATTTCTCTTTTTTTAAATGGCATATCCCTTCAGTACGTAAGCGATCATGACTCTCCACACGTTATTTCTCTTTTTTTAATATCATATCCTTTCAGGACGAAACCCGATCATGTCTCTCCACACGTTTTTTTTTTTTTTTAAAAAGGCGAATCCCTTTAGGACGTAGGCGATCATGATCCTCCACAATTTCCTTCCTTTTCTCTTTTTTAAATTTCATATCCATTCAGGACGTAGGCGATCATGACTCTCCACACGTTATTTCTTTTTTTTAATGCCATATCCATTCAGGACGTTGGCGATCATGTCTCCACACGTTATTACTCTTTTTTTAAAAGGCATATCCCTTTAGGTCGTAGGCGATCAGGATCCTCCACACTCTTTTTTCTTTTTTAATGGCATATCCGTTCAGGACGTAGGCGATCATGACTCTCCACACGTTATTTCTATTTTTTTAATGGCATATCCCTTCAGTACGTAAGCGATTCTGACTCACCACAGGTTATTTCTTTTTTTTAATGGCATATCCTTCAGGACGTAGGCGATCATCAAACTCCACAGGTTTTTTCTTTTTTTTCCATATCCTTCAGGACGAAGGCGATCATTCTCTCCACACGTTATTTCTATTTTTTCTGGCATATCCCTTCAGGACGTAGGCGATCATTACTCTCACACTTTATTTCTTTTAATTCCATATCCCTTCAGGACGTTGGCGATCATGAAACTCCACAGGTTATTTTTTTTTTTA